AACCACTTTTCGGTCAATCAGTGGATTCGCTCTGCCATCCGTGATTCACAACAACCAACGTCTCCTATAGGTTTCCTATTCTGAAACTTCCGCCACCGCCTTGTGCGGTACTACTGGTATCATTTAATCATTATTCTTCAAATTTGCATATGGTCATTTCACGAATTATTGTAGTGCTTTCACCAGAGTTTCCCCATGAAAGTTGCCTACTTGCAGGCTTTTTTAAGCGCCAGGTTCGGCCCGAGTTCCGCCCCGAAACTACACACCAGAGTCAGGCTCCACCATTGGGGATGTTGGCACCAGAAAATCTGGAGATTTCAGCCAGTACTCTCTGGTAATTTAACGTAGCTATTGAAAATTGCCATTTATAGTCTATTTACCCATTAAAAATGGTGATTTTCCATAGTTATGTTAGTTCCCATAGTTTTTTTTATTTACCTATTAAAAATGGTAAAGCAAGGAACAGCCATGGAAGTGGAACGGATACCCAATGTTTACTGCAATATCAATGCCTTGAGAAACGCTGAAGTCTCGTGAATTCATGTTTGAGCTGCGAAAAACACAAACGCTCACCGTATATAGTTTGGCTGAGGTGGTTTCAAACATGAAATATCATGAAATATCTATTTGTAGCAATGGCTATATCATGGCTATGTCAAGTTTCTTTGAACCATTGTGAACTTATGATCATTCTCTTTGTAGGGGGCCTAGGATGATGACCCCTCCAGGCAATCATTTCAGGGTTGTACCTCCAGGTTTCTTGCTGTCAGTCCGTGGTGGGGAAGCCAAAGGAACTGGCTGTGGTGGTTTCCCAATGGATCATTATAGGCTTGCCACATGATTCAGAGCCCCTTCGGAGCATCAGGAGTTGCAATGAGTAGAACCACGGAACGTTTTGCCTAAAACACCACCAAGTCCCTAACATCCCTCCAAAATCCCCCAAAATAACGCAACCAAAAAACGCAAAATTCTCCAACATCCCAATTTTTTGTTATGCCTCCTAAAACAGGGTTGCTCCCAACGACCCCAGTTACAAGGGGTGGTAAATTGAGCAAATAAGGAGGTCAAATCACTCATTTGAAGGTTTCAGCCCTAGATCATCCCAAATTGGACCATTTTAGTATTGAAACCCATGGTTTTGGACCGCGCATGATTTTGAGGATCCCCCATTTTTAGGAAATCCCCATTTCCCCTGTGGCCACGATTCACCACTAGGCTTGGCTGTACCGGCGACATCGGCCGCCGCGCCGGCCGCGGGGGCTACGGTGCAGGAAGCTAGCCAGATGAACGCCAGAGATCAGGACGGGCTGCCCCTTTTTTGGGGCTCTAGATCTATTCGATCTACAAAAAAATCCATGGGTTCAAGCAACAAAAGTATAGGGATTGAACTAACATGCTGGGATTTGATAGGACATCATTGGGGTATGAGGAAAAAAAACGCTTCAGATTTACCTGGTTGATTGATTAAGGATCACCCCCAAATAATGTTGTCATTTGCTACCAAAATGGCACCTCCGCAATTGAACAGCCCACGGGGTTATCCGGGGTTGTCGTTAACCTCAGGTTCCAAGCATGTCCAAACTAAATGTGGCCATCATTAGATGAATGATTGAACATCTTGGTCATTTTCCTAGGAGGCAACCAGATTGGAGGCCATGCGTTTGGCCGTAGCCAGCGCACGACTGCAGCCGCGTCCCCAGCATCAGAATTTTGACCCATAAGCGAAAATCACCAGCAAAATAGGGCCACAAAACACCCCGCTTTCTGTGCATATTGGGAAGGAGGTTGCATCTTTTTCGAGGAGATGTATAAATCATTTTATGATTAAATTGCAATTAATTATATATATATATAGATATGTGTGTGTGTGTACGATGTATGTAGAATCTATTGCATTGCATAGCATAGTATGACAGTTTTATATGATATGATATAATTTGATATGATATAATATTATATAATTAGTATAATATAATGTAATAAATTATGGTATAATACAGATATATACGTATAGTATATATGTAGATGTATTTATGTTTGTGTGTGTATCAGCATGTTTTTCTGCATCAAGAGCAACCCAAAAAGTGTGGCACTGCCAAGGCCGAGCACGTCTGCCCGAGAAGGTTCCGCGGCAGTGCGGGTTTCACCATGAAAATTGGGAAACCGTCACTCCTTAGCTGAACTGACCGCTAGCGGCTCAAAGAATCAACAACATTTGGATGCTTAAATCATGAGCTGCCAATATTGAGGTGGACTTTCACAATGGCCGAAAATTTCCTTGATATTTTCTGGATCAACTTTGTCCCAACGGCATGAACTCCTTAATTTTTTTTGCAAGGTTTGTTTCCTGTGGGATTGTTGGTTTGATGTTCATTTGGCGTTTTTTCCACCAGTTCAATAAAGCTCTTCAAATGTAATTGAACCAGGGAATCCCATTATTCACAGATGAACTACCTATCAAATACGAAAGTTAGGCCAATTAGGCCGTTCCAGCATGCTACTGTATTGATGCTGATTTTGTTTACCTTCAATGGGATAATACGTCACACCTATAGCAAAAACACACAAAATAGTGTTATGTGGGATATCAAAATGGCCAGTTGGTTGCTTGGTGTTTGGGATAGAGCCTGTTTATAATTAATAAATTAGATAGCCATGATACCTTTAGAGGGCGTGGCACAGGGCACAACAGCTGCAGCTGCGTCACCAGGTCCACGAATGCTCATCTAGAAGGCCAGTGGGAAACACATTCATCCAGCCAACAGAGATGCGACAGTGATATGATCAAATTGGTTGATTTTGGCTCGTTATATACCTGCATTCGGGTTCCAGTTTGGACACATCAGATTATCACTCTCATTGTTTTAAAGATTTGTCATGGTTGATGATATCCCATGAGTTTCCATCGGCTTGTTGGCTCGTGTTCGTCCCTGTTTTTCAGGCCATGTTTGGCGGGTCTTGGACTTCTCCAAGTGTCACACATGTTTGGGGGACTATAAATGTTACAGGACGGGAAACCCTCATGTTTTTACTGAACAATCATGAACAATCCATCGTTCCCTCCGCATTTTACCGGTAACTATCGGTAACTAACCCACTGATTTTGCCCCTTTTCGAACGCCTACCCTCTCTTCGACTAGTAGTGCAGCAGGAAAGATCCACCATGCTTCAGGAAGACAATCGCTTGAGACAAAGTTCGGATGTAAGGAATTCGGTGCAGAAGCAGAGCTTTCTATGTTATCCACCTTATGCAGTTCCAGCCTGGTTGTTGGTTTCATTTGCAACTTTCCATACTCTGTGAGTCCAACGTCATTGATATGTGTGTGGCACTTCGGGTTGAAAGATGTTACCACCAACCAGACCAGCCGCGTTGGCAGTCATGAGCGGTGTCAAAAGGCCCTAGTGAACCAAAGATGATTCATTATTTATGTGATTACAGAATATATTAGATTTATTATTGAAACACATTGAACCCATATGTAAAAAGGTGACAAAGCTTTGAAGCCCAACAGAGGCCCATCCACACCTGAACTGGTATGGAAGTGGTATGGAGCATGGAGCGTGTTGGAAATTCACTGAACAAGCGCAACTACAAAAGAAGAACTCTCACAATTCAGCCTGGCAAGGGGAAAGATGGGGAAAGAACATGTGCCACTAGGTAAATCACATACAAACCCCGATTTTCATGGATTTCCAGTTTCACAGAAGTCCAGAAACAAACGCTTGGTATTGTTTGGTATGGCTACCTACCAGAAGAAACTTGTAAACATCCAGAGGTTGGGACATTGAACTCTAACTGCCGGAATTGCTTTCAGGAAAAGGAACGTGCCCGAAAACCATGGACAGTTCTGAAAATTCTGAAACACCAAACAAAGATGGTGAAACATTCTAATCCCATCCCGCTACTGTACAGGACTGTACCGAAATAATGATTACAGTATAGATAGAGGGCGCAAGAAAAAGAACAGATCCAAAAATACATTCCATCGGGCTTTCATTCGGGAGGGGCCTAGACCAGCTATGACTTTCCCGCAGCACGCCCCGGGCCTTTTTGCGGGAAGCCCCGCCGTCGATTCAGCAGCTGAAAAAGAGGAGCCAACTGGATGGATAGCTTGGTGCTGTGTCATTTTACCAAAAAATTGGGATGTATTTACCGAAGCCCAACCAGCTAAAACATAATGTGTTTTTTTGGGGGGCAGGATATCTAAGTTTGGCTGTGTTGTCAACCATGGCTAGAAGACTTGAATAATCCTGTTGTATTTTTCATATTGCACATGTACATGAAATGCGGCAAGTAAGGACATCCACCGTTTTATCAGTAGTTCTGATCTAGTTGCCACTGGTACAAGGGGGGTGCACATCCAAGAGGAGAATGGGAGGACCTAGCTGGATAACAAGCTTGCCCTTTGGTAAGTCTAAGATTGTCCAAATGGCACGTCCAGAAGGCTCGTGATTCGCAAATTGGTTTGTCTGAAAATGGGGAGTCTCTAAATCCATTCATTAATCATCATGTTCCCATCATGTTCCCATCATGTTCCATGCTAAGACGCATTAATCATCACGCATTTGTTATATAAATATATTGAAATGCAAATTTGGGGGTGTAAGGTCTACCAAGGTGTACCTCATGTAAAAATGCGAGGCGCAGCTTGGAAACCGCCAACTTACAGATGGGTCCAACGGTCAGAACTCGAGCATTCTTTGAATATGACTCTGTTCGAGTGATATGGGTTATTTGAAAGTAGAGCACCTCAAAATCCCACTGTTAGTATTAGTTCATCGCCATTTATCCTATTCAAATGGCCATGAACTGTAGGGTCACCGTGTCATGCCATGAAAGTTGGCCACCTGCGTAATGTGTTGAATCTGTGTTGCGGCTCAAGCTTGCTTTGATGGTGGATCATGATGTGTATATATATATATATGTGTGTGTGTGTTTTTGCTGAAAATGGGGTATGATCTGTAGTTCTGACCATTTGATAGGGAAAATGTTGGAAAAATGACAAAAAATACTGATTAAGTATCAATTTGGAGGTGTACTATTTTCAGACAAACCCACCTAGAATGCTTTTTTTGAGGATGTTTTTGGGCTACAAAGTCTTCCATTCCTCGGCGTATAATATCAGCACAAAGCGCAGAAATGGCTCAGTTTGTTCAAAGACAGAAAAAGACTGGCCTCATTGTGTTTTGGAAAGTACGCATCCCATATAATCAGGACTGCAGGGGATTCGATTCTTCAGGCCCTTTGGTAGCTTCGCTGAGTTCCAAGACAGGACCGACCCCCTCTGCACATCGCAGCGTGAGCCAACACCAAGCCCAAGCTCTTCCCAAGGGGGGAACACAGATCCCTACAGATCCCTACAGATCCCTACAGGAGGCTGAAGCAAACTCAACTCGCCTTATTTTTTTTAAAGGCATTGGCATGTCGTTTGGCGATGAGACTCTGACGGCCAGAGCCTTACCAAATGGTGGACGGGGGTGTGAACGTTTCCATTGGGCATCACTGGGCTATGCCCAGTCCGTTGGCTTGACCATGACCGTCATGACCCATCCAAAATAGTAGGCTTTAAACTCAGACCCATTTTACGGTGAGTTTTCAATGGCCATTTATAAAGGCCATTTGATTCCCATGCGAAAGGAATTTCGTCCCGATTTTGTTCATCTAACTTGCAGACTTTTTAGGGACCTTAGTTTTAAGCATTGTTCATTTGGGGTACTCATGGGTATTCATAGCCCCCCATCCACATTGTGTAACTGATGGAAAAATAAATCGCCAAAAAACTGGGACCATCACTGGAAGATGCCAAGGTCAGGGTGCTGCGCCTCAATGGCGAACCCATGGAGTTTCACCTGCCTTTGGATGCCAAGATTAGCGACCTGCCCCTTGGCTCGGGGATGGCTCACTTGCCTTGGCTACCATGGATATTTGAAAACCACTGGGTTTCCGAAAGAAAATCTACCAACATAGTGGGGTGTCCAAATCTATGTTTAAAAAACACTTTGTTATTATATACTGGAGGGTATAAGCAAACAGAATATATAATGCCCAGAGCTTTGGGATACTGCGATGTGAATGCCTACAACATTGCGGTCGTGGGTCATGGCTGCACCATTGGAATTGAGCCTCCATTGAATCCAACCTCAATCCACTGAAAATGTCCTTTGTTCAATCTAGGCACTATAGGCTTCCAACATGTTTGTCTCCAATTTTCCACCTAACAATGCGTTCTTTACCATAGGAATGCAGAAGAATGCATGCCTCACACATCCTCACAACGCTTCAGGAAGATGCTGCTGCAAGAGACTTGCGCAGTGCCCTTCTTTTGTCAGAAGCTCATGTTGCGCCACACCTTCCTCAAGAACAGCGACGCTGGTCCGAGAGATTCTGTGATTCCCGGGTTTGTCGGCTGGTGGGCGCTCTCTTTGGGTTTGTCATGGGATATATGGGATGCTCCGAAAATGGCAGCAAGAATTAATGGAAAGATATGGAAAGATGAAAGCTGATGATCAACTATGAGATTTTCAGACACACTCAGGTGATTAGGTCGTCTGAGGGTCTCAGATGAAAAAGGTATTAGTTTTGCCTCAGCTATGCCATCAACCTTCAAAAGTACAGTGAATGCAGGATCCGATGAAGACACTTCAGTAGACAAACCTGGCAATACCAAAAGAAATGACGCATTTTGCTGAGAGTATTCTGATTGGTTGTTTCGTTTTTGCGTGAACGTGCTTCACAGAAGTCCTTCGGCCTTCGGCCTATATACTTTGACGCCGGCACAACCCACGACCAATATCGACCAATACCATTGCTGAGAGTCAGACTTAATCCCAGGAAAGCACTCAAAATGTTCTGGTGGTTTCATGCATTGTGCATTCACCACAATAATATTGAAGCCGTTGAAGCCGTGTCGAACCGAAGCAACTTCGCCCAGGATCCCTTGTCCAGCCTGGGGCAGCCCATCAGCTCAGACCTCAGAAGCCCTCAGCAGGCCCTAAGCGCTGTAAGAAAATGTGAACAACATGATTGCTAAGATTGATTGAATAGATGTTAAAATGACACCGCCAATGAACCAAATGGAATATGTATGAATATGTACTGTCCTCCTTGCCCCCCTTACTCCTTCCTCGGTCATTGTCTTCACAAGGACCGAAAGGGGTAGCGAAGCCTTTTTCTGCCCAAAAAATAACACATCAATTGGAAATTGATATTTTAGATTACCCCTGGGCAGACATTAACCCCCATACCCTCCGGTGATGAAACATAGCAATGGAAAGTCCCCCATTGAGTCCGATGATTTTCCCAACTATAAACATTCCTTTAGTGTTGCTGATATATTCCTAGTAAAACCCCATTGACTTCGATGATTTCCCCGTATTTTCCCCTACCCTTCTCCCATTTGTTAAGTGATGTCCCCACCGTTGCCAGCGTTGCCCAGGTCTCACGCTGGTGGTGGATTCCTTCCACCCAGAGATGGCGAAGACCTTGCAGGACGCCGCGCGGCACGGGGATCTGCGGGCGCTGGAGAAGACGTTGAGCGCGCCAGCGGATCCCAACCAGGCGGCTGGCATTGCTGGGGATGGAGGGGTTATGGTCCTCTGGTCATTTTTGAAGGTTTGAAAAGGTGGGAAAAATGATGGAAAATCACCGGTCAATTTGTATGAATGGAGGTTTTCTAGCTGGAAAATCATGGGGAATTCTCTGGTTGGTGGACAAGATATTGTTTTCTTCAACCATACTTGGGATGGTCAAGATGACTAATGTTTTGGGGATTGGTTGAAACTACCATTAGATTTGAATTAATAATTATATCATTGGGCGAGATGGAGAACTCAACATGTTCAGGAATGGGTGACTTTAGCTTCCAAAAAAATAGTTTGCTACCTTTGAAGTTTAAGCAGCAAATCCAACAAGACCCATGGAAGAGGGGAGGATTCGACCAACCGACCTGGCTGGTGGTTTCTGAGGATTCCAAACACGCCCTGGCGAGCAGTTTCATGTTCCAAGACCTTAATGACCGGCCCACCAAGCGACTGTTTGTTGATTACATCCCTGAGACATCCTGATGAGATCCCCATGAGCTGATTTCACTGACTTCTTGATGTTTGGATCAACCACCTGTTGTGTCCTCATTCCTCGACAACCCCAAGGATCACAAGGGAAAAATGCGACCCCATGCGACCCCCAAATCCAATGGTTAGGCATTTGCCCCTGCTTTGGTTTCTTGAACCCGCTCGAACCTGCAAAGTGGCTCCTTTTGGCTGGGCCCGCTCGCCCTCCTGCGGCCTTCGGGATGCTCCCATTCCGTTGCAGATGGGATGCTCTCCGGTAATCAAATATGAATGGACAATTTCCCATCGAAGTTTTTCCCATTCAAACTTCCATTGAGTGCAGGGATTTCCCATCTACTCGTAGGTAGCCATGTTTGATTCCCCAATAATCATGATTCCCCACTATTGTTGGCTACTGATGGCTACTGTATATCTCCATTACATCCTCCGCTTTCGTACCCTGAAAAAAAATATCAATTCAACACCGTTAAACAATGTTAAACAATGTTAAACACATCAAATTCTTGGGTCATATATCATCATATATATCCCTAAGATATCCCTAAAATATCCCCAAGATATCCCTAAAAATCATCTAAAATCTCCCCATGAAAACTCAGCCATCCCATGAAATCCCAGGTGGATGCCCACGGTTGGTCTCCTTTGATCCTGGCCTCCCATGCGGGTCATGCCGAGGTGGGACCATCACCATAAATGGCTGCTGTACAGTTTAGAAACATACAGTAAATATATAGTTTATATAGTTTAGTTATGACTTACAGTATGGTAATGACATGTCATAACATGTAATAACTATAAAATTCTATAAACACCTCCATTTTATCAAGATATGAATTGTAAACCATCTGGATGCGTGGGAAAATGATGATTAACCACTGGAATTAGGGGTCAATTGCTTTACCATGAGACGAAGTATTTGAGAATGGATGGGTGGGCCGAGCATTTGCGCGATATCCAAATAGTACGACGACAACCAACAAGAATTACAAACAGGGGCTGCAGCGCAGCAAAAGCTCAGCAATTAGTATCCTTTATTTAGCCATATTTTGGTTGCTTAAATCTTTTAATGTAAAGGTAGGGAACATAATTGCCCACTTCACGTACATCATGCGCATACATGCGCACACATCTATTCTATTATATTCTATTGATATGTTACATGATACAATATGATACATGTATGACACAGGGCTGCATAATCAAAAGACAAACCATTTAATAAACACATAAACAGTAAATCAATCAAAAAAGCATGGAATAGACAAATGAAGTGAATGAATGAACCAATGAATACCACAAAACATATTTTGGACCCGTTCTATATCCATAAATGTTCCCTAGTTGTTGTTTGGTTAACGTCCCCAGGTGCTGCGGCTTCTGTTCCGCGCCCAAGCGCATGTGGAGCAGCCCACGCCCCACGGACGTTCTCCACTCTTCGTGGCGTGCCAACGGGGGACACTGGGCATCGGGCGTGAAAAGTGTCGAGCCATGGGAAGATAAAGAGTTCCCTTATCATCCAAACTGTATGAGATACTTCGGATGTACTTCGGATATCTTCGGATATGTTATGATATGTCAAATGTGTTGTGTTCCTTAGGTTCATTAGATTGGTTTAAGGGAAGTTGATGGAAGTTTTGTTTATGGTTGAAACACTCAGTTTGATGGAGAAACATTGAAAAACTTGTTCCCGTTCTTCCTTGAATCATCCCAAAGGTTCCTGTCAAATAGAGGTCTTATGGTCTTGATATGTCTTGATAGCTATGATGAATATTTTCAAACAGGCTGAGTGCTCCGACTTTTCCAGCTGAGGGCAATCATTGCAAAGCGCTGATAGTTGGTTTCAAAAGCTGTCAGTTGTGTGTCTTATTTCCATCCCTCTAACGGTTAGTCAATAAATCATAAACCATCAAAATCATCCATGAACCCATGTACCCTCTGGTAAACTAACATAGCTATTGAAAATGGCCATTGAAATAGTGAGTTTTCCCATCAAAAATGGTGATTTTCCCATCAAAAATGGTACTTGTAGCAGTTCAAATGGCTGGAAGCTCGCAGTGTTGAACCATCCCGTTCTAATCAGTCCATTACCACGGTATGCGAGGAACGTGGACGCTGCACGAGCGGGAGGACTCAGGAAAGATGGGAAAATCTGCAGGATCCCCCGGTATTTCATGGTGAACCATGGTTGAAAAACCGTGTAAAAAAAAAAACATGTTCCCAGAAACCGGTTCAACCATTGACTAACAAATTCTCCATTCTCGAAAAATTGCCCAATTGTTGATATTTTTGATGGTCAAAGCACCAAGTGTTCCAATGAATTCGGCTTGAGCCACACCCCTCGCAGGTCTTATGTGAGCTCAGCGCCAACTTGGAGAGACCAAGGCGGTCATGCGACATGATTTGCAGCAACCCCAGCCTCAATGAATCATAGTCATAGCAAACATTCTTGGATTCAATTGGTTGTTGTGCCATTTCCATTGCCATTGTATCACTGTTCTATCTTTTTTTGGTGGTTGCTATATATTCCGATGAAAGGGGATGAGCATCAATCCATCAATAGAGGTTTGATGTTCGCATTACAAGGATTAACAATAGAATACCCCATATGCTGTGACTGTGTTTTGATGCACCGAAAAAACTTATATACTGTGATTTGAAACATGATGGTACTGTAGAAGGTGCCCAATTTTAAGCGACGCCATGTGATGACAAGTTCCGAATTTTCATGACTTTGATGATTTTCACAGCTAGCCAATTTGTCATTTTCCAATGAAACAGATAGAAACAAACGAGATGTGTACTCCCAGGTTAGATTGCCAGAGGGCACCGTTGAGACTAAAAGGATTTTCAAACGCACGCTGCTGGAGCCTAAATCCCTAGTTTAGTGGTAGTTGTAGAGCAAAATACGTGCCTTAATTTCAAATCATGTTCTTGACCTCCATGATTCTGGCACACATACAGACATTGGAAGTGGCCATGCCATGGGGGTTCCGTGATCCAATTTCGAGTGCTGAAATCGCCTCTTAAAACCATCATTCTTTCGCCGCGAAAATCCAAATTCTTGCCGGTGGTGGCACACATGGGCTGGTAAAAACATGTTAAATTCTCATGTTGGCTAAAATCCAAATTCTCATGTGAAATCCCCCTTTTGGGTGGTAAAATCACGTTAAACACCCCTTTCGGCTGATTATTTAATGTTCAGTTTCTATTTTGGCTGGCAAAAACATCTTCAATCCCGATTTTGGCTGGTTAAATCACGTGAAATCCCACTAATATACACTACTAATATCATGAACTTTCCATTAAAAAAAGATATATGAACCATAAACCATAGTTAACCATAATTTAAATCATATGACATCCCCATGTTGACGTCCTGAAGCTCGTGGGGCGTCAATCTTGTTACCAGGAGTGGAGGGCATACGCCGCTGATGGCGGCATGCCGCGAAGGCCATAGCGAGGTGGTACAGCTGCTCTGTGAGAAAGCGGCCGACAAGGAGCGTTGAAAGGGTGAAGATCAGCGACTGGATGGATAAAACCCAATACCCAATGGGATAATGATGGGATATTATACAATGGTGATAATGGGATCTAATTGGATGTTTACCAGTAATAGTAAACCCAATACCCTCTGTTAAACTAACTAACAGTTTGCTATTGAAAATAACAACCTTTAATAGGTATATAAATCAACTATTTCTATGGGCCATTTTCCATAGCTATGTTAGTTTACCGGAGGGTAAGACAAATCCTTTAGTCTTTTTGTCTCTAAGTGGAAATCACAAACTAACCCAGCAAAAGAGTGATTTTTTGGATGACTACCAAAGATTGACCATGTGAAGAGGATTGAAGAGGTATTTAAGCAAAATTGTGGTTGAATGGAACTTGAATTGGATTTGACTCTATGGTTATTATATGTTCTTATAACTACAATGAAATTGTGCTTCAATGGGACTTGAATGGGATTTTAACTATAGTTAACAGGATCTAATGGGACTTTATTCGTGGTTCAATGGTTTAACTATAGTTATAGTCAATAACTATAGTCGATGGATGTCATCATGGGACTTACAGACATTTACAGACCAACTTACCCATTTATAGATGGAATTCAGCAACAAAACATAACAAAACAGTGAGAGTTCATGGGGTTTTCCGTGGTGGTATCAGGATCACCGGTATGGTGGTGAGAAAATATCACTGTTGTTCACAGTTGATTGAAAGTGAAGAAATGGTTTTGATCTGATAGAGATTATGGTAACATCATCCGGGTAAATTATAATGACCTCACTGCAACCTCACTGGACTAAAGGTTAGTAAGGGGAAATTCTGTATCCCAATAAGGCCATTTGTGTCGAATAGTAGTGGAAGTTTCTTTGTTGCCCATGGCATAGGCTTGGTGAAATATTGCATTTTACCCAGTATCATGGAATATAATATTGATACTGCTATGCATTGATGGATATTGTCACGGTGTGTTCCACTCGATCCACGGAACTGGAAAAATCATGGAACATCGGAATTTAAGCAAGAAGAATGGTGGGATTTGATGGGATACAATGATGCTATGATGGGAATACTCATGGTTGATTCATTTCTTGTGTTAATGGAAGTGGAACTGGGAAATCTTATGTCTTAATACATGCCTAACATGAATAGGAGCTACGACCTCAAATTCAAATTCAATGGGGTTGAGGATGGACCAAGCCCACGGGAATACAATCAACTATGGAATTTCGCATGGAATCCCATTGATATTATTGATACGCATTAATAGTTGACCTTGATTAATGATTATATAATGATTAATATAATAGCAATTAGTGAATATTCACATCTGACCCGTTTTGGGGTCAGAGACCATGGTTAACCGGTGGTTTTACCAAAAAAAAAACTATGCATATAAACCAACAAAAGTGGTGGTATAGCATAATGGGATATGATTTAGCTTTTTTTAAAGCCTCGTAAACAATGCTTTTAAAGCTCCAAGAGACGCGGTGAACGTAGGGGGTACGAGTGGCTAACGGACGTGGTGACGAACGTAAGGCGAACGAGTGAACGGACGAGTGCACGTGTGAGCGAACGAGTAAACGGACGTGTGCGTACAAGTGGACGGACGTGTGCGCGTACGTGCGTGCGTTTGCACGTTCACTGGCCGCGTGCGCGCGCACGTACGAAAATAAGGTCGACTGGAGTCGACCTTATTTCTGGACGTGCAAAGCGCTACAATACTAAATCAATACTAAAGAGGCAGGGTCGTGCAAAAATAAGGTCGACTCAAGTCGACCTTATTTTCGTACGTGCGCGCGCGCGTGGCGAGTGACCGTGCCAACGCACGGACGTACGCTCACACGTTCGCTCGCACGTACGCTCACTCGTACATACATACGTTCGCACGTACGTTCACTCGCACGCATGTCGTTCACACACACGTTCATACCCCCGTTCATGTCACTCGTCACTACACGTACGCTAGATAACAAACATATTTTTACGAGACTTTAAAAAAAGCTAAGATATGATATTTCATGGTGTTATGATGAGGAAATTCATCAATAGTTTGATTCATGGTTCGTTGAAGGAGAAATCATGGTGGTATAGGATCTTTCGGCCTGAAGTGGGAGAAACCTTTAAGGTTTTTACAACAAACACCCAAACAATAGCAGGCAACGGCCACTCCGCTACGCCATGCCAGACAGTCAGAGGAAGCTGAGTTAAAATGTCGCAGCTCCGCAGGAAAAAGTGGTCCATGGTTGGAGTCCCTTGCTGCTGGCTGCGCGGCACGGACACACACGGGTGGTCAAGGCTCAGATCGTCAGATCCTGTGGGGAAGGGGAAAAAATGGGAAAAATGGGACATGGGAAGATCATGGGAGAATGGAGATGCAATGGTTTCGCCAACAGTTATGTGGATGGTGCGGGAATCAAACATGGCGATTTGGGATTTTGTATCGAGCAATATATGGAGTCCTGGAGGTTTTCATGTGAAAATCATCTAGCTAAGGGTGGATGTTTGGATTGCCATGTTTGATTGTCAGAGGGTATCATGATTTAACCAACACATAGATATGAAAATAGACAAGTGGGATTCGCCCTTTGGCAATTGAATGCGTGGACGGAAAACTCCTCCTTGCTAAGCTGTGTTTGCATGTATGTATAAAAATATCCGATTCTCAGATGGAAATTTTGTAGTGCCATGTTTGAATTACCAGACAAATTCTTTCATGCGGGTAAAACAATAATAAACCACCGCTTTGGGAATGGTTTATACCACCTATAAAAATAGTGATTTGAGGGATGGTTTATTATTGTTTTACCCACATTATTGTCAATCCTGAATCCTAAGCAATGGATGACAACCTCAGTTTTTGTTGCGATTCAGGGCACCAGCCTGGTCACATTCCTGCGAAGCTAGATGGACTTGGTCCAAAATTGAGAGATGTATTCCCATGTGCTCCCAATTTGCAGAAATGTTCGGAAAATGATGGCAGGATCAAGCATGAACTTGGTGTTTTCAGACAAGCGATATGGCTTTGTTTGAGGATAGGGTGCCCAAAACCAGTTGGTAAATCCCCATCCAAATTCACCGGCGTTGCACTTGAATCATGGGTTGAAACACATAGCTGGTGGCAAACCCAAGAATAGACCCCAATTGTTTGTAGAAAGTTTATTTCAAAACCAGAAATTAAAAACACATCAGAGGATAGAATTAGTGATATTGGTTTCCAATGATTGTCGTATTGCCAATGTTAGATGGTGTTGTTTGACCGATGTTCTTCAGGGCTTGCCAATGGATGGTATGGTGGCTATCAGCTCAGGTCAGACTAGTAGAGAAAACTATAGGAAACCCCCAGGTTTCAAGATTCCATGGGGAAAACCATGGTGGTTCAGATGTTCCCTGATGCGCCAATCCATTGTGCCATTGTTAGCGCAAGTTGGTGGAAGAACTGAATCAGGATGGTGATTCAACCATTAAAGATAGTGACATAACATGACTTAACCAATAAACATGCTTGTCATGCTGGTTTTTGAGGTGGATATGGGGATATAATGGGTAAGAATCGAACAATATTAAGGTGGGACAGACAAAAAGCAACCGTAGTAGCATACCTCACCTCAGGACCTGAGGGCGATGGGGGAGAGAGAGAGAGAGAGAGAGCATACCTCACCAAAGATTGTGTTTTTTCGGGGGTGGATCATCCGAAGAATCCAGATGGCTTCTTGCAGGTTACCTTGAATTATTTGATGGCTTCGGGATTCTGATCCATTTCTTCTTCCGAAAAAAAAAACGAAAGCCTGGTTGAAGGGTAAGTTTACCGAAAGCCCATTCCTTTTTTTTGCACTTTCCCAAGGACCAGGATCCAAGAGCCTTGTTTGCTCAGCCCACCGCCTTGCGCCTGGTGTAGATTGGTGTACAGTACCTGTGGTGATTTTCCTGTTCACCTCAAAACGTGAGAATCTTGTTTTGTTGCCCTTGTGCTTTGATAATATATTATATTATATTATATATTATATTATATTATTATATTATATATTATTGATGGTAAAAAATGGTTTTCTGTAGATGGTCCCTGAAAACAATACATTGACAATTGTTACTTTTCCATCCCTTGACTTCGACACCGCACTTTGGAAGCTCCACACGAAAGACTTGATCCAACCCCAAAGAAAACCTTAAAGCAAACTATCTATGTATATATATATGTATAAATGCAAAAAATAAAATAAATCCTAAAACCCTCACGAAGGAAACTGCACGCGCACCTTAAAGTCAACCCCCAAGCCAACTTTAAATTTTCAAGCAACCTCAAATAAACCTTGAGAAACGAATGCCAATTAAAGGGTTAACCCAACCCAAAACAAACCTAAATCCAAACCTAAAAGACAAATGAATTTTCGACAAATTCCGAATCAAACCCTGAACCGATTTTAGATACAACTTTGCACCAACCTTAAGCCAACCAGCAATAAACCACTGACCCAATCCTGAATCAACCCCAAACCAAACCGAAAGAAAACTTAAACACATCTTAAACCAAACACTAAGCACGCCAGAAATAACACCCGAAAAATGGTAAATAAGCATTACGCCAAAATTATATAAATAAATCCAGATTAAACTTTAAGCTAACACTAAGCATCACTAAGCACACCCAAATTAAACCCTAAATCAAGTTTAACTACAATTTCAAAGCGCCTTGGAACACAACCCTAAACCAAATCTAAACAAAACCTTACACCAAACGTAAACCAACCCTGAGCATATCTTAAGATAAGAAACATTCCAAAATGCCTTCAGCCGAAACAAATCCTACAGCAGCCTTAACCCCATGCTCTTTGAACCAACCCTAAAACTAAGCGGACTCCTAGCTAAACCGCAAACTAACCCTAAACAACATATTGCACCAACACTAAATTCACGCTAAACAAGCGCTACACAAACACCATTTATAAACCAACTTTAAACCGACCTGGAATAACTAACCCAACCCACGATACCGATACCTTTAACCAACCCCAAGCACACACCACAGCAGCCCCAACAACACTTCTAGCTGGACCAACCCCAGATTGCTGCTAGCTCCAAAAATGTCCGATTCCGGCAGAAATAAGTGTTTCTAGCTCCAAAATGCTCGACTTACCGTCAGTGTCTAGGTCCAAAATGCTGCAATTACATGCAATTACCGTAGAAATGGTTCCAAAATGTTGCAAATATTGTCGAAATGGCAGCTTCGAGGTTTAACATGCTGCAAATAGCGAGGGAATTGATGCAGCATTGAGGGGGAAAAAATTCCCCGGGACGTGCGAAAAAGAATCCCTGGCGAAAACTGGGCCCTACAAACAGCCCCGCAACCCGCAGAAGGCGATATATTGCCTATTCGGAGGTCCTGATTTTGACAGCTCGCAGGTCCTCCATTGGATGAAAGTTGATGAGTGAAAACATCGATCAAGACACGGGAACGTTGATTTAATTCACAATACCACCCCCTCCGAAAAGAGAAATGAGGGCAGAAAACACAATTCTATTTTAAACCAAATCCGATTTTTGAATGTAGGCGTGCCCGATGCTCTTCGCATCCCTGTGTGAGCACTAACAAGCTTGGGCCGACCTAGCCAATATCAGCCTCCATGCACCTGTTGCGCACTTTCGAAGTAGACCGCAGGAAGAACCGCAGGTCATCGGCGGGACATGGCTTACGTTCGGCGCGGGCGCTGATAACATCGCAAGTTCAAAGAGCACACGTTCCTCGGCCACTGCCATCCCAAGGGTCATCAGGGTCATCCCAACCCAATCTGGCCCGCACAGGTTCTACACCACATGGGAGCCACGAACACAAGGAGCGACGTCTCTCAGCACATTCATCCATGGCTTGGTGTGGGGCAGGTGCGAGGAACATGGGGCTGAATTGCAACTCCCAAGCTAAGTGGGGCTGATGCAGCAACAGGGACGGCACAAAAAGCATAAGGATATATAATATATAAGGTGAGTTAGATGTTCCAGGGCCGCTTTCTCTTCTTTAGTTTTTGAGGTTAGGCATTAATTTTGGTGCGTGTGCTGTCGCCATATTTATTTTCTACACGCTGTGTTTGAGAAGGAACGCGATGGACACGCTAGTGTGGAGCACGCCTATGTGCTGAGAATCACCTTGCTCGGCGAGCAAAACCACAGGGATATACGAAAGAAGCGTTGAATTTGGATGCGCACCACAATTAGCAATTAAGGCGTTTTAAAAAAAACAGAATCCGCAAATATACAGGTTGTGAACCATGCACCAACACTTACCAACTAAGATGCACCCCCAAAAAAAAAATATTTTTTTGCCCATGACCCGCACCCCCAGGAGTCTTCCAGATGGCACGACAGCAATTCACTTTGCCGCCGAGAGGGGGGATGAGGAGCTTGCTTCTTTTTTGGCCACTGGGATAGCAAGTTTAAGAAAAACGCCTGAAAGTCGGCCCTACTGTTGATTCGTGTCTAGTCTTGGCATTTCTCCATCAACCGCACCAAACCATTGGGTGAGTGCAACTTCCGAGGTATTATTTTGCAATGCTGTTTGGCCTTGATTCGAACAAAGTTCACTGATAAACATCCTTAAGCGTGCAACAATCCCAGGTGTCCTGTGATACGGACGTGGGGCAGGCTGCGGAACGTGGGGCGGAGGATGAATTCCATTGACTCACGTTTCGCAGGTGGCTGAAAGCACCAGAAATGTTTGCCAATTGTTTTTTCCCAATGTTATAGCAGTTTTTTTGGCTGGTAATCATGCAATTATTGTTCTCATGCGATAGCCCAATTTGCAGTTAAGGGAATTTTATGGGTGTACGCATTGTGAAACAACCCCCTATATACTGCATTTCTGAGTCTATGATTCCAACAGCAGGTTTTAGGATCAGGCATTTGCTTCCCTACCTTTGGGGTACAGATCCGTAGCCTTTTGAAGCTCTCATCATGGCCCCACAAGCCTTGCCGACTCTGAGATGCACAGGGGAACATGAAGAGTACATTCAATAGGAAAATTGCGTTTATCAATAGCAAAACTGATGTTTTTGGTAGATAACTGTAGCTGGATGGGTTTACAAATCAATTTATCACATTAGTTTCCATCAAATTATTCAATGTGGTGAATTTGCTGGAAACCTCCAGTTCTTGGGAAAATCAAGGAGGGACACAGCGCAAAATCCTGCAAAAACATCTTGCAGCAAACGACCTCTCACAATTTTTCCGACCGCAGCACTGCTGCAAACTTCAGTGGGTTGCTCAGGATTGTGCGCACCTCAGTGATGTTCTTTACAATGATGGAAAATGACCTGGATTTGCCAACAGGAAATAAAAGTCTCACTACATTTGTCTCGTCAAAATATTTTTTTATTGTGTAAAACATGCGGATTATTCGTACATATACATACAATATATATTCTAGTCTAGATATGTATAATCATATGGTCATATGTATTATATGAGCCAGGCCCCCCCACCCAGGGAGGGACCATACCATGGGGGGTGGGAGCCCGGGGACCGGGTTCATATATATATATATTTATGTACACATACATATGTGTGTGTGCATGTTATAAAGGTATACACATGTGTTTGTCTCTCTCGCCCTCTCTGCCTCTCCAAGCCCGTTTGCCGCTTTTGGGTATTGAACTTAAGTTGGATTTGATGATGGCGCCGTCACGTATGTGCCTTGCTTAAAAATATGGCTACGTCATTCGGACTCCGGACCCACCTTTTTGCCGCTGAACTACCACTTTTGCTTTAAAGTCAATCCATGCAGTCTGTCATAGATTCTTGAACCTTGGTTGGGTAGGCCAGAAGAAGATTGGTTTTTGCCATGCAATGTTAATGTATATTAACCAGCCAAAATTTGATACCTCTTTGTGTGGGGTATCTAAATCTAGGATTGGCAATGCTTTACCTCACAGTAACCATGATAAACCATGTTTGGTGGTCACATTTTTGAATTTCAAAGCCGCCTTTTTTTCTCGGTTGAGTCCCCATTTTGTCGGTGCAGTAATTAGCAGCTGCAATTTCCGTTGGCAAAATCTTGGCTTGTGACGGTAAAATGTATTTTTTCTCGTTAAACCTTTGTTTCGTTGGTTTAATTTTCTGGTGGTTAAGACCCGTTTGTTGGTTATGTCCCTTTGTTTGGTTGCCTAAACCACCAGTTCCCAGATGTTTTCGCAGTTTTGATTTTTGATGGTTAAAAGTTAAAACCAATGAAAACATCATTCTGGCTGATTAGATCAATTTATGATGATTAAGTCGTGTTGAATCCATAATTATGTTTGGTTGCTTATTCCATTTTCTTGATGGTTAGATACGATGCATGTATATATTTGTTTAATTTGTTTATTTATTTTTTCTGCCAGTACCCTAATTCAACCACCATTGCTTCATAGCAAATTCAGCATGTTTGCTGGTTAAAAGTTCCTTCCATTTTATTTCACATGAAATTGATTAATAATAAAATAGTCACAGGAAACACCAATCAATTCGATGGGTAAAACCATCGTTTCCGGTTGACATGTTCCCTTAAACCAGAACCCAATTGTTGATTGTTACCCCCAGTAAACCAACATAGATGTAGAAACCCCGCCATTTGTAGATTACGTTCCAATACAATTAATAACATATCATATATAATTTGTTCCACTTGTTTGCATGTTTACCCCAAACTAAAGCACCATTTCATTCAAAAAATTGTTTTGCATATATCATCATCACCCACATTAACCGTCATTAACCCATATTAGATCCAAAGAAAACCTAAGGAACCTAAGTATGGTTATTTTCCCAGTGTTTTCCCATGTTTTTCCCATGAATTTATGGCATGAAATCTTTCCAGGGCAGCTGCGATGGGTGCTCGCGATGCCGAGCCCCTGCTTCTGTCGAAGCTCTGCGACCGTGGGGCGCAGATTCAGCCGAAGAGCTCCATCGTCACGAGGTGAAGCTCCAAAAATATGGGTATGGGTCAATACCTATAGATACATTTTTAGTGGGATGAACATCCATAAATCCCAGCTATTTTGGGGTTCACTAGGTACCAGGGTTTTGACCCATCCCCATATGCTGATTTAATGATGAACCATGTGAAATTTCACCGATCTACTGGGATTTTACATGGGCACATTGGGAGGTGAAGAATTGAGCAGCAGCAGAAATGTGGGTATCTAATCGACTTCATATTGTTGTTGGGCGTGTCGAAAAACAATGGTGGATGTACCATGATGTACCATGAATCCAGTTTGCAGGGCAGTGTGGTTTCACCATTGGGCCCCATGTTTTGAAGGGGCTCATCACTGAAACCATTTGGTTTCTGGTCTCAAACAGTCCTGAGTTTCAACCATAGGATGATAATCCTAGTTGAATGTTTTTTTTTTGAGGACTTGAAGCCACCAACTGCATTTATGATTTCAGGGGCGGCCTCAAAATTGCCGGTCAGGACCTCTCATGGCTATCATGTGACCACCTACGGCGAACACCTCCGACGCAGCAAGCGTCTAGCTTCAGCCCTTAGCAAGTGTGGGGTGAAACTGGAGGACTGACGTTACACCCAACTGGATGAATCATAATGGGTTAGTTGTATCCCATTATGTTGTTACATGCGTTTTTAATGATATCATGTGTATATATGTCTATCAACATCTTTGATGGTTAGATATATCATGATATATAATTAATACCATTACATGAATATAATAACTAACTAACATTTATTCACATACATTTGTCATGTTTGTAAAAAACTGATTCAATATATATATATATATATCCATGGTATTTACATACATTTGCCATGGTGAAATACCACTGATGTTGATCCAAAAAAACGCAACTGGGAGATGTCTCGGACATCGTTTCCAGGACCGGGTGGCTACCTTGATGTGGAATACAGGCGCGGCCAGCGTGGCCTTGGGAGACCGGGATAGCCCATAGGAAAATCACAGGAAACCAGTGGATTTACCCTCTGGTTATTTAACATAGCCATGAAAAATCACCATTTTTCATGGGAAATTCCACTATAAATGGCCATTTTCAATAGCTATGTTAAATTACCAGGGGGTAGATGAATTTGGGATGATTTAGGGTATACCAACCGTATTCCCGATTTTTTTGGACAAGGCCGTTTCACCTGATTGAACTGCTGCAATGGAATCTTTCAGGGGGCTCAGGATGATCCCATCAGACAGCTGAAAAACCGGTAGCTGCTGGAAGGTTGGCACTTTGAATGCTACCATGCCATTTCCTGCTTGGGCGCCGTGCTGCACACTGTCAACCTCAGACCCTTGGTACATCTTGGTACGTTGGACGGTCGGCGCCAAGGGCATGGTAAACGTTGGGTAGACCTCAGTGGAGGAAACTGGCGAATGATGGAGTCTGGTCCACGAAAGGGGGGAGTGTATAACTATGTAATACTATGTATAAATTATGTCTGTAATCATTTTGAATATCATATATATATATATACGTGTATATATATATACATATTTATTTACACATATTTATATGCATGTGATTTATTTACATATATATATTTGCAAATGTAAATATGACAGTTTTGAAAATCACATACACAGACGGATGGATAGGTCTGTGGATGAAGTTGAATTGGTGTGTATTTCATTGTGTATGCAGACATGACATATGTGTGTGTGATTGTGTAAATGTCACATATGAATATACACATGTGTGTGTGTGTGTGCGTGAATGTGTGTGCATTTGCATGCCTTTTGAGAAGGCTTAGAAAGGGATATATTTATTTGAATGCACTTACAATTTCCGTGAATAGCCAACAAGCATGTCATAACATTTGTTTGCCCCCCCCCCACGGCCGCTGGAACACATTCATCACAGCGGGTTCCCGGCAGTTTCGGATCTTAGTTCCAAGGTGCTTCACTACTCTGTGGATCAATGTGGATCAGCATATTATTCTATCATCAGCTCACCCCATTTTAGCATAAAATCATGTATGTTTTCTTCATTTCCATGTGCTCACATTCAAATATATGTGCACAAAAAATCTATGGAAGTCTCTATGTGAAAACGACCCGGCATACGTAAACTGTATAACATCTACAAAAACATACAAAAGCCATCAGCCACACCATCAAAAGCCATCAAAAAAATATCAAGAAACCAGCAACAAAAACATCAAAAAACCATCAAACACCATGAGTGTTTTTTCTGTTGGCCTGGCATCCCGACCCAGAAAAGACTTCCCCCCTGGAGAGATCCACTGGCACCAAGGGCTCGGGACGGCCGACCTCAACTACATCATAAGTCATGCTCAGGAGCCTGACAGATTTTCTGGATGTTAGTAAAGCATATGGGAAAATATAGGGAAATCTGTTATAAAATATATAAATGGCGGTTTATAGCTGGGGACATGATCAACAATATCTGGGTAAACTATAACAACCTCACTGTTCTCCCTCACTGTGATGATGGTTAATAAGGGGATTTCTCCCAAACATAGCCAGTTGAGTCTCTCAACCAGACATTTACTAACACAGACACACACACACAGAACAGAACACATAGACACCCATAGACACCCATAGACATAGATATTTATATGGTTTCCGTTCAATAAGGGCGGTCACATACGGTCACAGATTTTATCGGAGGTCGACAATTAAAAGAACATATATACTTGTGTTTCTTCCCTATGGAGCGGCCCGGAACCAACATTTTGACGATAAATCATATTCTATAATATTATAAATGTATATATATATATATAATACCGATACTTATATCAGCACACACATGTGGAAAGTGTTTTTAGTTATTCTGAAGGTGGATGCATACACACACACATATATACCCATACACGCATATGCCACAGACACACATCGGTCCTGACATGGCCAGGACCGGATGATGTTTGTGGATGCGCACCTCATCCCTTTGTTGGAACAGGTGGAGCTGGGTTCGACCTCCAAGGAGGTTTGGGGTAAGGAATGATGAGGACAGACCATCCATGAATTTCAGAGGTTGCTATGGGAAATGATGGGAAATCGCCAATAAATGGGTGTTTAGAGCTGGGAAAATCATCTATGAATGGTAGATGTATGGAAATGACCCACTTTGTCGATGTTTTGTCCATTGCAGATTGTTATTTGCCACAGCTATGTTATATAAACTACTACAGGGAAGGCCAACCAAATCGTGGCAAGATGTGACAAGTATATAGGATGTAATCAAGAAGCTATACCAACCATTTTGGTGTGAAGCAAAGGGCACCATTTGGTTTTGACACATAGCTATTCAATGCCTGGAAGTGTCTTAGAAAGTGGCTTAAGTTTCTACATGAATGCGGGTGAACATACCATATCCATCCATATCCAAACAAATACTGTATCGCTTACAAGGGATATCTTTGTTGCAGGACATGAATCAAAAACAAGACATCCAGTAAATCAAACCTAGACGAACTTATCCCCATCAGATTTTCCCATCCCATCAGATTCTTATGGAAACTCAGGGGATTTCACCATCTTCCAAGCCCCAAAAAATGGCCCATCGGCAGGTCGACGCCAGCATCTTGGCCAGTCTGGAGCTCTTCATTTGCGTCGGCGAAAACGCTGAAGCCAATAATTGGTCCAGCTCCGTGCTTGCCACCCGGTGCCTGGTGAGCCCGGTGAGCCCGGTGAGCTATATGGGAAGCCAGCAGTTTCAACATAGGTAACTCATCCATAGGTAACTCATCCATAGATGTGGGTAAAACAAGAAACCAACCATTTGGGGATGGGTTAATTATAGCACCTATTGGTGGTGAAAGTGGGGGATGGTTTATTATTGTCCCACAGGCGGGTTATTTTCCGTAGCTGTTTTAAACTACCGGATGCTATGCGAAGGGGGAATCGATAACAAAGACATAGCAGCACAATGCTGTTTAATGGTTTCAACAATGTAAATCATCTACATATCGGCTATTTTCCATAGCTATGTCAGTTTACTGGAGGGGTATGCTCTATTTTTAGGATGCATCTGCTTTTCTTAGGATGTGTTTAGTTGATTTTCTTTATTTGGTGATATAGATATAAGTGTTTGATTTGATTCATTTGCTGTCTATTTTTGCTTATTTGGTTTTGTTCAAATTTATCTCCTCGCATCCATTGATTGCCCACTAGATAGCTACACCAGGAGACAGGCGCCATACGTAGATAGGGGCCTGAGTTGTCAGCCTTCTGAACATCCACCATTTACAGTCAGAGACTCACCAAGTGCCGCGCCTGCCACACCAAACAGCCGTGCGATGAAGACAAATCGATCGAAAAAGTTGACGGAGACAAGTTGATAGAGATTGACAGTCATGTTTTTAGGAGGATGAGGCACATATTAAATTATAGGGAATGTATGGGAATGTTGTACTGCAATCGGAATCAACACGTGCCATGTTTGATTCTGATTGGCTTAGCGGCTAAGTCTTGTTAACACTGTCACCTCCAAGGACCCCAAGAGAACGGTGGACTATGAGGCTTTTTTGATGTCTGGCAATGAGGCGCAGGGCGGGCAGCCATCATGGTAAATGGATGTAAATGGTACATCATTTCTCAGAGAACCAACAGGTGATATCATGGTAAAGTCGAGATTCTCCGCCAATCATGGCTGGAAATTCTCTCAATGGTTTTCCCAGCTATAAACCTCCATCTATAGCGGATTGTCCCATAGTTTTCCATGTTTTTTTGCCAGGGCCTCCTGCAATGTGCTGAGTTCCTTCATAAATGCCACACCAAATCCACTTTACCTACAAAGCCGGGTTGATTAGTTGTGAAAACTCGGGGTTAAACGGTTTGCCCATGATATACTTATAGAATTTGTATGAATTTAAAACTTTGAACCTTGAACACTAGACTAAGAATCGATTTGATCGCTCGTTTGCCATTCAATGGTCATTCGCCCGTGCTTCGGCATTACGTCGGCAGCATTACGTTAGCGCCAGGAGTTCTCATGGCCCATGGTGCCAGAAACATCTCTGATGGGTTTGTGCTACACTTCTGGCACCACTGGCCGCCCCAAAGGTTGGATGGGAGACACCAAACTGGAAGGGGAAATGCTGTTTGGCTCGAAAATATGGTCCCGTCGAAATGAGTTATACGTTAATTATCATCATTGTCACTACTTCTGTAATTATTGAACATAAACATATTATGATGCTATATCATGTTTATCGGTATTTATTATTGTTGCATCATCACAGCAGTTTGCATTGCGCAATATTGTGCATTATTATGCCAACAATCAGCATGGTTCTTCGGTCCATGAGGTCCCGTATCTGTTTTAGCCATACCCGTTGATGTCATGTCGCCGGTGTTGGACCGTCCCATGTCCCTTCCAACAGCCATTCCGAAGACAGGCAGTCACCAGTTTGCTCAATGTGACCCAAGCGATCACTAAAATGTCTGTCTCTTCACCAAAATTCTGCCTAGTGCATTAATACATATATTTAAAACAGTATAACTGTGTCATACCGCTTCGAATCGTTTCGAGTGGGATAATACTGATAATACTGCACCATACTGCACCAATGGATGTTTTTTCCCCACATAATATCCTCAAGTTCGGTGGGGCATCCAATAGGGCCATCCCAACACTCCCAGAACAAGGTTTTTTGCCGATCTTTTACTCCTTGAGCTACTCCTTGAGCAATCTTTGGCAGAATATCAAGATGATTCCGGAATAGAAACTTGGGGAAAATTGATGAACTTTGTACTTCTGTGATGTTCATCAAGTTGATTCCTGATTCAAATTGGTGAATCGGTAACAGGTAACAGTCAACCTGATAAAATCCATCGATTCCCCAACCCGGTATAGCTATATAGATGATGAAATTATATGTAATTTTGTCGCTTGATTTAGTAAGTGTCCCCCTTGTATTTGGGTGTTGGGAGCAACAATTAAGTCACCATCGATAAGCCATGATTCACCACTACCAACCACTAACCACTATATGAACCACTCACTATATTGTTAATCATTCACAACCATTAATATTGTTAACAATTATATGTAGATATATATATATATATTTTTATACTTATTTATTTATTTATTCATTTTTTTTTATAAATATCGATATGAACCACTACCAGCCTCCACTTGGTGAACTCGGTCCACCAGATCCAGGCGCCGCCTACAGTCAGCGCTCCACCTACCTGCACACCCTGATGATCTGCGGCGTGGACCAGTCACCTGGCACCATCCGCTGCAACTGTGGCGCTTGGGGTCCTGGGGTTGGGATTTTCTCCAGAAAGGAAACCTCCGAATGAATCATGGGACATATACAACTGGAATGATCTAAATGATGGATGCTTCATATCTATCTTAACTTACTCTATCTTACTTTATCAGTTTTAAATATCTTTAGATCTAAGTGAAAGAGTGGGAAGCATCATAAAGCAGTGTGAAATGTCAGCCACAAATGAAGATGTTTCAGTTGGGAGCGGCTCTGCAGGTGAAATGTCCGCACGATTTCCTGGTCTTCCATAGCTATGGAAATCCATATGGTAAAACGGGTAAATCATCTATTTATAAATGGGCCATGTCCATGGCTATGTTGGTTTACTGGAGGGTACACATAAATTGGATATCGATAATAAATTCTGGGTGACCTGTTTCTGTGTTTCTGTGGTCAGGAGCCATCTTTCGATCACACAAATAAAGTTGGATATAGATGGGTTCTATGAGTTATATATATATATATGTAATCTCAGCGTATCACATTGCAAGTGGGACCCACGATTCGTGGTTCCTGGTTGGATGGCTGACCTATGATAGCATGTGTTTTGGACAGCTTCACCATTCACCCTAGCCTTACGGGATTCAGCCATGATTCATCCCACCATCCAACCAGGCTGGCCATCTCGGCGGCGGAGGTGGTGATGCCGTGACTGGGCACCATTTTATGTTTTTTTACTGGTGATATTTGGTGCTTAAGCAATTCACCAATTACCATCTGGTTATGACTAACATAGCCATGGAAAATCACCATTTTTAATAGGTAAACCATCTATAAATGGGCCATTTTCCATGGCGAACTGTTAGTCATCACCAGGTGGTAACCATTGTGATGAACCCATTCACTGGAGGATTTTGGAGGACTTCATCCCCCCATGAACTGGTGATTTGCTTATCCATGATTTAGAGGATTTAGAGGACTAGTTAGTGATATCTATAACGAGGTGATGACTTAGATGACTTAGATGACTTAGATGACTTAGATGACTTAGATTGTCAGTTAGTAGATTTATCATTCTAGAGGACTAAGTCGAAGGGACATGTTCAAGGAAACCGCCATATTTAGAGGTAAAACCCATGGTCTCCTGTAGATTTCCCAGGATTTTCCTTGCAACTAACCCAGTGACTTGGGATTTAGAAGGTTAGTTAGTGAACAGTGATCATAACTATATAGGTGAAATTTCTCTAAAATACCTCAGTAAGTATATTTTTGGATGTATATAAGTAAATTTTTGGTATAACTCAGTGATAATCAAAAGTTAACGCACTAGCCACTGCCGGTAAGCGGGGACTTTCGAGGGACTCATCCCAAGAATGGAAATATACATCATTTTTATCCGGGAATTATGGCAATAATGCGTGCGCGCATGTACGTGTCGCTTTGCTGGAGGTGATTAGAATATTTACAAATCCCATCAAATCCCTATGTGCATGATTGGATGGACCGATTGACCAGATTTGCATGTTGGAGGCATATGTAAACAGCGGTAGGCATACAAAGACGGCATACTGCGGCATATTCCTATGGTCGACATATAGTGCAAATAGCAAACTAGTGGCACACCCACTTCCAAGTGGAATCGCCCATCACTGCTTGCAACCCCGATAATTTTACTCAATGTTTAATGGTTGAATCCTTTTTAATCACCATCCTAAATCCATTTAATTATAAATGTTATACCTCCATGACATATCCATGATACATCATTCTTCTGCCCCCAAAAAACCGGTTAGTAAAAAAAAATCCCATGATATCCCCATATTTTATCCCATATCACCCATTTACAAAACCAGGTTCCCATAATATTCCCATCAAAATATCCCCATATATCCTCATCAAAATCCAGATGTTGGTAAAGTCATCGAATTTTTCCATCCTGACCTCCCCCAAAAAAAACTTCCAACAACTCGTTGGCGACTCCTTGAGGTTCGTGCCCATGTTCCACGTCCTCAGCTGGGGCATCCCCTATGCGCTGCTGATGACTGGAGCACCTGTGACCTTTACGAATCGCTTCACCGATCCAGGACGGAGCGGAGACGGGGTGAGCCAAGGGAGCCAATTCGATGGTTTTTTACATCTCAAGAATGGTTAAAACAAAAAAAACGGCACATACATCAACGACCATAAACAAACAACATCAAATTCCCTTGTTTTTTTCGTTGCTTCGAACTTCCAACTTATCGTTTTTTGTGCTCATATGTTTACATAATAGAAGTAACATTCATGCTACATGTCCATAAAAAGTTACTACTAGTAGTAGGGAGAGAAGTTCAGCAGATAGCTATACATATCACACACACATATATATATAATATTATACAATGATGTGTCTATGTATATTGACTCTATAATTAGTTTCAAATTCACCACGACCCTGTTTGCAATTCACCGGGAGCACCGTGGTTCGCCAGGAAATATGCTGCAAATTATGATGGATTGGCGAGTGCAGCTTTCCACAGGTGTGCCCACAGTTTGGCAACAACTTCGAGCACACATCCAGAGCCAAGGTCCGCAGGAATCCCGCAGGTTTCAGCAGGTGAGGGATTTCACCAACTTGTTTTTTTGGATATCAAGAATGCTGGGCATGTAATGAGATATGATCGGGGAATAACATGGAACAACACGGTGTCATCCCGGATTCGATGTTTGACATTTGGATTTAGGGATTTTAGGGGGTTCTTAACCACCAACCGCCATCTCTGCATAGAAACAAAGGCAACATTCTTCAAGGCTGTGGGGTGTTCAAATCACGATGTTCAGATTGTTCAGTGATGTTCAGTGTGATTCCCATCGTTGGATTCTAAAAACCAAAGGATGCTGGTGTTCGTGGTTTATCCTAGTGTTTGTTGGCGATTCGGCGATTCACCCCATACTTGTTTGGAAGCCTTGTGAATATAAGTTTTGCTGGTCAAACCATGTCATACCACCTGTTCGACGCTGTTCTGTGGTGTTTGCTACCTCGGACGCCGCTCTTAGCTTGAGCCTCCAGTCTTCTCATGTTTATCAAAGAAATCTTCCCCATTTCTGCCCGGAAAATCCCATGGAAAATCCCGTTCCAGGCGTGGCCAGTGTGAAGCCGAACCTGGCCTTGCGGCGCCTGATTTGTGGCGGCAGCGCGCCGCCCGCGTCGCTGATGCGCTGGTTTCTGGCGCCTGGGCGAAGAAAAAAAGACGGATCCAAGTAGAGGGATGGCAGATGGATGTTCAGACTGGTGATTTAACATGATTTTACCAAGAAAATTATGACTTAATGGGATTTCTAATGGTGACACAATGAGATATAATGGAAGAAATTTCCACTGAGAATGGTGGCACCTGTGATTGCTATCATTAAAGCTTGAACAACACTTTGCTTTATGCTAGAATATGCGATTGGGAATAGCATTCTGTAGGAGAAGCTTTTCTTGGAGTACGTATACAAGCATTTTCAGCTATGCATTTTGTAGTAGTCTCTTGGGGTCTCAACATAATAAAAACGTGTAGTTGCGCGTGGCATCTTATACGGAAGTGAAATGTTGATTAATTCATGCCTTCCCAGGAACAGCATTTTGCAGCATCAGGGTATTGTGATGCAATGCAAACATTGTTTGAAAAGAATCTCCGTTCCAGTGTCTGCTAGAAAGTGGGTAATGCGGTGCTTGGTAGGTAGTTTGTAGCAGCCTATGCCAGCATTTTGTAGCAGTGTATGATTTTCATTCAGAAACATGAGTTTCAATTTGCCACTTGTTTGTGTTTTTTTTTCAAAACCCAAGTATATAGCACGGTTCAGTGAATTGTTTGGTGATTGCTTTGAAGAGCCAAGTGGCATTTTGTAGCGTTTTCCAGGGGCACATTGGATGTAATCGCAGATTTTCTAGATTTTTGTAGTGAAGTTATGCGAAGCTAGCAATCCCCGTTAGTATTTCCAGTACAAAAAGGGTCAGCATGCTTGCCGGCTTGCCACAAACACATTATTTTGATTTATTTTGATAGAAAACATAACTATGGAAAACCACTATGTGCAAACCCACCATCATACATCATACATGTTTCATTTCATGTTGAGCTGCACGATCTTGACCTCGGTAATCAATGGACAATCTCCCCCGCTGTTTTTCCCATGACCACCTTTGATTACTGGAGGGCACTTGGCCCTCCAATTCCTACAGCATCCTTGGCTCATCATCCCGACGGCGTCGCTTCCAGGATGAACTTGGTGTGGAATTTGTTCAAGTCACTGGGCGAAGAAAATCCCGTGGTGGATTCTTTTTCGATATGACAGGGTCAAACAACGGGGCTTCCAGTACCCTCTGGCAATTTAACAGTTTGCTATGGAAGACTGCCCGTTGATAGATGGTTAAAGGATGTTAAAGGATGTTAAAGGTTAAAGTGCCTTCAGCATAGCTGAACTCTTCGAGAAGACGATGGGGAGAGCGAAAGAGAGGGAGAGATGATTAAATGAGGAGCCTAAGAAGAATTCTGAGGGCTCTCGAGCCTGCACGCAATGCACTTCACAACCAAGAATCGGCATTGACTATATGCGCGTGGAATATGGGAAGAAAGACAAAGAGAAGTTGGATGACCATGGTCCTTGACCATACCCAATTAGGTCCCAGATGGTCCCAGCATATTTGATTGGCTTAAGGGACAATCTACAGGAAACCATCGATTTTCCCATTAAATATGGGGCTTTCCTGCAATTTTTCCGTTAAACCAATCCATTGAATTTCGTCACCTGGGCACTGTGGCACTGAGGTGTGGGGCATGACCGAGACAAACCCCATTGGCAGTTCAGCCAAGCGGATTGGTAAAGTGCCTGACTTGCAGAAGAGCCACTTGGTTCATTTTGGTGACCTGGGCCTGTGTCCCAACTACAGTTGGGTGAATTCCTGTGAATCCTGGGGATATACTGATGACTTGGTGATTTTCCGAAGATCCACCATTTTGAGAAGGGGACCCTGCTCTGACATGTTCTTTGGGGTAGGAACCTTTTGGTTACAAGTCATAATATAGTATTATATTGACGGACTGAAACTTATAATAAAGTGTTTTATTATGTTGTATTTCTCTCTTTTTAGTGAATACGTGTGAAATGCCTGGCAACATGAAATGTTGGCGGGTTGGGTGTGAAGCCGAATGCTTGGTCAAGCGACAGAAGTTGCCTGCAGTGCAGGAGATCCACATGAGAGATGTTAGGAGGGATAGTTCCTTCCCAAAAACGCTCATTCAGTTCCCTTTGGTAAACTAATAGCTATGGAAAATGAGCATTACAGTTGATTTACCTATAACAAAAAGCTGCTTTTCCATACGTATAGCTATGTTGGTCTACCAGAGGGTATTGGGTGTTTAAAAAAAGGTATGATCCTACACTCCCAGGGGGCTGTCAGACTGACCATCTCAACGAGATTTCGCTTCGGGAGATGGCCAGGCACAGATGAAAGCTTCGAAAATGTGCGGAAAGCAGGTTTGCCCTGCCCAGGAGCGCTTCGGAGTTTTGCCTGCCCAAGGGGATTCGGGGTTGTTGAGATTTTGGATGATTTGCCGGCATTTTTTCCCATGAAGTTTACCAAGTAGCTAAATTTGGTTAATACTTCCCCATTTAAGAATGTTTATAGATCTTGGTATTTTGGTCAAATATAGATGGTAAACTATGGTAAACTATGGTAAACTATCATCTAATAATATCTAATATTCAGCTATTTAAGTATATACATTGTTTCTTGAAGCCCTAGCCATAGCTACAACAGCTCGGTCCTATAGCGGTGGTTCAGGCAGTCACAGGATGGCCCCACTCAGGTGGATGGACAAAGAGCACATGAGCACATCAGGTGTGGTATATGTATCATGTGTACATATCATAGACATTTATAGATCTATCTACTGTGCACATACAGTATACATACAGTACATGTAGGATACTATATGTACAGATTGGATATAGATTTGTTTGAAAATCAGGTATTTTCTCAAATTCCTTTCCCATTAAAATACTTGCAATTCTGCGAGTAAATCTCCCAATTCCATCCAATTCCACCATCTTCAGACACACCCGTAACATTTAAGTTCCCAAGTTATATCCCATGGTATTCCCATGACATAGATATCCTCATTCTCAATGGTTACGCTCTGGTAAACTCACTGCTATGGACACTTGCCCATGAAGTTCGATGATTGTTTCCATAGCAAACTGTCAGTCACCGGAGGGAACCAGAGGGGTATCAAAATGTCATCATATTCAATTGAATGCCATTACTGTCGTTGGTTAAATCCTTTTTTTTGATTCATCCCTATTGTTTGTTGGCTGGAACCCATTCAATCGCCATTTTTCTTGGTTAAATCACCATGTTCGTTGCTCAAATCACAATTTTTTCTTGGTTAAATCATTATGTGCGTTGCTCAAATCATCATTTTTCTTGGTTAAATCCGCAGCTCCACCCCCCGCTGAAGGAGTGGAGGTACGCATCGCGCGCTTGGACGACCTCCATCAGACCGTGGCGCCGGGCGAAGCCGGCGAGTTGTGACATGGCGGATGGACCTGCGGCGGGGCGGCTGGGGATGTCTACAGGAAACCCATGGTTTTCAGGGGAAAACCTATGGAAAACCTATGGAAAACGTATGGAAAACCTATGGAAAACCTATGGAAAACCATGGAAAACCTATGCTTTCCTGTACTGTTTGCATTCATCTTTGCTGATGAATCTGATGGTTTTTGTTGATTTCGGTCTGAGTTACCCTCCAGTAAATGACCAGACCTTGTTCATCCTTCGATCATTTTCCATGGCTTACCTTTCTCGTGTCCATGCTTTCTTCCAGGGACCGAAAAATATATGTTTGCCGAGCTGATGATAAAATCATCGAAAATCATGAGAAATTCCACAGATTTCCACAGAACCTGGATTTGGTGATGATGATTTGACCATGTTTGACCAAGGTTGGTGCGAGGCCCATGGGTCATCCAGGAATATTTCCAGGTGGGGTCCAAAGGGGGCGCAGGGGGATGGTCCTCCAAACTGAAGTAGCACAAGGCGGTGCCCCTTGCCTGGTCTAGCATGGTCTAGCTATACGTAATATGTGTGTCTGTGTGTGTGTGTGCGTGTGCGTGTGGGTGTGTGTGTGTGTGTTTTTACCAATATATATATATACACCTATATAATATTATATAATCCTATATATATATATAGTTTTAGTCACCACAAGCATCTGCCCATATCTGCCCCAAGTTAACCCTAAGCAAATTAGCAACCAAGTTACTTCTCGGGCATGATCTTGTATGGGTTTGTTTGATACTTTAATTTAGGAAGACCCCCAAATCTAGTGCAGTTGACATCATTGTTAAATTGCGTAAATTTGCCATATAGAAGGTATATAATTTTCAGACAAACCCAAAAATCAGACTGGTCGTGGTAGTTGTTTAATGGCATTGGGTGAATCCCACATTATACCCACTTAATATAGATGATTTTCCAGTACCCATTGATAGCTGATTTTCCTATGAATGCCTCCGTTCTTAACGTTGCGGATGTCCAGGTGCCATGTTGACACCGCAACGTGGGAAAAAAACCTGCCCAGCCTGCCCAGGTAGACGCCCATGACAAGTTCTTCAACGGTTGGCTGATCACCGGCGACGTGGCCAAGCCACTGGGGTTATAAATGGAATGTAAATAGTAATTCTTTTCCACAGCACAACCATGGAAAACCACCTTTTGATAGGTAGATTATCTATAAATCTGCCTCGTTCCATAGCAAAGTGTTGAATTACCAGAGGGTATACTTAGTATACTTCATTCCATTCTATTTCCCAGGCAATGTTTGCTGCTGACATGCAAGACAACTGTGCCAACTCACGAGCAAGTTGTGGGGATTGCATCCTGCCGTTGATACCCTGAGGGACCTCCATATTGGTATAGGATGGTAAAGGCCTCAGGTATCTACAGGTTCCACAACCGCAGGGATAGTAACAGAATATCTGACTTAAGATCTCCAGTGACGCTAAGGATCGATGAAGATGGGGCTATTATCATTAGCAACTTGGCTCAATGGTCTTACCCTCTGGTGAACTAACATAGCAATTGAAAATGGCCATTTATAGTGGATTTTCCCATTAAAAATGGTGATTTTCCATTGCTATGTTAGTTCACCAGAGGGTAATCCGACTGGAACCAACCTGCCGGAAATGGAATTGTTGACACCCCTCGAGAACACCCAGATAATGGTTCCGTAGGGGTAAATATGAATCCACGTCAGTCATTGTCTCACATCACATATGTTGTCAAACCTGATTCATAAACCATGTTGTTTCTTTGCGAGGTGCTCCCCTGCATTGACATGGATGTCAACATATTCAAATTCCATGCACATTGCTTTAAGAGAATGATACAATGCATATACTGGAATCTGCGTTTTGGTTTGCAATCAAATTTATACGAGCTTCTGGTTTCTATTTTGCGGTCCTGACCCCCCACAAATTCACATTGAAGATGCTATACCAACTTATACCATTTACCAAACCGGCAAACTACTTTCCCCTAAAAATCAGTGATTTTCAGGGGATGGTAGCTCCCGACTGATATCTACTCCAGCCGTCCGACAGGCGATCGATCAAAGGATGTGATCAAGTCTGGCTGTGGCCTTGGACATGGGAGCGGAGGATCACTATAGGGGTATTCATATTCCCTATACGAAATGGGGAGCTAAGGAAACCCACTAAGGTTTTTCCGAAGCACATGATAGTTATATGATTTTATATGTAGTTATATAAGTTGTTTCTTGAATTTCTTGATTAGTTCTATTGATGAGTTTTGACCCATCAATGATGTTTGCGAAACGTATGGATTTTGCAGTAGTGTTTGGTTGGCAACAGGGTTGGAGGATGTTATGTGCCATCATGTGTAATCATCAGCCATCATCAGCCGGCAGAAAAACAAGAACATGACATGGTCCATCAAAGAAAACCAAATGTCCATTGAATATTAATTGACCAATGTGATAAACCCAATATATATTCACCATCTATACTCTCAAAACAAAAGAAAAAAAAACAAACACATTCACCATCCAATGCCTGGACAAACAGAAAAACATCCCTACATGGTAGTTGTGGTTGATGGCCATGCTTGTTGCCCAGTTCCTGCCCCAGCTTCAGGTGGAGAATGGATCTCTTCGATTGATATGGAGATCCTTGGGCGCCAGTTTGGGGTTCCGGAGTTTGCCCCTGGGGTTTTGTTTATCGCACTTTTGTAAGGTAATCCCTTCCGCTTAATATTACTCATAGACTATATTGGATACCAATTGTACGGGCCCCCAAAGTGAACAGACCCAATACATTCCAACATATTCCAACACAAAACCATGGTTTCTAGATGTTTCTAGGGTGATTCATCACTGGGATGAACCCCAAGATGCTCAAGTCCATACTGGGCTGTTAACCAATGATTCCCATCATGTATTCCTCTTAAGAGATATTAAATTAAATTTGACTTCATTATATTTATATGTTTTTTATTTGATTTTATGTGTTTTTTTTGTGTTCTGCGTGCATATCTATTTATACTTATATAGTTGTATCATTATACCCTCTGGTAATTTAACGTAGCTATGGAAAATCACCATTTTCAATGGGGAAATCCACTATAAATCACCATTTTCAATAGCTATGTAACAAATTACCAGAGGGTATGGGATCTTTTAGCAGATGTGGAGCAGGAAACCAAAAGGCAACTGTCTTTTTCATCTGTTTTTTCCATCCTAGACCATTGTATCATTATACATCCATTATACAGTTGTATCATAGAATTGGATGATGGGAAAATTTACAGGAAACCCCAACCAATTTGATGTTTGATGGTAAAAACCATGGGTTTCCGGTTAAGATTTTCCCTTAAACCAATCCATTGATTGTATCATTATACCCTCTGGTAATTTAACGTAGCTATGGAAAATCACCATTTTCAATGGGAAAATCCACGAACTAAATCACCATTTTCAATAGCTATTTTGACATAACCAGAGGGTATGGGATATCTATTTATCCATCTAACCAAAAACCTACAAAACTGGGTGATCTATAAAAACCTTATCCATCATGGAAAATCACCCACTTATATAGTTGTATCATTATACATCCATTATACATCCTATGCCATTTTCAATGGGAAAATCCACGAACTAAATCACCATTTTCAATAGCTATTTTGACATAACCAGAGGGTACATCCATTCCGTTATAAACCCAAATCGGGGGGGATTCACCAGTTGTAGGGGTTGAAACCACCAACCATTGATTGTATCATTATACTTATCCAGATAAATAGTATCATTATCCAGATATATAAGTAATTATAAGTATATATGATACAATTTTCTGATACTTATCTATTATATAGTTGTATCATCCATTGTATCATCAGTAGCTCAACCCTGCCGCTGTCGCCAAGGAACGCCGTGACAGCCCTGCCGGGTGTGGCCATGGCGGCGGTGGTGGCCGTGCCGCACCCCAAGTGGGACGAGCGACCTGTGGTGGTGGCCGCTCGTCAACGTCCATGGATATACCTGGAAAACCATAGGAAAACCATAGGAAAACCATAGGAAAATGGTGATTTAATGAGGGTTTTATGGTGGTTTAATGGAATTGAATGGGATTTAGCCTCTGGATGCCTGTGGTAAACATACCAAAAACTATGGAAAGATCCACCACGCTATTAATGGGTAAATCCACTATTTCGACTGGGCCATTTTCAATAGCGAACTGTTTGTTTACCACCAGAGGGTATTTCATAAATGATCAAGATATGTAAACTTATATGACGTGGATACATTGAGATACATCATGATATATCTATTTAAAATGGGATTTATGAAATTGGGAAAAGAGAGAGAGAGAGAGATATATATATATATCATAATATATATATATAGGCTTCGTGGGATTTTACTCGGCTTTCCCATGTTTGATACATTGTATTATGTCAAAAACGACTAAAGTGTTTGGGTTTTAATGGTGTTTCTGGACAAACATGTTTAGCTAAGTGATATATACATTGTTCCCCAAGAGCCAGACGAGGGTCTCTAGATTTTCTGTCAGCATCCCGCTCCTCCTGTCAGATACAGTAGGATGTCAGTTGGTGGGATCACTCGAAAGACAGCAACTGATTTGGTAGATGATTTGTGTTTACATTGTTTTGTTTGTGTTTGTGCATTGACTTCATGCAAGATACGGAGACGTGTGTGTGTGTGTGCTCACCAACAGGCCAGGGGCAATGGATTATGAAACAACCATTGGTTGGGGACCAAGTGACCAACAAAAACCGATGTTGGATCTCAATTGACTTTCATATTCTCGGATCTGTAGCTCAACCATCAGCCAGCCCTGGAAACTGAATTCGCATCCAACAAGATCCAAAAACATAGAAATAAGATGAAATAATTCAGAATTATCCTGGCTTTCTTTAAGGTGATTCGTTATTTTCCCAATGGAACATGATTCCACTTGGGGAATCGTGAATATAAGTCATGCTCCACTCTGAACCATGGTTTGGCTTACACCAAATGGCCTGACCATCCCATTCAGTTGAAACCACCAACCAGGGATGGTGCATTTGGTTGGCAGCAGGTAAATTCGGCATTGATTGGTGCCTGTTATTCGCATATTGGCTGCTGACCATGTTCATGATAAATTATCAATCTTCATTGATTCGAATCTCATAATCTCATTCTTGGTGCTCAAAGTCTTAGTTTGTTGCTTCAATATCCATTGATTCCATTTCCCAAGGGCCAAACACTCCACTGATTTGTTGTTGAATACCCTCCGGTAATCAAACATGGCATAAAAATAAGCCGGATAAGATCGGATAAGTCAGCATTTGCATGATTTTCCCAGCATTTCCCAGCCATAAATAGCCTCCATCTATAGAATCTATGGGATTTCCCACGTTTTGGGCATTTCCCACGTTGCTTCACCGGTGGTGCCCGGTGAGGTGATTCTGGAGAAGGGCCAGAGCGCCGAAGGATTGCTGGAGCGGATCCACCAGTCTCTCAGCGGCCGATGTTCGACAAAGATTTTGGGAGAGACCATCCTTATGTATATATAATATTCTATAATATTATATATCCATATATATATGAGATATTCATATTACATACATACATACATATATATATATATCGTATTATGTGAATTACATAATGCAAACATATTGATATTACAACGTGTATATACACACACATATATATATATATGCACACCATGTATATCAATTGGTTCTGAGGTGCGGTTTCTCCAAAAACATTGTCTAAATTCTGAGCCACGCGATGCACCGTGAAACCTAGTGATCCTAATCCAGACGCAGAGTGGCAGGAAAGTGCAGTTGTAAAGTCTCAATTCATCAGGTGCCAAGGGAAAACCAAAGAAACATTCCAAAGAATGCTAGATGTTTTACCTAATTAAGATAATTAAGTTATAATTAAGTCAAATTCATTTTTTTAAAGTCAGAAAATCTGTTTTTATGTCAAAGTTCAGTTTGGCATTACAGAATTGGGTAAACCTTGGATCACGATGGGCAGTTGCTTTATAATCTGTTGCCATGGGGCATGCAGCACATGCATACTAAGAAGTACCCCGCAACAGTAGCTTCAAAAAGTACGGGAGTTTTTTGTAGGCCATCTATTTTGTTGTAGATGATCTATCTAATTTTTGGTGTTTACATCTAGGAATATTTATTTTTAGCTAAGTATCATCATCTAACATAGATTCCCTGCCACTGTTTGATTGTCACATGATTGTCATTATCATTATCCATCCTCATTATCTTAGTGACGATAGAACATGATTGTCACATTTATTGTCGCGCATTATCATGGATTATCATTATCTAAGTATCATTGGCTGACAGTTAATAATGGCTAATAATGGTCAACAATTGTCAATAATGTCTAATACTGGTTAATCATGGTGAATAACATTAATAATACTGTTAATCTTAGCTGGTTAATCATGGTTAATATGTTAATCATCTAATACTGTTAATCTTAGCTGATTGTCCATGAGAATGATGCTATTCCCTGCCTTCCTTGCGAGGCACCTGTCTGGTTCCTTTGCGAAATTTCAGCTGCCTGACGATGTTCTGGTGACAGCCCCAGTTGGTTTTGTGGCTCCCCATGGCTTCTAAAAATGGGTTACAATAGCTGGTTAACCATCAAAATTCCAGGGGCTGACTTTCAAAGTTGCTGGAGGAATTCTATGATCTCCACTTTTTTCATTTGTTTTGGGCAGAAATGTAATCCTGGCATGATGAAGTGAGAGGAGGAGAGGAGACGAGGAGGAGGAAGAGAAGGAAGGAGCAGGAAATCATATGTACATAGAATCTAGCATAATCTATATAGAGAACCTCACCTGCCAGGTTGGGATGGAAGATTTTTGGGCTCCAAAATGCCCAAGACAAGGTTTGGAGAGAGATCCCCCACACCGGCACTGGCAAGATGGACAAAAAGGCGATCCGGAGCAAATTGGAAGCCGCTTCGGCTGCGGTCAGTCATGGTCTGTCGAGAAATGGACGGCTTCTGATGTGGTGCACGATACGGGTCCATGTATATATATATATATATATATGTGTGTGTGTGAGCGTGAGGAATTGTAAAGAATTCAATAGATAAATGAATCAGTGAATCAACACATAAACAACTGAAAATATACTCAAACAAATGAATAGGTCAATAAATAAATCGATCAGTAAATCAGTTTAAGTCAATCGATGTTAATACATGAAAGGAATTGAGAGATAGACAATAAGATAGACAATTAATATTGTATATGAATATGTTTAAAAAAAAACGCATTATTGGTGCGGTGTCAAACAGTACATTTGCCAAATGACCAAAGTTGGACGGTGTTTTTCGCCAACCAATCCTGGGTGGCACCGAGGAACAGAGATATGTCCTGCCCTCCCTGCGAACATCCAAGCTTTAGGCCAGCTGTTTCTGGAGGATTTTTTTCCTGTTGAACTACGATTGTTGGTCATATCTAGTACAGGAGTAGGCCATATTGTACCAATGTTTTTATCATACTGTTGTTTTATTCATACCTGGTCGGCTGACTGCTGTGTTTCCATGGTCTATGAACCGCGTGAGCCATGCAACGGACCAAAGTGCAAGGAGGAGACCACTATGAATGACGCTGTTCGCACCGCTGCATGCGCGCAGTGATGTACATAGGCATGGATGGATGGTTTATATAAACCGATTTATTTTTGCAACATGTCGCATAATGTCGCATAGGTGCATTTGAAGATGTTTTTGTATGGGCTATAGGCAAAATAAGTAGACATCCAAAGGTTTTGCAACCATAGTGTTTTCTGTGTTCACTGTTTTGTCAGTGTCTGACAGGAACGTTTTAAGCACAGAGGCTCCGTCACAGTTTTGAGCGGGCACAGCCGCAGAACTGTTTCCAAATTTAATTAATTACAGCCCTTGAACTCTGCCAGGGGAGCATCAGACGTGACAATCCGGGATGAATATTCAGAATATTCATTAATATTCTGAAAAATATTCTGGCACAAGTTCGGCACTAGATGCCACTGTTCCAAACCAATCATTTGAGTTCGTTCACTGTTCCAAGGGTATTCCTATAGAAATCCCATGTCACCTGAGTTGCCCCTATTTGGCTCCTTTCGGCCGCAGGATGACCACGACATACCACGACAATGACACTTGGGGTTATAAAACCAACCACTTTATGTGGATATTGTGGATATAGTAAACTAAGCACTTGATATATATATATATAGAGTCATTGTGGATATATTATAGTTACCCCCAATTGTGGATATACAATCACTTTACAATCACCACCAATTGAGTTCATGGAATGTGGATATACCTAGGTCAACCTAAGACACCCGGACACCTGTCCAGATCAGAAAAAGTAAAGTATTGGAAAGTTGGACAGGAATTGTTGGGGACGACTTTTCATAAAGCGCTTTCAAAGGATGATTTTCTAGTAATTTTTGCGCAACTTGAACAGGATTGAACGTAATTTGAACGCGATTTGAACCCAATGTGAACATAATTTGAACGCAAGCTAGCAAAAAGGACGCGAAAAACCGTTCAGCTATGTATTTGCATGTATAAAATGGGGATGTGTAGTGGGGAGAGATATATTTAAGTATTTAAGGAATCGGATGTGAAAATATGCCTGGTGTTGAGCCCAATGTTGGAACACGTCACCCCCCATGTTTGGCGTCCTGTGGTCAGAAATGGCTTTGCAAATCTTCGCCCGCTTGCGTTTAAGACAGGCGGTGACAAAAAAAAACGCAGAGAGATAGCCCCATAAGAGCCCCAAAATGAACAGATCCAATGCTAAAGCGAGTTTTTGGGGGATGTCTAATATTGGGCGGAAGGGATTGGGATATCATCCACTAACACCATTACTAGTTTATTGGATTAGTCCAGTTGGAATAGACAGAATACCTGAGATGAATAACCATCATGGCAAAGGGAGTGGCTATTAGACTATTGACATCTCTTGACCGTGCGGCTTGCACACAGTAGTAGTGAGTGCACATCGATTGCCAAATACGGATTGAATAGAATTTCGACATGCACAAAACGTACTCCGGTTGACGACGATGCAAGTCTATGTTCCACCTAGTTCTAAGGAATCCGGCTCCAAACGCCTAAATCTCCCATTTTCATGTTGTTGACTTAGCTAGTGGCCTATCGATTTATCCCACTTCTTGTACATAAGATATCGATAGATATCGATCATAGCAATTTTGAGAGGGGCTTAGTAGCCCACGCGATAGTAGCCTTGGATGTCACTATGGTCACTAAGCAGATGCTTTCCAGTGACCACATCGCAACCAGGTTGATACACCAGTATTGGCATAGCAATGGTATTGCCCCTACTGACGATTTCACCAAAAACCACCGAGAACTGGGAATGAAGCAGCATAAATAAATTTAAGCACTTCTAATCAAACATTGCAATGGACAATCCTTCATGTAGTTCGATGATATTTCCAGCTATAAACAGGCCTGCTCCAAGCCATTTTAGTAGGTAAAAGATAGACACTAGGATGGGAATTGGATGGAATTGGAACATATTTTACCTCTTTACCTACCTATATACTATAGTTTTTTATCGTTTTTCACCGTTGTTTTTTTGGCGTGTCGGCAAAAAACCATGACCATTTCGGTGCCGGATCTCCAGGTTCGGGCAGATGGCGTCACAGCCCTGCATCTCGCAGCTGAAGCGGGCTTCGTGGGAGAGCCCAATACGGAGACGTGGAGGATCCAACGTTGGGAACGGATTAAGGGGTGATCATGGGTGACATGAATATATCATATATTTTAATATATAATATATACAAATGTTAAAGCTACATCATACTGTATGTATGATATCCACATATGATATATGCACACACATTTATAGAACTATAGAACTAACTAAATATTATGTGTACATTTATATTTACTTGTGTGCATGTGATTTTTTTGCGCAAACCCTATGTCTAGCCGTCGCCCGAAACGGCTAAAAAGTGCGGTTTTTTGTTGATTTGTCAATCTTCACCCTTGCATGTTTTTTCAAAGGCTTGTCCCGCAGGAACTGTAGGAAACTTTTTCATCTGGCGGAGCCACTGAAGGCGTGCAGCTTTGAAGGTGTCACTAGGTGACACTCTGACAAGGCCAGCGGCGCATTCCTTCTGCACAGCCGAATGGAATCCAAAATTTGTTGGAGACCTGGCTTTCGATGCAACGCGGCTCCAGCAAGGACCTGATCATTTTTCAGTGTTTTTGCATGTATTGCGTCCAAGGGAATTCTGGCGACGCATCAGCCACGAGTGTGTTAACATACACATAAGAAAGCCAAGAGCGTACCATCAAAAGCCTTCAAAAGCGTGTTAACATAAACATAAGAAAGCCAACAGCGTACCACCAACGGAGCGCTTACATAAACATCAGAAAGCCAACCGTGTACCATTAACGGCGTCGTAACATAAACATAAGAAAGTCAACAGCGTACCATCAACAGCGAGCTAACCTAAACATAAGAAAGCTAACTGCGTACCACCAACAGAGCGTTTACATAAACATTGGGAAGCCAACAGCGTACCACCAACAGGGCGTTAACATAAACATAAGAAACTCAACAGCGTACCATCAGCAGCGTTTACATAAACACCAGAAAGCCAACAGCGTATCAGCAACAGCGTGGTAACATCAACATATGAAAGCCAACAGCGTATCAGCAACAGCGTGTTAACATAAACATAAGAAAGCCAACGGCGTACCATTAGCAGCATGTTTACATAAACATAAGAAAGCCAACAGCGTACCACCAACAATGTTAAGGGGGTAACATGAGAAGCGGCTAACAAGAGGCACGAGCAGTGAAAATGATCACAGGCAGTTTAAAAGCGCAACATGATAGGCGCGGTGAGAACGTTATTATCGCCCCACCCCGCCCCCCACCCACGAACCCCCCCAAAAAAGAGAACATAACAGATACAAAAAAAAATGCGTCACGTTGAAACAGTTGAAAAGAAAAAAACCTTGCATTGAAAGAAAAACAAGGAAAAACATGAAGCACAAAAAACAACATGAAAAAAAAACACACTTTCGAGACATCAATAAAAGCGAAAATCGCGCGCACGCGCGTGCCAGCGAAAATAAAACTGATGTTTTTTCAACCATCGCAAAGCACTGCGCGACTGCGCGTGGCACGCAAATTGAACATGCCGTCCAATGAAGAAAAATACGCACAACGCACAACCATGAACCACGAAAAAAACATAAACAATCACACTTACATCAAAAAACGCGAGAATCCCGCGCGCCTGCCAGCGAAAATGAAATGGAGATTTTTCCCCACATCACTGTGTGGGGTTCTTGTTTTTCGCTTGGATCCCGCCGCTCTCCTCCGTCCGCCGCCGCCGCCGCGCCGCACTCATCACTACTCATCACTCACTCATTCATCACTCACTCACTCACTCCCTCCCTCACTCACTCACTCCCTCCCTCACTCACTCCATCCACTCACTCACCCACTCACTCGATCAGGCAGGCGCAGTACAGAGAGCTTGCCTTTTGCGTGGCAGGCGCACTACACAGAGCCTCCTGGCGGAGCTGCGGCGCGCGTGGCCGCCGCTGGGGCCGCGGCTGCCTTTCTGGCAGGCGCAGTACACAGAGCCTCCTGGACGAGCTGCGGCGCGCGTGGCCGCTGCTGGGGCCGCGGCTGCCTTTGGCGTGGCAGGCGCAGAACACAGAGCCTCCTGGACGAGCTGCGGCGCGCGTGGCCGCCGCTGGGGCCGCGGCTGCCTTTGGCGTGGCAGGCGCAGTACACAGAGCCTCCTGGACGAGCTGCGGCGCGCGTGGCCGCCATTGGCCGCTGGGGCCGCGGCTGCCTTTGGCGTGGCAGGCGCAGTACACAGAGCCTCCTGGACGAGCTGCGGCGCGCGTGGCCGCCGCTAGGGCCGCGGCTGCCTTTGGCGTGGCAGGCGCAATACACAGAGCCTCCTGGACGAGCTGCGGCGCGCTTCAGTACACAGGGCCTCCTGGAGGAGCTGCGGCGCGCGTGGCCGCCGCTGGGGCCGCGGCTGCCTTTGGCGTGGCAGGCGCAGTACACAGAGCCTCCTGGACGAGCTGCGGCGCGCGTGGCCGCCGCTGGGGCCGCAGCTGCCTTTGGCGTGGCAGGCGCAGTACACAGAGGCTCCTGGACGAGCTGCGGCGCGCGTGGCCGCCGCTGGGGCCGCGGCTGCCTTTCGCGTGGCAGGCGCAGTACACAGAGCCTCCACATCATCTTTGACACACTATCTTTCTCACACAAATTTGTCTCACACCATCTTTCAGACACTATCCTTGACACACCAACTTTGACACACCATCTTTCACACCACTTTGTCCCACACCATCTTTCACACACAGCTTTGTCACACACCATCTTGCACAAACCACTTTGTCACACACTATCTTTCACACACCATCAACACCATCTTTCACACACAACTTTGCCACACACCATCTTTCACACACCACTTTGTCACACTATCTTTCACACACCACTTTGTCACACACCATCTTTCACACCCCATCTGTGACACACCATCTTTGTCAGCACTTTGTCACACACCATCAACACCATCTTTCACACACCATCTTTGACACACCATCTTTCACACACAACTTTGTCACACACTATTTTTCACACACCATCTTTCACACACACCTTTGTCACACACCATCTTTGACACCACATCTTTGACACACACACACATACACACACATCTTTCACACACCGTCACAGACAATTTTTTGCACACCATCTTTCACACACAACTTTGTCACACACCATCTTTGACACACCTTCTTTCACACACAACTTTGTCACACACCATCTTTCACCACACCATCTTTGTCACACACCATCTTTCACGCAGACAACTTTGTCACACACCATCTTTCCTCCACCTCTTCCTTTGTCTTTCCTTCCTTCCCCGTCCCCGCAACAAGATTTCTTGCTCAATATTGGAAGAAGTTGACTTGTGGGGTTATCCGGTCCTTTTATTACAACCATCGCAAAACACCGCACCTGCCACGCAAAATGCACGCGCTCAAAAACCATTGGTGGCCGCAGGTAACGCGGTTCGCCTGCACGAAATGCAAATTTTGAAAGTGACGTATGACAATTTTAGCGATGGCGAGACACTGGGTTTGCGGGCACACATATATATATATATGTGTGTGTGTTTGTGTGCGTGTGCATGCATAAATACAATTTCTAAGCGGAATAACCTATAAGCACATTCAGGGGATTTCTTGACGAGCGTTGTTGACCACATACTAACTGGAAACGGTGATGTTTCCAAGAAAAACATGGAGTTTAGCTGCCTGATACTGATGATGATAGTTGCCTGATACTGATGTGTTTTTGGGGAACCAAACACAAAAATGGAAGACCTGAGAAACACATGGGAGTTGCCAGTTCTGTTTCAATGGCACTTGCTCATGTTTAGGGAGGGGAACTGACTTTAAACCCAGACTGAACTTCCAACTTGACAATCAATTTTGGTATCAAACCATTAAATCGACAGTTGTTCATGAATTGGAGGAGAAAATAGATATCAATCCCTACATTGCAAAGTATAATCCAACATCTTGGTTTTGATTCGTTGTTCAATGGTTCAGACATCAAAATCATACCCAACAAAATTTTCCCAGAGGTTGCAGTGGGAATCAAAAAGGAACCAGGAAGATCCAGGAAATTTGGATGGTAAAATCATGTAAAATCTGGGTCATTTCCGTGTCATTTCCATGTCATTTCCGTGTCATTTCCTCCAATTTTCCCAGCAAATCCAGTGATCTGTGGCCAAAGGTGTCCTTGGTGACCTTGCTCTGCGAGGTGGGGAAAATCATAGGGAAATCCACTCTGCATGAAGGTTTTTGTTGGGAAAATCATCTGCAACTGGGCGTGATTTTCCGGCACGCCATGGTTGAAGACACTGGAACGTCATCTTCCAGAAAATCATTGGACACCGAAGCCTCACAAGTAACCCTTTAGAACGTTTTTGGACTTCCAAAGCCTAGATTCCTAGATGCCAATGGCATCGGCAGGGCCAATCCTTTTTGGTACATTTGAAAGTGCATACATAGCAATGATATGGCAATAAAACTATATAATATGGAAAAAAAATATCTTAGCTATTCTGAAAACTACCTATCTGGGTTCTTCAGTACTGTGACGCACCATGTATTGTGGCAGGTTCCCGCGAGACATTTGGATCGTTTCGAGATGTATGTATCCAATAGTAACAATATGTAACAATAACATACAATAACAATGGGACAACCACTTTTCCCATAGATTCGTTGATCACAACAACACATGGCCCGAAGGTTCTTGATCAACCCAACTCAGGCCATCCATGTAGGTAAGCAGCTGTGAAATCCCAACTTTTGTTGGGTTCATCCACTAGTCCTGACATGGGAGTCATGGGTCGTTTTCATAGTGTATTTTCCAAGATTCAGTACCAAAATGGTCCGGTTTTCATGGGTTTCACCATGGTTTGTTTGGGGAAGGGGTACAAACAGAATTACGTGCTTCGACATTCATGTTCAGGAATGTTGGGTTGGAAATAAACGACATTGCGATTTGGCTTACAGTATTAAACCGTGGTGTCCATTTTGGCCGTAAAATCCTCCTGGATTACTAGTTTCAATCCCCTGCTTTGTAGCTCATTGTCAACCCCAAAGTAATAAACCCTGGTTGACTATGGGGGGGTACCCGGGTACCCCCCCAAAAATAGTGATGTCATCTATTGTCGTTTGCTATCATCTATCCAGTGGTTAGGAATGATTAGGAGGGAGAATTGATATCAATATTGCTACGTGGGGAGCCAAGGAGCTACTAAGAGTTTCCCAACCACATGACAATGAATTATGTTATAGGTGCCATGAATAGTTTATAACCACATATAAAAGTTGATATTAGTGCTGGTCATTGGAACACGGCCAAGCAACCTACTGTGGACATACGGAAGCTGGCTCGAAAGACAAAGAACGAGCCTTGATTGAGGAATTGGAACGCATTGATAGCGATGGCTACCAATGGGACGGTTTGAAAAGAAGTAGAAAACCTTTCCAGCGTAATAGGTTCAAATTTAAGAATAAGCACGGGGAATTGATCAGTGAACAAGATTTTGCAGAAACAGCGGCTGAGTATTTTGCTGATGTTCAATGGGCACTTCCTGAAGATAACCAAGTTGACCCCCAAAGAGAACAATCCCCACTTCTGGAGGAATCAAACGACATGCCTGATACCCCATTCACTCTTAATGAACTTGACGCAGTCCTTGCTGCTCTGAAGAACAACAAAACACCTGGGCCGGATGGGTGCAGGTCCGAATTAGTTAAGTGGCTGTGCGAAACAAACCGAACCTACCTGTTAGAACTTTTCAATGACATTTTGACTGTGGGCATCTTCCCTGAATGTTTCTGTTTGGCAAATATTGCTGCGTGCTACAAGAAAGGAGATGCCAGCCAAATGAAAAATTACAGACGTATAGCATTGCTTCAGGTGTTTTACTACAAGATCCTAGCCAGTCTAGTCCGTAATCGATTTCAACCAGCTTTTGAACCATGGATTCAGCGGACTCAATTTGGTTTTAGGCCCAAAAAATCCACTTCCCAAGCTATATTCATTGCTCGGCGTCTATTAGATATCTCTGAACGCCAACACACAAACCTTTCCTTAGTTCTACTTGATTGGGAGAAAGCGTTCGATAAAATCTGCCAATGCAAGCTTCTTCAAGTGCTCAGACGATTGAAGACACCACCAAACATGTTGCGTTTGGTTTCAATGATGTATCGAAATCCTAAGTTCAGAATCACCGCTTCTGGGACTTCTTCGAATTATAAAACGCAAAATTCTGGTATTCGACAAGGATGCCCTCTCTCACCGTATTTATTTGTGCTCTTAATGTCCGCGCTTTTCTCAGACATCAAAACTAAACTTAACACACCAAAGCAAAAGGAACCTATTAGAGGCATTCGATTCGCTGAAGTTCTGTACGCTGATGATACTTTACTTTTTGGGACCCACACTCATACGATTAACAAACTTTTGCACGAAATACAAAGGGAATCAGACTACTACAATTTGAAATTGAATTACGACAAATGTATTAATCTGACTCTCCACCAACGACAGTCCAGTATAAAATATTTGGATGGCACACCTGTCCCACGCAAAAGAGAAGCAACATATTTGGGTACTTTACTTTCTGATAGTGTAAATAATCATCGTGAAGTCAACAACAGATTGGCAGCTGCACTTACTACTTGCAACAGGATGAAACTGTTTTGGGACAAGGCTAATACCACCATCCGCTGGAAGTTGCGAGTTTTTGATTCTATCCTCCGAAGTAAAGTTTTATATGGACTAGAATGCATTCAGCTCACACAACCAGACCTTGATAAAATCAATTCTTTTCAAATGAAAAGTCTACGTCGCATATTGAAAATTCCTCCTACTTTCATTGACCGTTCTTATCCGAATCAAAGAGTGCTGGATGTCTTACGAGACACACATCACTTGTCTATCCATCTATTTTCTCAGATTTGGTTAAAACGCAAACTGAAATTATTTGGTCATATTCTTCGATCTAACCCAGATGACCCGCTGCGAAAAGTCCTCTTTGAATATAACTCTTTCACACCATGTATAGAGTATCGAAGGCCAGGCAGGCCCCGTACTGATTGGCTGTTGCAGTCATTCAAAGATGCGTTCGCTTTGTTAGGTCGAGCGGATGAGTTTGACTCTAACGTCGTGGAGCATATCCAATTCATAGTACATAGTGCTAATACCAGACAAGGCGTATTTGCATAAATGCTTGCTTCCTTGCAGGTTCCGGTTCGATCACCGAATGCCGTCAACGAATGTCTTCACCGAATGTCGTCACCGAATGTCGTCACCAATTGCACTCACATACCATGAAAGATAGGTCCAAAACTCTGATGGTGACTCGTTTCAACCATCGAATATACAGTTCTTGTCCTTTGACTGATTCTTTATTTGCACTGTAAATTACCCACTATTTTTATCCACACCCGTCTTCTATACTACCTGCGGCTCATTGTCACGAGGAAGGCTAGCCCGTAGTTAGCTCTGCTGTTCGTCCAATTCGTTCTCCTGAGCCTTCTCTTTGAACTGGTTGCTTTTGAACACTGCTACAGGCTTAGGTTCGGTGCACAGACTTTTTGTGAGCCTGCACTTGGAAAAAAATAAAAGTTGATAACATTTTTTAACAACATGATAGTAAATTATGGTGCCAAAGAAAAGGATCAGCCCAAGTGTCAGCCAGGCTCGGGCTGAGATCAGCTGTAAGACGGATGACACGCTGATGCCCTTACACCTGGCAGCGCGTAGCCTGGGGACCCTTGTGGACCCAAGGGGGCCTTGGGCCTTGTTGGGGGATGGGTATACTGTTGATAATGTGGGGAACCCTGGCTGTCACAAACAACTACCATTTGGGGAGGGTTTATGCTTACCTCCCTTAAAAATGGTGATAGTGACAGTGGAGACGGTTCATGGCATTGGGTGAATTCCACATTATTCACTAAGTAGTGGTTGAAGGGGATATTGTGGTGATATGGGGATTGGTTAAAGCCAAAGCCTATTTTGAAATTGATTATCCATACTTGGCTCCCAGCTATTTTGATGTGAACAGAAGGGTGCCCGGGTTGTGACCCATAGCCAGTTGTTTGGATGTGTTTTCTGGGATTGACACATGGAAAGCCACGACCAAAATCAGTTTGATGAAATTTAGATTCGAAAAGAGTATTCAGTGATTTTAATCTGATCACTTTGGGATCCCATGTCGGGTAGTGAAATTTTTACCGGTGAATTGGGATTTGTACGCGGTTGGCAATTCAAATATCCAACCAAAATCTGGGGTAAAACTCTATGAGGATCTAATAAGAACCAGAACAGTGTGAAGGTGTGGCTGTTTTTTTGGTTGATGTTTATTCCAACCATTAAGATTTCCCACTTTCCTACTAATTAATGTGGATCATGTGCTTTAAAGCTGCCCAAATGGCAGCCACCTGACCTACCTGGGTGAAAACATGAGGTTTTCCTGTAGATTGTCTCATGGATCAGACCCTTAGCAGCCTGACATTGTGCTGGTCATAACTGGTGCGATCAAAGCCCCATTGCCGAGGTGGTCATAAGAATGTGGCAAGCAGACTTTGCGAGATGAACGCGCCGATCAATGCCACCACCATGGACAGCGGGATGGTCGGTCATTTTCATAGCATGTTGATATGTGTTGATCATTTTGAGATAATGTTGGTTCCTGATTAGTGTGAGGCCCCCCCCTAAACAATAGCTGTACTCTCTTTAAAGTGGAAAGTCACTAATCAGCATCCAACATTAGTGTTGAGCAAATTTTTACCCACGATGCGGACGTTTTGAAATATGTTCGGTCTGGAGCTCCAGTGGCTCACAATGGTGGCACAATGTTGGCAATTTGACCATGTACAACTTGTGATTTTTGCATGTTGAATATCATTATATAATATCACATATGATGTACATTACATATACACATATACATATGTATATATATATATATGTAATTATATATAATCATATTATATTGTTGACTTGTAAGGGTTCCTATGTAGTATGTTTCACTAATTAACATGGTTAGGATGTTGTTTGTTTCACTACCGCAGCCCTTTTTCAAGGAGGTAGCTAGCTGACAGAGCCCAAAAGTCCGCTGCATGGTAGCGGAGCTCCTGGTGAGGAGCCTAAGGCACTGGTGTGGAGGCTGGTGCTTGGAGCGCCTGAGGCGCAGAGCTGCTTCAGCTCGCGCCCGGACCAACTGGGTCCGTCTGGTACGCAAGCTGTACCGGGTGAGGAAGTTGCAACGCATCTTCCACAACGTTGGGGTCTTCCTACAAGGATTTCCCAGGAGGCTGTTGGACCAAGTTAGGAGGTTGCAGTAATGTCAGCCCCAACGAGCCCTACAGCACAAGGTGGTGGCGCTGAAGTTGTCTTTGGACAGATAGTACAAACCATGCAAGCTGGTATGCAACAGATGGCCCAAGACTCACAGCAGAGGTTCGAATTGCTGGAAAGAGGCCTACGTGAGCAGTCCCAGTTTCTACAGGCCAGTGCAACAGCGCAAATGACTGCACTGGAAACTCTCTCAAAGAAGTCCAACGTGGTGGACGTGAAGGGAGTGGGCAAACCTGACGTACTGAAAGGGAGCCATGAAGAGGCAAAGCGTGCATGGAAAAGTTGGGCGTATAAGTTTGAGTCATGGTTTGTGTCGCAGTACCCAGATGCTGGACAACAAGCTTTAGACTGGGCAAAGGAGAAGGGTGACACAACCATCTTTGACTCAGATGTCCAGCAGAAGGCCAACACCTTAACCGATCTACGCAAAATGGATGGGCACTTGCACGTCGCCCTGGTGTCACTGACATCAGGAATGCCATACGATGTGGTGTTCAATGCCAGGAAGAAGTGTGGACTGGACGCCTGGAGGAGACTGAACCATGTGTATGAGCCTTGGAACCCACGGTCAAACATGAGGCTTCTACGAAGGATACTGGTGCAACCTAGGGCAACCTTGGATGGCTTGAGAGCCGCCATCGACCGTTGGGAGGCCGACCTGGTGGAGTATGTGCAGAGAGGAAACCGTGACCTGGATGACCCACAGAAGGTGACCATCTTGCTGAGTATGGTACCTGAGTCCCTGGAAGATCACCTGGAGATGAATATGAGCCGGCTGGACACCTATGTTAAAGCACGGTCGGAAGTCATCTCCTACACAGAACAGAAGGCCTTCAAGGCCGATGCCGATAGCGGTGGCGCTGCCCCTATGGAGCTGGATGCCTGCAAGGGGAACTCCAAGGGTAGCAGCAAAGGTAACAAAGGTGGCAAGGGCAAAGGAAAGGATGGCAACAAGAACAATCCCGACAAGGATGTGGTATGTCACCTATGTGGAAAGAAAGGACACCGAAAGGCCAATTGCTGGCACGCAAAGGCCAATGGGGGCTCTGGTCAACCGCCAAGTCAGAAGGGCAACTCCCAGCCCAACACCAAGAATGGCAAAGGAAAGGGACAACAGAAAGGTAAAGGCCAAGGGAAAGGCTCCAAAGGCAAGGCTCACGCCTTGGAAGGCGAAGCTGAAGGAGATCAAGCCGCTGAGCAGGAGTGGCCGGATGGTGATGAACCTGAGCGAGAAGGCAACTTGGGACTCTTGTGCGTGGCCCGAGGGTCGAGTACTGGCTCAGTACCGTTCCCGGGTCGCACAGGGTCGCCAATGGATGGGGAGAGAGCCACCAAGATCGTGCGTCCGGAGCGCGGCAATCTCTCCTGGTTCTGGTCGAGGCGTTGGGACGATGTGGTCTCGGAGTGCAAGAGAGATCGAAGTAGAGCGGACCCGATCTACCGGTGCACGGTGCCTAACTGCAAGGGGTACTACAAGAGCTTTACGGCACACGGCTTGGAAGCACACCTGTGGTCCAAGTTACAGACAATGGGTCACCCTGTGCAAGAGCAGTGGGATGCCTGGAAGGTCGCGGCCAAACGAGGTCACTACATCAGGCCAGAGCTGCCTGGTGAGGAGGAGTTCCTCAGGAACCCCGTGCACTGTGGGAAGGATCCCATTTGGGTACATTTTCCAAGAGAGCCGGACTACTCCAAGCACAAGGACAATTACGAATCCGAACCGGGAGACGAAGAGGAAGGAATGCAAAGCGCCGAGAAAGAAGAAGCTCAAGAAGAAACTACTGAGGAAGAGTCCCCGGTGAGCGATTACATCGTCGAGGAGTTACTAGTTGGAGAAGATGACAACCGGACACGGAAGTCGAGTACTGCTTCAGTACCGTCTTCTAGGTCCAATAGGTCCAGGACTCCACTTCCAAGGAGAAGATGTCCTGTGGAAGCTGAAGAAGAGAAGCCAGGATCCGGCGCTGTGTCTGGATCGACTGCGGGATCCTCTGTGCAGAAGTATGTTCCCCCTCACAAGCGACAAGCTGAGTCATCAAAGGGCAAGTGCTCTGTGGGTGGAGCTTCGTCTTCGAAGCCCGCCCCATATGAGCTGACTGCTGCTTCAAGAGCCATCATGCTTGGAGAACTCCTAGGCAAACGGAATGATGAGCTGGAGGAACGACGTGCATTCTTGGATGATCCCAAGTGTCAAGGGGCTACTCGAACTGAAACCTTGGACATGATCGCCAAGTTGGAACTTGAGCTTGAGGATCTGAAGGGTGAACAGCGAACTGTCCGACGAAAGCAACGAGAAGGGTTTTCTTCACGGCAAGAAAGAGACAAAGAAGTTCTTGGAGGACGCTTGGCCTACCTGAAGGAGAGGTCAAGGAAACGCGCTGCAAGTAAAAGAAGGGAAGGTCACGTGGATCGCGTAAAGGAGAAGTTGCAGAAGGAAGACGAATGGTGGAAACGCCTCAACCAACCTGGTAAAGGGCGAAAGGTGCGAGTCTTCCCTTTGGCGGAAGGAGAGTTGGCAGGCGAAGTACAAGCAGCACCTTTGTCGAAGAAGGCCAAGACGGCGCTTCTGGAGGAAGAAGAGCAAGCGTTCCTTGAGTTGCCGCAGCATAGGCCGCGGACTAAGGAGCTGCCGCCGTCAGCAAGGAAGTTGACGCCAAAGAAAAGAGCAGCCAAGCACAAAAGAGAACGAAGGCGAGAGCAACGCCAGAAGGCAGACAAGGAGCAAGGAAAAGGCAAAGGATCAGCCAAGGGTGAGAGTAGAGCCAAGGGTACGGGGCATTTGGCTTCGTTCTCTGGTTCAAGCGGCATGGGTACCGCTACGGGTGCTTACCCTGGCTGGACAAGAGTCGATTTCGTCATTGACTCGGGCGCAAGCGCAACTACCATTCCCAAAGGATTGGTGGGAAAGGTGAAGCTGGACGAGCCCATTGGTTACCACAGTTTCAAACTTGCAGATGGGAACGTGGTCACCAATGACGGAACCTTGACAGCCAAGGCGTGGCTGATGGGCAATGAGGTGGTGGTTGCGCGGATGTCAGTGGCAGACATCTCGCAGCCGCTTCTATCCGTTGGCCAGATGGTCAACCAGGGCAACAAAGTAGTCCTCTCCCCCAAGGTAAGCTACTTGGAAACCAAGGGTGGCGGAATTCACCGCATCTTCCAGAGGAATGGTGCGTATGTTCTGCCGCTGTGGCTGGATAGCGCGAAGATGGCCCCAACTGACCCTTTTGTAGGGCAGGGCCACGGCAGCCTGTAAGACCTAAAGCAGAGAGGGCGGAGAGCTGTTTCAGCTCCGGCCCCGCTGTAGCTGGGGTACAGAGCCGTTTCGGTTCGTGCCCCCAGCAACCCACTGGACAAATGGCCCCCGCTGAAGGCCAACAAGAGGAGTTGGATGCCGAACAGATCGCTGAGGGCGTGCTGGAGGCACCGCAGCTGGTTGAGGCAGAAGAAGGGAGGGCAGCGAAACCGATCAGATCTCCCAGTCTGCCCAGCCTTGAAGAGGTGGAGGCTCATTCGGTGAGTCACATCCCCTTCCGAGCCTGGTGTTCGCACTGTGTGCGAGGCAGAGGCAAAAGCTATGCGCATCGTCGGGTGGTTCGGTCCGATGACACTGAAGAGATCCCTGTCATTAGCATCGACTATGGCTTCTTTGGAGCCCCAGGAGAGCTCCCTGCTGACGCAGTCGGAGGCCATAAGATGCCGGTACTGGTGGCAAGAGATCGACGAAGCAAAGCATTGTTCACACACTTGGTTCCATCCAAAGGTGTGGAACATTTGTACACCGAGCAAGCACTATGTCGAGACATACGATTCTTGGCATACCCAGAGGTGGTTGTGAAGAGCGACCAAGAGCCAGCCATCAAGGCTGTGGCTGAAGCGGTGAAGAACGCGTTCGCTGCTTCAAATATACGGGTGCAACTCGAGCATTCTCCCAAGGGAGATCACCATGGGAAATCCAATGGCGAGGCCGAGGCCGCTGTTGAAATTACCCAAGGGTTGTGCCGGACGTACAAGGATGCCTGTGAGACGGGCATGGGCAAAGCAATCGACCCCAAGTCGCCATTGCTGGCTTGGATGATCGAGCATGCGGGCAACATGTACAACCTGTATGCCCATGACGACACATTGAAAGATGGTCTCACCCCCTTCCGGAGGTTGAAGGGCCGAGATTGGCAGGTGTCGTTGCCGCCGTGGGGAGAAGCGGTGGATTACAGAGTGCGCACCAAACACAAGTTAGAACCAAGATGGGCAACGGGAATCTTTTGTGGTGTAAGACTCAACACTACGGAAAAGATCATTGCCACAGAGAATGGCATTGTGGTTGCTCAGTCCGTCCGGAGGAAGCCGAAGGAGCTTCGATGGGACGCAGATCTTGTTGCAAAGGTCAAAGGGACGCCATGGGCGCCAATCCCTGGCCGAGCGAGCCGTTCGGCCTGAGGAAGCAGAGGAGCTTACTGAGGCAATCGAAGTCTTGCCCGAAGTTCCGGAAGAACCTGCTGCCGATGCCATCGCAGCAGACAAGAAAGAAGTCCTGAGGCGGGTCTATATCCGTCAAACGGACCTTGATAGCCACGGGTACACAGCTGGATGTCCTGCGTGCGACGCCATTCGCACGGGTTATTCCCGAGAAGGGATCCTCCACTCAGAATCTTGCCGATCACGAGTGGTTGGTAAACTTGGAGAGTCAGAGGAAGGACGAAAGCGTTTGGAAGCCGCCAAGCGCAGTGAACTTCCGAAAAGGTTTCGGAAGGCCGAAGAATTGAAGGTGAGAACTGAAGGGTACGAGTGTCGTTTCGATACCGGACCCTCCCTCGGGCGCACCGTCGTCGTCTTCATCGGCGTCTGCTGCACCAAAGCGTGAGACAGCTGAGGCTACGACGCAGGAGGCGCGTCCTGAAAAGAAGGTACGAGGAGAAAGCTTGAAGAAGCCACGGTTAGAGACTGGAGGTCAGAGTGTTGCTTCAACACCTGTCCCGGGTCTTGCCGGAGGTCAGAGCGCTGCTTCAGCGCCTGGCCCAAGTCCCAACGTCGGTGCAGACTCTGGTGACACTGACATGGGCGAATCACGGAAAAGGTCCCGAGAAACAGGGGACGAAGAAATGGTGACAAATTTCCTGTTATCCTTGAGAACAGGATTTCTAGCATCTGTTGCTGGAGAAACACACCCTGTGTGCCACGAGAAGCTCGAGACTGAGGTGTATGAAGAATATGAAACCTCTTATTGGGACGACATCACAGGGAAGCCACTTCGATCAGACTTGGTCGAAGCATCACGCAGAGAGGAGATCGATGTCGTGACTTCGATGGGAGTCTGGGAAATTATCCGGAGACCCAAAGGAGAGAAGGTGATATCAACTCGGTGGGTAGATGTCAACAAGAAGGACGATCGCAACCCGAAGTACAGGAGTCGCCTGGTGGCCCGCGAGCTCAAGAAGAAGTATGCGGGAAAGGTCTCTGACGAAGCCCACACTCCCAGTTGGGAAGATTTCTATGCATCGATGCCGCCGATCAGCGCACTGCGAACTTTATTCGCACTTGCAACCACCAATCGTGCGCCTGGATTGGACAGTAGAATGCGGGAACTGCCCCGCAACCGATGCCTGGTCTTCTTAGATATCAAGAAAGCTCATTTCTGGGCTGATGCACGAAGGCGTATCTTGGTGGAGCTGCCTATGGAGACTGGCGTAGATACCGAAAAGTATGTCGGTCTTCTAAAGAAGTCTCTCTACGGAACACGAGATGCTCCCGCGAATTGGGAGGCGACCATCCTTCGAGTCATGACGCTCCTAGGATTCGTTCAGGGTCGTTCAAACAGCTGTCTGTACTTTCATCCTGGAAGACAGATCCAAGTGGAAGTCCACGGTGACGATTTCACCGGTCTGGGCTCAAAGGATCATCTCGAATGGTTCGCTACTGAGCTGGGAAAACACTGGACGATTGAAGTCCGTGGATACCTGGGTCCACCTGGAATGGCTGGAACGCAACAGACGATAGACATTCTGAATCGGTTGGTAACGTGGAGTGCAAAAGGCATTGAGCTGGAAGCCGACCCACGTCATGCCGAGATCATCATGAATGAGATGGGATGCGCAGGGGCCAAAGTTTCTTCGGCTCTTGTCAAAGAAAGGGTAGAAGAGGTGGATAGCGCTGAGCCACTCGATCCTGAGGAAATTCCAAGGTATCGATCGGTCAGCATGCGCTTAGCCTACCTAGCACAGGACAGGCCAGACTTGCAGGTACTTGCCAAGGAGTTGGCAAAGGGACTGAAGAATCCCACTACTGCACATTGGACAATGCTCAAGAGAGGAGCACGGTACCTGAGAAGCAGACCTCGTCTGATTCATCTCTTCCCGTATCAGCATTCGATATCTCAATTGGTGGTCTGGACCGATGCGGACCATGCTGGATGTTTGAGAACACGGAAAAGCACCACTGGCTATTGCATTCGACTTGGAAATTCCACTACGAAAACCAGTTGCAAGAGCCAGGCAGTAATTGCACTTAGCAGTGGTGAGGCTGAATACTATGGCTTAGTTTCCGCTGCTTGCAATGCTCTTGGAGAGCAATCAGTCCTGAAGGATTGGGGCATTTGGCTGCCAATCCATGGCTGGATGGATGCCAACACAGGTTTGTCCATTGCTTCAAGACATGGCCTTGGTCGTGTGAAGCATATCGACACTGTGTTCCTTTGGACGCAAGATGCTGTAGCCAAAGGTCGTATTTCCTTGGGAAAGAAACCTACGGCTGAAATGCTGGCAGACTTGCTGACGAAACCACTGGAACAAGCTAGAGTCCGTTACCTGCTTGAGTGCATGAACTACTACTATGCCGAAGGAAGGCATCACCTCGCACTCGACGTCTGAAGGGCTTGAGCCGGGCTAGGACTGAACATAGAACCCTCGTAACTCGGGCACCAGACCTGAGATAGTTCAGCAGCCCTCGGGAGGCGTGTTGACTTGTAAGGGTTCCTATGTAGTATGTTTCACTAATTAACATGGTTAGGATGTTGTTTGTTTCACTACCGCAGCCCTTTTTCAAGGAGGTAGCTAGCTGACAGAGCCCAAAAGTCCGCTGCATATATATATATATGTATATATATATATATACTACGCTTTTGAAAGCCGCTTTTGGATATACTTCCATGAATTTGCGTTGTGTTTTATACTGAATTTTGCCTGTACGATTTGATATTTCAAGTTGTGGATAGGATACCCTAGACAACATCCTTAAATAGCAGCGAGAGCAAATTCTCGCATTCCATAGCGCAGGGAACTCCACACGGCCAATGCCACCTTAAGAAACCTCTTGGGGATGGCTTCATTCAAGAATAAACCCAAGGAATAGACCATGACCCATATACCTTATGACATACCCAAGAAATTTAACCTTAATAGCATAGCCAATATGATTGGTTTCACCTGGTTTACCACACTACTGATGTAGAAATTCGTACATGTTATTCGTTGCTTCGGAGGATGGCTTGACACCTCTACACTTTGCTGCTTGTAACGGGCACCTCGAGGTGTGTCCTGGATGTTGATCACCCCCTGAAGGGTTCAACCATGGGTTTTCTACATAGTCATAGGTTTGTCTAAAAATAGTCCATCCTAATCATCCTAAATTTGAGGCTTGATCATATCTTCCCCTATTACAACACCATTTTGATGGTACTATATGGTATGCCCCAGTGTCAGACAAGCCGTGACATCCCACAAATCGGTTGCCATATTCGCCATGATGCCATAGCAGAGCCAGTGGTCGCGGGGTGACCCCAACCTCTCCCCGGTCTCCTTGTCCCTGCCAACAACATTCACATGCCACTTCTCACGTTCAGATATGCAAAATATATCAAAATATTGGAAAGATGCAACCCAAGGGTAATGCCAAGTGTTATCAATATCTATCAATTATCAGCTGTTTTCTGGTTATTTCATGTTATTTCTATAAAACTAGTTGAGGATTGTCCCTAAGTTCAAAGACGTTCGGGCTCCCACAGCCGGGGCCCCTTGGTTCACACGGACATTGCCCTGTTGACTGGTTTCAATCACCAGTCAGTATGTTTTGTATATATTAAATTATTAAGTATTAATTATTTTGTTATTATATATATATAATACGTATGTATATGTCTATGTGTGTGTGTGACAATTACCTGCTGGGCTAGCAGTAACCCATATTACTTTGAACAAGATTCCACTACAATAATCATAATGTTATAAATTAATATAATTTATTGTTTGATATCACCATGTTGGCTCTAGGATATGACGATCCACTATGCGGCATTCACATTCCTTTGTCTTGCTGGTTATTATGTGCATGCCAGATCCAAGTTGCAATTCTTGTTGGTTCCATTCCATTTAACCAAGATACGTTCGATATGTAGTGCATTTACTCTGTGCTTTTGTTCATCCCATTTCATCCCATCCCATCCATCCATCTATACTGTGGATGGACTTCATCCTGCACCAGTTGGCAACTCTTACCATCTACCTACTGGTGATTTGGATTTCATCCACCCACAGTATAGTACATATATATATATATATATATACATATAACAATGTGGGTAAAACAATAACAAACCACCCATGTGGGAATGGTGTATACATGTTTATAATATATCACCTATAAACATGGTGATGACTGGGGGATGCTTTATGACATTGTTTTACCCACATTATTCCGTGTGTTCGATGCCGCTCCGTATCCATCGGCGTTGTTGCAACAACGGCGCCCACCTTCCGCAGCCCATGGCTCACAGTCATGGGGACCAGCGGGACTCTGCCACGAAGGCGCAAACACATGGGGATTTCATGGGGATTTCCATGTGTTTACCCATGTGTTTAATGGGGTGTTTATGATGACTTTATGTTTTTTGTTTGAAATCATGATTCTATGATGACGCTGTTGTGATTTTTATGGTGATTCTTGGGGAATGTAATGGGGATATACCAAACAATAGTGGGATATTAATGATTATTGTGCAATCAAACATGTGATGTTCGTTGGAAAATCTACTGTCACTGGATTGGTTGAAGGGAAATCTTAACCAGAAGCCGTGGATTTTCGGATGAAATATGATGACATATCGGGGGTTCCGGTTTAACTTTTCCCTTACACTACAGTAATCCATTGATACTGTAACCTGCATCTTTTTGGGGATTGCTACGTGTAATTCGAACAAAACGTCCATGAAAGGTGATAGATGGTGATGGCTTGATGCAGAAGTCGCTGCGGAAGCTAATGCGTAGCTTGAAGAAACTCCAGAAAACGACACCCAAAAATAACGGGAAACCATGCAAATATGCAACCCATAATGTGGTGATGTTCCCCATATTTGCCAATTCTCAATTCTTGGAACAATTTCACAACACTGATTTCTATAACCTAGTCTTGCTTGGTCCAAGGTCCAAGATTGAGTACCTACCCCAACATCAAACTCATGGCTGCACAGCCAAGAGTCTAGAGGATTCAAATTTGTGCCTTAAACGAGCAGAAACTCAAGGTAATTTGGGGTTTGACCTAATTTGTTGGGCCTTGGTATGTATGTGTATATATATATATACATATTATATTTGTTCATATGACTAATATCGTTGTAGCTTATGTATCATCAAATATATATATATATATATATATACATACTGTTAGTTAAATGCTACAAATGATAAGGTTTAAATCGTTTATGTGATGTAGACCTTATTTTTTGCATTGTATTAAACACTATCTATGATCTTCACTATATCAAGTTATACCAAATATATATATATATATATATCATACACACTATTTGTTACATGTTGTGCGTTTCGCATGGCTGACGAGGCCGGGGTGATGATCGGGAACGAGTGCTGGCTGCACCAGATTCATCTGCCTTGGCTCGGGTCTTCTAAGGTGCAAGCTGGGTGCTCCGGGTGATGGAAAAAGATAAGATGAAGACTGATGAAGTGGTTTCATGGCTGTATAGTTGCAGTGTCATGATGTCATATTTATACACATATATGCACATGTATATGCATATACTGTATGTTGTATATACTGTAGTAAAGATGTAGAGATATGTGTGCATAATTTACTCTATATTCTACACATGGGTTTCACCACCAAAAATGATAGGTGACCAGGTGAAAATCTGGAAGCCAGATTGTTTTTCAATAATTCAATGGGTTGACACATAAAGCCCGGTGGTAGCCAAAGCTGGAGGTGAGGCTTCCAATGACAATCATTCAGTGATTCAACACTAGTCTAGAAAAAAAGGATGTGAATCGATGCCTATAGAATCACAACATATCACGCTTGCGTGTTGATGCTTGTATTGGCTATAACAATGTATAACATTGTATAACATTGTATAACATTGTATAACACTATTGAAGCATTTTTTGGTGATTTCCATTCGATGGATTCAACCGAGTCAATCGGCTCGCCCCATCGATCCAGGGGGTGCGACAGAGACCAGTGCCATGGCCCCTTGACAGCAGTTGGAACCCAGCAGATGGCCCGACGTGGTTACTTAATGTTATTTAAAGGGTTTGCTCTGAAAATCATTGAACATCACCTTTTAGAGTAAGGAAATCATCAATAATCATCATGTCATGTGCGTCATGTATAAAAATGGGCCATGTTCCGTAGCAAAGTGATATTCATAACCAGAGGGTTCCAAAGGGCCACCATGTTTGTTGTTTCTAGTGGGAATATGACCAGACCAATCCGTAGTCGCCTTTCGTCCTAAAACCAGGTCTGGGGTCACCGGAAATCCTGTGCTCCACGCTGCTTGGCTCAGATGCTGGGGTTGACTCCTCAAATTCTTCTGGAGGTCCCTTTTAATCTACAGGCCCTAATCATTCTTGATCTGTTTAAGTCGGAAGAGGTACAAGCAAAAAACAGAGATGTGGATGCTAAGCGCTAAGTTATGTTTTTTTTGGGTAAGACAGCTCCCGTATATGCAAATGTGGTCAAGATTCGACAATGTCAGCTTGAAACCGCTACAGAACCACCAATGAAACATGTCAACGGAACATCTGAGAATCCTGAGTCAGATTTTAGGTTGATTTAATGATTTAGATGTTATTTCCCATGGGGATTTTCCCCATGAACTCATCAGGAAGATGCCCAGCGAATGAGGCAGTGATTTAGCGCGACCTCACCACCATTACACCACAAATGGTTGGTGTACGATCATCAACTAGTATGTATCCCCAATAAAAAACTAGGATAAAACTTACGTAATCTGAATTCTGGTGAATTGCCTTATGTGTGTCCGTTCTACCTGGGATGACCCCCATTGACAGAAGATTTTCTCAGGGGGTCGCCACTAACAACCAATCCTAGAAATATTGGAAATGGTTGAAGGGAAAAATCTACAGGAAAGCCGCATATTTGAGGCTAGAAACCATGATTTCCGGTAGATCTCCCCAACAAAATCCATCCATTGAAGCAGTTTCAATGCCGTTTCAATACCGCCATGCACTGCAAATGTCACGGTAGGAATCCAGCGAGCGCAGAGTGAAACTGGAGAATGTGCTTCACCGTGCAGCGACGGGGCAAAGCCTTAGTGACAAAGAACCTGCCAACAGCAGGCGCGCCAGTGCATGGTGGGTCGGTGCTAAGGTAAACGTTTAAATGTGGAAAACCACTGGTCTTCCCAAGGAAAATCATCATAAATCATCAGAGGTGGGCTTTCCACATTGTTAGTTTACCCTGGGGTACTGTATGATACGGTCAGCATGTAGCTGACCGTGTCTAAATACGGTGCATGTTATGTAGTCTATGAGTGCATCGTTAAATACATCAGTAGAAGGAGCTCCACTTCGGCATGAATCCCGGCATACAGGTACTCATGACCATGGTATCAACATCAACTGTGATCATGTTCGGTGCACTGTAAATGGGTTCTCTTAGTTATGTACAAACCATGGTAGCGGCCAATTTTTCTATCAGCTGATTAATCCATCAGTTAACATTTACCACTTACTGATCTTACTGACAGATCTGACAGGCACATCCAAGATCATCCAGCCGTCGTCAGCAGTGACGCGAACCATGCCAGGTATGGTAGCTATGGCCAGATGCACCAGAGCCGTGAGGGCATTCAACTCATTCTGACCAAATCAGGCTCGAACGAGTGGATCTGTGGGGACCTGAACTTGGGATAACTTTGCTGTCCATGGCTTCCTCGACTTCTCTTCAGCTCAGGTGCTTGGAAGCTTCAAACCTTTAAAAGCCCAGAATCTGGTTGCAACGATTCTTTCATCATCTTTCATCCGATTTTTTGAATTGTTCAGCTTCCATGTCATTTTGGTTGGATTCTTGAGGAATGTATGGATTATTCTTAAGATTCGGTATACCATAGTATAATAGTGTGTATATATATATATATGTGTGTGTGTGCCCATGACAGAAGCATTTTAGTGGGAAAATGAGGATTGATCATCAGATTTGGGGGTAGCCTATCTTTAGAGACACACCTACAAAATTGTGATCAAAGAAATTGAGGACACGGGTTGGTAGGCTCTCCCAAAGAGCAGGGGTCTAACTGCACTCCATGATCAGACCTTGACCGCCCATTCCACCCAATATGAAATAGCACATGTTTGGAAATCCTGGTGGAATATATTGGATGATCTTGAATCTATTGATAATAAAAGGTCCCTAAGTGATGGCATTTAGGTGGGATAACCGGAAAAAACTTCGGATTGCCAGTTTAGGACTTCAAAATCATTTGTTGCTGCAAATGGAGAAACAGGGGGATCTACTACAATATCCTGTACATTCCTGTACTAAATAGCTACAATTTACAAATTGCAGACGGCTCCAATAATCCGCTGCGGCTCAGGCATCGCCTGGCAGGATGAAGGAAGTGAAGAGGAGATTATTCCTCTACTACTGGCAGATGTCATGGCTGCTCCCGTGGCCCAGCATGGCAAAATGTTGACATTCCATGGGCTTTTTTGGCATGTTTGAGCCATGGCCATATTATCATACTCAGGTTCGTCAATATCTTTATATACTATCACTATCACCAAGCCGTAATAGTAGCTGATAGAATATGTAGAATGTGGATCATATCCAAGGTGGTCTGTTATCCAACGGCCCTAACAAATCTCCAACTTGTCCTGTCACATCCAGAGACCTCTAAAAAGCTGCAGTTGAACATCTTTGGATAGGAAAATTGTTGGTGGTTCACTCTTCGCAACCGAGGTGCAACAGAAATTTAGTTTCACCAAATCAGAAGCCACTCATGTGATTCTTCTGGCTCCACGGGCGCAAAGTTTTTCAGCAGCTTCTCGGAATCTAGGGTCGGTGGAGTTCCGTGGCGGGCGATCTGCTTGTTGCTCTCAACAGTTCTTATTGATCAACCCTCATGATGCCCAATAAGTATTTGATATCTAGAAATATATCTAGAAAAATTCTAGACATATATATATATATATAATATAATATAATATAATATAATATAATATAATATAATTAACTATATAACTATAAATGAGGCTACCAATGTTCTCAGATACGTGGCTCAACCCCAAGCCAAATCAGCTCGACGCTCTGGGGGAGTCTAATCCCCAGTGCCTTTGTCCCATTCAACGACCTCCCTGCGCCGTGGAAGGATGGGCATTGGATTCGGGGAATCATCCCCAAACAGCCCAACTGTTATCCCTTGTGGTTATTGGCTTATGGATGTATATCCATATATTATCCACACACACACACATATATATATATATATTTTATATATACATCCACTATATGCATCCTCATTATGGTGGGTTTTGTTGATCTTATGTTTGCCGTTTTTGGCTAGCGCAAAGGTTTGGCTACTTTGCACCAACGCGGGCACGGACGACTTCAGCGTAGATCACTTGCTAATCAACTTTAGCAGGTTGGGCGGCCCAGCATGTGCGGGGAAGGTCAGTAGTGGATCGGATTGGGGGAAGGTGTTTACTAGATTTTAGTACTGCAGTGGTCTGCATATCTCAAACAATGCTCCTGCTTAGGCCACACCTTCACAGAACGAATCAGCCCATGGAACTTCTTGGGACTTTCCCAAACTCCAGGGGTGTCCCATCTCGATCCATCCAGGCGAGGAGCAATCCGCTGGGACATCAAGGATTGCTGTCATTTCTTAGCCAAGTCCTGTGGAGAGGGAGCGCATGGATCCGTTTTCAGCCCCTCGCAGCCGATGTTTTTGGAGAAATCATGGCTTGGCGTTGGAGGATAAACTCTGTAGAACGTGCCAGGGTTCAAAGGTGCCGCTCAAAATCTTCTCTCAGAATTGCTTGGAAAGATCCAAAAGCTCCTGTGCTTGATGATTTGTCACGGGAAAATCATGGGAAAATCATGGAAAACAAGTCAAGTGAGCCTCAAGCAAAGCCGAGGCGGCGTATCATTGTTGCCTCTATATGATTCGCGGCGACGACTCATCAGAGAACGACGAGATGTGACTCATTTGTGAAGCAACGTTGCTGGGTAAATGGTAAACCTATGTAAACCTGAGATCGGTAGAATAATATAGTTTGGACATGTTTGGCCATGTTTGGCCATGTTTAACAACTCATGTTGCCTCTCTGATGGGGGCTTATGCTAACTAGCTAATACAGAACGTCGGCCATGGGCCTGATACAAGCCACCGGCAGCAAAATGATGATTTGACCATCATCCCATCTCCCCATATGAAATATCCGTCAGAAGCCACAGTTCAATGGGGAGTTGCACATAGTTGCACATATTTAATCATATTTATACATATTTGGCATATTTTGGGATCATATAGATCCGTTTAGGGGGTGTTTGGTATTAGGAGAAGGCATGATTTGCCCAATCTACCAACCCAGTCACGGACCGCTACCGCCTTGAAAGCCTTGAAGATCTCAGTCGCCAAGGTCGTTAGCATGAAGAAGGTGCACAACTTTGGACGAGTTGCTGTGAAGATTTGGAACAAGCCACCACTAAGTATGATTCGATCCTTGCTGGGATCAAACACAGTGCAGGTGTCAAGTCTGTAAAATGGAATAAAATAAATACGAAGTATTATGTATATATATATATACAAAACTGTGCCTTTTTATTCACAATATATGTAAATCCGAGTGTAACTCTGATGCAATTACTTCAGATTATTATGGTGCTGGTGGACGCATGTGAACCCCATATTTATTGATTGCCTTAACAATTCCGTGCCGCTGTTCTCAACAATTAGTGACGAATGTAACCAGAGCATTTAATCGGATCCAATTGAGAAGCTTGATTTCTATGCATCCGAACTAGGAGGCTATCCCATGTGTAGCTGCGCTACATCTATGGATCATCCATGGTTTCCAACGAATGCTACGGCAATCGCTATTCTCAGTCATGTCACTCTCGTTGGTGGCCCCCAGTGGCAACTTGAGGTTTATTTCATCCCATTTCCCTGGTACAGAACAAAATTTCGTCAGGGGCATTCGGGGGCACATCCTAATTGGCTTGGCCTCAGGGCAGTATGTCAAACTCGTCACAATCCACTTGACCACCCAAAACTAGGATAGACCTTGAGAATCGCCAATCTTTTGAGGAAAGATATAATATCTAAATCGATCTACTGACAGGGTCGGGTCGATGTTAGTTGGGTGAATTATAATCCGCAGTGGCCCTTCCATGTCCCACAATTTGCAGGGAAATTCTGCAGGAAACCTTTATTTTTATGGTCAAAATGTTGTTTTCACCCGCAACAAAATCAATCCATTGACATAAGCATCCAAATACTGTTGGTTAAGTCATCCCACTAACTGATTCTATCGTAGCATCAATATATTATACTATATTCACATTAAATTCTCCCTCAAAAACAGTATTATATCCTGGTGATTCTCCCAATGATATGTTCACGTTCCCTCATTGATCGAGGACAAGAGTTGTCTGTGCTGCAAGCAGCAGCTGGACATCCCACCCTCTCATCACTTTTAGGACGCCTCAGAAGGGGGAATCAACAACCGCCTGGGTAGTGGGTAAATCATTGTTAATCTTTTTTGGAGAAGATCTGCTTGGGAAAAGAATCTGGTTTAGAATCTGATGTTAATGTTCTTTCTGTTGAAACAAAAAAACGGTATCTCGCTTTGGGTGAGCACTTTGTCCGTGGAGAATGTGAGAAAGGCCGATTGATTGCTTGTTTGATGTTTCTTATTCTTTTCTTAATCAAATTTACAATATGTTTCCATTAGAAGCTGTGATTGGAAACTGTGGCTTGTTAAGTTTTTGTTACCACTGTAGCTACGCCATGGCGATGCGACTCGCCAACTCAGATCTGGAACTCGCCTGAGTGCCAGATCTGCTGTCAAACTCGCAGCCGGAAGGAGTCTATTGTGAGGGCCAGCGCAGAAGAACGCCGGTAACTTGCCTTACATGAGCTATGGTCAATACTCATGGTTAATAACCATTAATAGGGGCTAGTCATCCAATGGTTCATAGGGATTTATAATAACCATTATAAGGATCCTTATTATGGATGGGATGACCATCAACCATATAGTGAGTATTGACCATGGCTCACATGTTGAAGATTAGGAGGTGATGGGAGCAGCAGGTTGTTGGACCTCCTATGTAGGAGGGTGTTTCTGAAAGTCAAAATAGTGTGGTAAACCCAATAAACATCAAAAACCATTCCCAAATCATCACCATGAATGGCTGGGATCTCAATGATTCCCAAATGGTAGGTTTATGGTATTGGGTTGCTGACATTATATGATTTATATGCTGTGTGTGTGTACATATGTGTGCATGTGCACACACACAGGCATAATATATATATATAGGTATAGGTAAACCCCCAATGTGTGATATTGATTTCCAACCGTTCATGTTTCCGACCGTTTCCGACCGTTTCCATTTTTCTGAGCAATTAATTCATTCGTTTATGAAAGGCTGATCCAGTGCAAACCCATGCAAACCATGACGCTGAAGATTTTTCGAATGACCCTTCTGTGCGTAGACTGCACCAAATATTACATTTTGACCTTGGCATCCAATATTCATCAAAATTCCCTAAAAATCCCAAAGTTCCAGGAGCTCGTGAAATTTGGATATTTCAGTGTCCATGTTAATTGGTGTAAATGGATGCTACAGGTGAGCGCCAAGACTAAAAAAGGTGACTTACGCGGTTTCTTGTTGAAATGTGTAACTTGCAAGCAAAAACAGAGAATCAACTAGCTCAAGACTGAGATTTAGCTGGTAATTTCACATTTGACATGGAAAATATATAAATATGGCCATGTGTGGATGATTTGCATCTTCAAACGCCGTGATTAAAACCATGATTTTCCAGCCATAGATCTGTAAGAAATTCTCAGAGGCCATTGGCTGCCCGAATCAAAGGATCCATGTGCTAAAGCTGCCATGAAAAACACCAAGGAATATTCAAACATTTGAAATGGTCTATGTAAACCATCCCCAGTCATGGTAGGTTTGTGGCAGCCACGGCCGCAGTTTCGTTTCTCCTGAGGTGGTGTGGCTGCTGGTTTTAGAGCACTGCACAGGGGGTGACCTCTTTGACTATGTTCGAGCCGCTGGGGTGAAAAATTGGGGATCCGATTTTGGATGTTGGGTTGACCAATTTGATCCCTTTTGCTCGTTTTTCCAAGCACTGAAATGCTTGGGGGACAAAAGCATTGAAATGTAAGTGCCGGATTTCGGTGATTTAGCTCATTGAAGTTCCATGTGTAGCACTAAGGAATGTGAAGGCTGGATCTATGAAACGAATTCATGCAAACACAATTATATATATTATAATTATACTTGAACTGTCCAGGGTGGTGAAATGTTTTCGGCCTCAGTTGTGATAGTTTGATAGTCCCTACAAAGCCATTCTGTGGTTTGAACGATCCAAGTTGTTACGGGATGAAGATTGCCATTTTGGGGGTATCCCGGTATCCCCCATTTAACCCGCTAAAAAAAAAGCTTTCAGCCATGACTACACGCTAATTTAAGGTAGATGGAAAATCGCCATTGTTAATGGTTATTGTAATAGGTAAATCATCAAAAATCATTTGTAACGGGGCAATTCTCCATAGATGTGTAAAATATCCAGAGGGTGGAAACAGAAGGGGTTCCAGCCATGTCTGTCATGTTTGCCAACTTAGGAGGCTATGCGGTTGTTTTGATTTCACATATATCTATATAATATATTATAATATTATATAATCACCCAATTGGGTGTTTCTTAAAACTGGGATACCTCCAAACGGCCCCAAATCCCATTGCCTCTTCTATTTTCACTTCACTATGTCTGTTGGATGATTGTGGGGTTTTCCGTGGCAGTTTAACCACCCCATTTCCCACGTTTCCCATCCCCCTGTTTCATTCGCTGAGGAGAACTATGTGTCGCAGAATCGATGCCAAGAGGTCCTCATGTGCATCATGTCAGGTCTGGCCCATCTGCATTCGTTGAACATCGTGCACCGGGACGTGAAGGCAGAAGCTTGCCACCTGTTGGACGGGAAGAGAGGGATGACATATCAATATTTGTTAGTTGTTGGGTTTTGATTATGGCTATGCCAATTATTATATGATTTAATCATTATTTGGGCATCTTTGCCCCAAAAGATCACTCCCAAAGGTCAATCGTAGGTGACCCACCAGCGGCGGTCCTAAGGAGAATGTGGTGCTACAGAAGCACCATGCAGTTCTCATAGAGCCTTGGCACCAAAGTCCAGTTCTCCGGTGGCTGCAGGAGCAACAAAAATGGGGATAGGAACGATGCAAACTGGCGCGCTGAACGAGCTGAACGATTTGGGATTGATTGGTTGTTGTAATTTTTCACCACAAGGTTTGCTATGGATAGAATTTCTAGAATCGAATCGCATCGAATTGCTAGCTATTCTATTCGCCATTTCAGAGATTTGAGCTGGTGCCAGGTTTCTTGGAGCATAGTTCACCAGCCAAAACGCTGGTGAATAACGAACAGCAATGGGTTGTTTTGTGCATGGTATGCATTAAAATGTTGCGTTCATGAAGCATTCCAGCCTACAACATCATTTATTGAATTTTATTGAGCTGTCAAATGCGAGGCCACCTCTGGCTGTAGAAACTTGAGTTTTCCTGGCATGTTTTTTTCCGCACCCTAGCGCTAAGGACTATGGTATCTCTGCAGACGTCAATGATGAGAAGGAGGGTCGGGTGCTGGCCCATTCCCATGAACCAAGCTATGTCTCTATGGTTTATGATGGATATATCTAGAGTTCATGGGGGTTATGAACCAACTTGTGGCGGCAAATCTTTTCTCCCTAGTATATATATGTTGATGCACAGTAGTACCACATGTATATACCCTTTTCACCTCATATACGGTTGCGTGCGTGGCTCAAGAAATGCTGCGCAGGGTTAACTGGGATTTGTGGTTACTCTAGGCTTTTATCCCGTTTCTACAGGTTATCAGCCGTATCGCGAAGCGATCGCTGGTTTCCTTCTGTCTCACTTTTCGTTCTTTCTCTGTAGCTTTCGCAATGGCTTCAACCCCCGCGCTTCCTGCCCCGGGCGGGAACGCCTCGGCTGCTCTGGCCTTAGCGAACCCTACACAACCGGAGGAAGTGGTAATCCATTCAGGTGCGGCAACAACAGAAGGCGACATGAGTTACTTGGATGAAGAATTTGACCCATACCGTTCTGATCCACGCAGGGACATGCCAGGTGTTTTGGATGCTAGTTTTGACGTAACTCAGCTCAACACCATCAACTTCAATCATGTGGGCAATCGTACCGCCCAAGTGGCAGTGGTACAGCAAGGTGTTGATCCAAACATGGCAAGTCAATTGATGGCTGCTCAACAGCAGGCATTGCAGAGCGAAGCCAACGCACTTCACTCTGAGGTTATGGAACGTCAAAGGAATGCGCTTGTGAGTGAAGCTCGAGATCAGCTTGCAAGCATTGAGCAACAGGCAGCCGACGAGATTTCCAGGAAGAACCTTTTGTTGAATGAGCAAGCCGCCCAGGCGATGAGCGAGCAGAAGTCTGCTCAACTGCAGGTCACAGCGCAGGATCATCGCATCAGGGAACTGAGTGCCGAACTGACCCATGTCGTCAACAATGCAGGTGCCTTGACATCGTCTGCGGAGAAGTCCAATGCTGATCTGCAGGCAGCCCGTTCGGAACTTGCCGAGTATCGCACTCAGATTGATGCAATGAATCAACACGCTTTGAACATGCACAAGCTGGCCGAATCTCAGAAGAAGGACTTCGAGGCAGAGATTCGGAGGGAGCAAAAGGAGCTCATCCGGAACCTAAAGTCTCAACCTCTGGAGGGAACTCCTGGACTCATGATCCATTATGGCCCTGGAAAACCCCTTCCAAGATCCTCGAAGCCCACAGGTACCATCATTGAGGAGTTAGCTTCGGGAAGCAAGAAGCATCAGCGTTCCTCAGACGCTGATGATGAGCATTTTCTGGCAGAACCTTCAAAGCCACCGGGACTTCCCGGAGGTGGACCTCCAGGAGATGACGACGATGACGAGGACTTCAACGACGAGAAAAGTCGTAAAGAGAAGAAGAACAAGAAGAAGGACCGCAAGACCAGTCGCGGCCGATCGAGACGACGGCGACGAAGAGATCCTTCATCATCACCTTCTTCGTCTTCATCCCCTACCACGTCAAGTTCGGATTCTGAGAGTTCCTTTGCACGAAAGGTCAAAAGGGCCTTAGAGCGTTCTAGGACTAATGATCATAAGGCCAAAGAGTCTGATAGGATCCTAGTACCTAAGTTCCCTCAACCCGAAAATTATAGGAATTGGAGAATCCGAGTAAGGGATGCCATAATTGCTGCTTCAGCCAAACCCGACCTAGCTTTTCAGTGGGTAGAAGAAGTTTTCAGGACAGATCAGTCTGTTGATGCCTTGAAGGACTCAGGTAAGTTCGTGACCCTGGACGCAAAGCTCATGTCTTCGCTTACCAACATCTGCGAAGGGGACTTTGCACGGCAGCTTGACATCTTTAAAGAAGAACAAGCCAAGTCAGGGACACCAGCTAGGGGACGTCAAGCATTGCTCATGATCCATAAACACTTTAGCACAAGTAGAAAGCATGGTGCAGTGTACGACATTGAGGACCTCATGGCTGTTACCTTGGTCAATGACGATCTCAGAGGTTTCATCACCCGATGGGACGCTGTGATCGCTGGAATGACGTCCGAGCCTGACATGATGTGGAAGCAAGCATACTTTCACAACGCCATCAAGAATTTCAAGCCTCTCTCTCATGATCTGGCTGTGTATGATCGCACACCGGAGGGGGAACCCAACCGCTCTTATGATTTTCTCATGAAAGCTGCAAGGGACTACCTGGAGAGGAGACGTCTTGAGAAGATGCGTCAGGCCACCAAGAAGTCTGTTTCAGGCAAAAGAGATGCTACGCCAGCACCCACGCGACCGCCATCTGCGGGAAAGCCCACTGGCATTTGCTATGACTTCCAGGCTGGCAAGTGTACCAGGGGAAAGGATTGCCGATACAGACATGAAAAGGCAGACAAAGGAAAAGGCGGAGGTAAGAAAGGTAAGTCCAGGTCCAAGTCAAGAGGCAATGGTAGGTCGTTGTCTCCAGGATCTAGGAATCAGGTGTGTAAGTTTTGGAAGGCAGGTAAGTGTCAACGAGGTAATGACTGTGCTTTCCAACACCCACCAAAGCCTGCAGCTGCATCTACCAAAGATGACAAGCGTGGAAAGAGCCAGAAAAAGAAGAAGAAGAACAAGAAGAAAGGTGATCGTTCGCGATCATCGAGTCGAGGTTCCAATTCCTCGAGGGGCTCACAGAGTCTGAAAGACAAAGGGGGAAAACCTTCTTCCTCTGGCTCAGCTGCGCAGTGCCTGATGCGCGCTCTGATGATGGTTGCAGTCGTCAGCCCTTCGACCAGCACTCATCGCGTGCCGGAAGGCATCGCCTCTCCGCATTGTTTCAACCAGCATTTTGCCATGCCAGTTACACCCAATCGCACTGTTTCATTTGGGGGCAACGATGAAATCTTCGAAGTTCCCATTGAGCAAGATTGTAATTTGCATCCGTGCCAAGCCAAACAACGAACTTTCAATCCAGTTCGCATCACCAAGGACGATCGTACTCGTAAAGATACGATCGAAGCAAGAGAAAGTGATGCAATACTCGCAGCACAGATGTTGCAATCCGCTGTCTTTCGGGAGTTGCATGGTAAACTTTGCAAATGCAGCTTTGAATGTGACAGTGATATCGGCTGTCGCCACTGCATCCGTTCCGACCTGAATGCCCTGCCGGGACACATGCCGTCCCAGCAGCGTAATGCATCCGCTGAGATAGCATGGATCGCTGACACTGGTAGCGCACAGGACTTAGTTTGCAGCAAGATGATTCCCGATGACATCGTGCATCACTCTCATGAACCCCTTGAATTAATCACTGCAAATGGTTCCCAATCAGCTGACCAACAAGCTTCTGTTCATATTGATTGCATCGACAAAGAAGTTCATCCATATGTTCTTCCCGATACCCCGGCTGTAATATCGGTAGGGATGAGGTGCATTCAAGATGGATGGGATTTTGTGTGGAAAAGCTTTAGTCGCCCATATTTCAAGAAGAAAGATGGAACTAAGATCAAACTTGAAGTCAAAGATTTTGTTCCTTATCTACCATCCAGAGATGGCCAGGTACCCGCTGCAGTTGGGATTCCGTTTTCATGGAACTCCGCTGCCGGGAACGGCAAGCCCATCATCTCACCTGTTCGAAGGTCTCGCATGTCAGCTGTTGGCACCGAGTCGGAGGACGAAGTCGAAGAGGTCGAAGAACCTTATGAGGCTTCCATCGCAGATGACGATGAAATCCCCGGACATGGTGACGATAGTCTCGAGGAGTTCTTCCCTGGTGAACTTGCGCCAGGACCTCCAGCAGCCATGACGCCCGAAGGTGATGTGGGTTCGGAAGATGAAGCCGAAGCTCCTGAAGAACCAGTTGACGGTCGGCTTCAACTGCCTGAACCTCAACCAATTGATCGCGGTGAAGCTGCACTTCGAGAAGAGGCCAGGACCCTTAGGCACATGATGACACATACCCCAAAGAATCCTTTTTGTGAAACATGCAAATGTGCAAAGATGTACAAACCTACCAAACGTAGCAAAGGGGAATCTTTGACTGTGGAATCCAACAAGTTTGGGGATCACATCACTGGGGATCATCTTGTAACTAGGGATGCCAACGAGCAATCAATCGATGGTGACAGGGTTGCCATGGTCATGAAAGATGTCGCTACGAATTTTCGTTGGATTTATCCTTCAGCTAGAAGTCATGCCAAGGATTGTGTTTTAGCTTTTAGACATTTCGTCGCACCTGGTGAAGAAGTCGGAGTATTCTACTCCGATGCAGCGCCATCCATCAAGCTCGCTTGTCGGGAAGTTGGGTGGAGACAGAACACTAGTGTTGCTTATGTCTCTAAGTCGAACGCAGTCGCCGAGAGGAATCTCAGGTCCGTACTTGAAGGGACTAGAGTAAACCTCGAACAGGCAGGACTCCACCATTCCTATTGGAGTTTTGCTGCACGACATTGGTGTATGGCACACAACATCCAGGACCACCCTGAAATCTTATCTCCGTGGGAGCTTCGTTTTGGGGAAAAGTTCAAGGGACCCAACATTCCTTTTGGGGCTCGCATTGATTACTGGACTGGACCAAAACTTAAACCCAAGAAGGATTTGCGCTTTGACCCAACTTCAAATCCAAGTATCTTTTTGGGATATGCCATGCAACCAGGTTTCATTTGGAGAAATGAATTTCTTGTAGCATCATTGAAGGACCTCATGGAGAAGGAATGAGAAGGAGTTCAATGAATCAGTTCAGGTCGTTCGTGTCAACCAACTCACCGTACCTGATGGACCATTTATTTATCCTTTGAAAGGTAGATATAAGGCCATTAGGGAAGGTTTATACGAATCTCTTAGCCTTGATGCTCCACCAGATCCAAAGAAGATGGACGCTTAAACAATTGAAGACTTGGTCGCTCCAAGGAAAGCTGTTGAGCCAGGACCGGTGGAGGGCGAAGAGGAGTTTGAACAATTGATGCGTGAAGCTGGACTTGAATCCGATGACATCGAGGTTATTGACCCCAAAACTGGCAAGTCAGAATTTATCTCAAAGGATGACCCTTCATACTACGATGCTAGTGGTTTTAAGGGAAGACGATATAAAGGTTCCTCCAAACCAAAGGACATTCCAACATTTCTTTGGCGGGGGGCATCTAAAGCGGCTAGAGAAAGGGCTAAACGTGAAGCCTTGTTGAAAGAGGCAGCTGAGAAGCATGACGCTGCAGTTGCCAAAGAACGTAAGTATAACAGGGTTATAGATCGTTTTGCCACTTCAGCTGTTAAAGAATCCAAGAATGATGAACCATCAGATGATTTCATTCCCGCAATGCCAGTCACCTATAATCCGGGGGGCTCGCATGGTGGAAACCATTGCCATCGAGACAAGCTCAAGGATCAGTCAGAGCTCATGTGCTTTCATTTTTCCAATGCACTCGTGGCAAGACCCGTTGGACAGAAGGAGATCAACAACACTCCGGCTGCCCAAGCTGCACTCGATAAGGAATGGAATAACCTTACAAGTAAGGGTGCATGGGACTATTCCACTGTAAGGGAATGGGATGATGTTTCAAGGGAAGCCATCAAGAACAAGACCAAAGTTCATGTAGGCAAGATCTTCGAGATTTGTGTCGAGAAGGGAAGTGAGCTACCGCAGGGTGACCCCATGCGCAACCTAGGGAGCCATTTGATCACAAATTAAGTAGCCAAAAGCCGTTTGCACATTTGATCGTGATAACAGGCTTTCGCCGTGAAACCCATTTGGCCGTGAAAACCTGTGCGGCCCCTTGCCCGTGAAAACCCATTTGGCCGTGAAAACCCATTTGGCCGTGAAAACATTTGGCCGTGAAAACCCATTTGGCCGTGAAAACGGCCATTTGGCCGTGAAAACGGCCATTTGGCCGTGAAAACGGCCATTTTCGTGTTTTTCGTGCTTTTAGGTGTTTTTTGTTTTCAATTTTCGTGTTTTTCGTGTTTTTTCGTGGCCGTGAGCGCTTTTTTCGTGGCCGTTTCGTGCTGTTTTCGTGTTTCGTGTTTTTCGTGTTTTTTCGTGGCCGTGAGCGCTTTTTTCGTGGCCGTTTCGTGCTGTTTTCGTGTTTCGTGTTTTTCGTGTTTTTTCGTGGCCGTGAGCGCTTTTTTCGTGGCCGTTTCGTGCTGTTTTCGTGGCCGTTTCCGGGCCATCGAACTTCGTGAAAATACCTTTCGAATCTGCAAACATATCTTTTCGTGGCCGTGAGATCCCAAAATTTCTGGTACCCGTTATTAGATGGCCCTGTGCGAGCCTGCGCAATCGAAATGCACATGGACAAGTCAATATATGTACACATAATTACACATACATATTTATTATAGGTCTTTTTTTGCAACCCCGGGAAGCGTTCACAAAAAATCCAGTCAACCGCTTTAAGATGTAAAAGACACGTATGTTGTGGATTGGGGGCTGGTAATTTTGGATTCACTGGTACATATCGTATGTGTTGGTTTAAGTGTCAACCAATGACATTGCAAAATAGCAGTTTCATCAGAGTCTAGTGGCACGAAATGTACAGGTTTCCATTGGTTTCCTACTCACTATTAAGCATGGTTTTGACCAAACACAACACCACGAAAAAATAAAATCCAAATGGGCGATCCCAATCGGCAACGGAAAAGTTGAATTCACTCGCTGCTCCCGCCGCCCATTCATGCAGCGTGCGGCAACAGACGGCACCATGCCCTCATGTACTTTATTGTTCAGTTTTCCCACGAACATTTGAGTATGTAACATCTTCACCAAAATTACTGGGATTTGCACGTTAAACGTGGAAAACATCTTTTGAACAGAAAAGAAACAACGAAAATCAACACCCAAACATTATTGTGTCATATATGTTTCCTGGTGTTACTGCGATGTGGGTTTGTCCATTGGGTTGGCGGAGCCAGCGTCATGTGGTGAGACTTTCCGAGGCAATCGTGGCAGTGGACGGGTCGAGGTGTTGGAAAGTTTTGCTAAACATGATCTCGTTGTAATTTTCAAGGTTTATGGGCCAGCAGCCCCCTTACCTATCTTCCAAAATTCAACACCACGATCGGACCACACGCGGGCCAGGCATGGAGGAATCTACGGACCTCGCATCGATCCAAACAACATGGTGCGCCTGGCGCATTGCAGCGGCATATTCTGGTGTTTTCTTGTCAATAATCAAGCGCATTTCTGCTTTCAAGCAATGGAATTTCGCTATAATTTGCGCACTGGTTCGATGCATCGTTTTTAGAATGCAAACAGTCTACACTCGCGATTTGGTCTGTGCATCAAGGAACACAGATTGAAGTCTAAAACCTCAAAGATTTTACGTATAAGTATACACACGTGTAATATATATATATTATACTATATCTATATATAACTCTATATACAAGATTATACAAGTATTTTGTCTTCAGTTTTGCCAATAATATCTTGGGTTCTAGCTGTGGGTAAGATACCGCAGCCCCACCATTCTCTGAGTTCCCCAAGTCATCTCATGCCAGGCTTACTTCAACCACGTCCTCAGCCAGCGGACGGGACGGAGTGGTGCCGACCCCTCCATGTGTGGCGGTGGTATTCTGAAATTGGTTTTCTCGGCGTTATATTTTTGAGTGATGGGTTCTCAAACAAATGAGTGATATCGCAGGCCGATTTACTAGCTCAGCTATCAGGGTTTTCCATAGGAATACTGGGTTACCTGAGCAATGGGTGGCAGTGGCTACGATGAACTCGACACGACTTCGTCCAGCGATGAGGCTGAGGACGGATGTGTTGGTACCAAGAATGAGCATCTTCCATTCGTTGAAGCTTTATCGGAAATTTCGGACAAGATTTCCGAGGTTCCTGCCTGCCCAAAATCACCCCAACACAAGTTTCAGAAAGTTGATGATTTTGGTAAATTCTTACAGGTTCCACCTTGATGTCATAGCTGCTGGGGCTGAAACCGGAATCTTCCCTATAGGTTGGTATGTGCCTACTTGTGAATCACAGCTCTCGATGCCACAAGCGCCCTACCATCAAAGATTTGGTTGCCAACCGTCATGTGGCTTGACCAATTTTAAGACACAACCAGCTTATGTATCTTTATATGTTGTTTCTTTCCCCAAAGGACCTATAAGGATGTTACTCCTTCTAATATGTAAAATGTTTCTTCACTCTATGGCAAGCTTTGAGGTTGTGATGGCAATTGTGAAGGGAAGCAAGGATCGGGCTCGAAATAGCCCCCAACTGTCGGCCTACGTGTTGCAGAAGGCAATCCTGCTTTTCTATGAACAGAAGAAACTGTTCCCGCAGGGTCTTTGCAGTGGAGTGCCAGCTGTTCAAGACTGGGCCCTTCAGCAGGGGGTCATGTTGAAAAAGATGGTCCGGGCTTCAGATCCCAGGTGATATATTTCAATGGAAATTCAAATGGTAAACAACTTATTTCTTTCAGTTGGCAATTATGGCATTTTTCTAGACTTAGGTCTCGAGGTTTCGCCGGCTCATGAAGCGATCATCGGGGGCTAAGAACAAGCAGCTGAAAAAGATGAAGGATTTCGCAGTGTCCATGCAGTGGCCCAGAAAGACAGTCCCCTGGAATTTCAGAGCATCAATGTCAAAAACGGTTGTCAATAGCCTAGAACCCCTTCAACTCCAATATTTTGGTCAACAGTGGTCCTTCCAACCATCCTTTATAAGAATGATATGGCTTAGATATGCAACATATCGGGCCCGGCCCAGGTTTGCGATCAACGTGGTGATCCAGGTGATTTGGCCGAGCTTCCTAACGCCAATCGCTCGGATGTCTCGACCACGGCTTCGGACCTGGGATCTGGCGTGTCAGTGTTGACGTCATCTTCTACTTCATCTGCTCTAGATGACAAGTTGACCCGGTTAGTGAACCAAGTGAAAGCCATCAAGATTGCTACTTCAAAATCAACAGGGAATGATGATGGTGATTCTGTTGACATGAAAAAGGACTCTCAGCAATCTACGTCCATGGGGCCCAATGAGAAAACGGAATTGTCCTTACCACCAGGGGATACTCCTCATGAAAGGGTAGCTGCCATTCTCAAGATTGCCAAAGCTAGACGCCTTGAAGCTGAAAAGAAAATGTCCAGTGATCCAGAACAAACAACCAAAGCCCCTACAGCACCTGGTTCCAGTTCGCATGACTCCACCGGTGGAGATGAGATCCCCGAGTTTGTTCCTTGATTTGTTGTAAGTTACAACATTTTTCCCGTAGTTCCTTGGGTTTCTGGAACCTTTTTGGCCTATGTATATATGTAGATATGCATGTATGTATATTCATATGTATATATATATATGCATATATATATATATGTACATATTACATGTATATATATATATATAGCAACATTAAGTGTGTGTGTGTATATATATATATCTGCCTGTTGCCCTGTCAAAAATGCAAAAATGTGCATTTTTCATGTGTAAGAACATGCAACCAACCTTTTTTGTATTCAAAAAGGTAAACAAATATACATATATCAGTGTTTGGTTAAATCATTAAATCAGTTCCTTCGTTTAGGCGTCCACATACACATATGCTCATGTCAATGCTTGCATACATCGGAACACATATTTCCAAATTTTTCCTCAGCAAACGCATGCATTCCTTTTCATATGCACATGTCAAAAGGAGATTTTAAACATACACGCGCACGTAGACCGAATTTAGCATAGATACATATCCAAATTTTCAATAACACGGATGCAACCTGACTGGATTGTTCTTAAATACATGCGCGCAAGAACACATGCAGTGAAGTGGCAAGCAGGCATGAGATTCAACCCATTTGTGCGCACTTTCCTGGAGCATCTGTTCAACATGCAGGAACCACACGTCAATAAATCTTCGTGTAGGAGGGCTCTGCATACGAGTACCCATGTAAAGTCTTGAACATACATAGAATCACACATATTTGCTTCCGTCATCACATACGTAGCAACAATGAGTTTAGCTGTTTGTAGTCATGACTAGCATGCGTGTTTATGCACATGTTTCTTTCTATTATATTATTGGTTTGTTTCTATTGATGTCTCTGTCTGCCTGCGGATCTTTGAGTCTATCTCTGTGTCCCACCTATCTCCCGGAATTCCAATTTATCATTTTCACTATCTTTATCATTCTTTTCGATATCCATCTGCGTTTCTACTTGCCTGCGCGCTGCTATATGTGTAAAAGCTCACGCATACACACACACAGAGCAACATACATGCACATACATACACACTCATGCGCAGGCAAACGCAAACAGGAGATAAGGTTTCGGCGTGGTGATCTTTGCATATGCGTTCTTGTTCATTCTTATACACGTAATTCGTATAACTTTGCGTATATTAAGTGACTCTGTTCGTATATACATATATATATGTGTGTGTATGGGTCATTTTTAGTCATCTCTCTATCGAACATAAAGACTGGAAAAAACGACACGATCGAGTATCTAGACCCCAGTGCTGTAACCCTTTTCTGATAATGCGGCAATAACCTCCATTCCTCCCCTGTGCTAGGTTTACAAATCTATGACCGGCGATGTGCCAAAGGCTTTTCCATTGAAGGCCCAGTACCTCAAGAGCATGCGAGAGGCACGGGAAGCAGCTGGAGGAGGCCACAGTGATGACGAAATGTCGTCTGCAGGTGAATCCGAAAAGGTCAAACATGTAAAGAAACCCCAATCGAAGAACCCCCCCAAAAAAAAAAAACAGAAAGTCTGACTCAAAGGTTTCCCAGAAGAGGGGCGCTGATGAAGGGCCTGCTTGGAACTATAACCAGGTTCGAATGGAGTTCATCAAAGATGTCAGGGCCAAGTTACATTGTAGCTTCAGTAGTGCTAAGTCATTGTGGGATTCCAGTGCCAAGAAAAAGGCATTGCTTGCCACCCTTTCGTTGCAAGAACTCAAGAGAAGAAAATTTGTTGACAAGTCCTGCGCTTGCCACCCTTGGGCCTAAGCGCCCGTATCTTGATATGTATTTTCGGTTTGGGCCTGGGGAAAGGTGCCAACCACCATCAACATGGACTTTCACAGGTCCGTGACGTCTCGTGTCAGGATCACAGCTCAACTTTGGGGAAAAACAAATGGACGGGTCTCTTGCACGATTGCTTCGTTGTATGTGTTGAAAACGGTTCCAGGGGTTGCAAACGGCTTATCTCTCCTCAATCAATTCATTTATAGTTACTTTTTAGTGTTTCGAGCTCAAAGAAAAGACCCTGGCCTAGCTTTACTGTAAAAGCAATGGTGGTCCTGGGGCTTTTGAAGTGGCGAGCACCCTCTTGTCTCATCCTACTGACTTTGCTCACTCAATGGAGTCTGCTGTTGAAGCACACTTCTGATTCTCAGCTACAGCAAATACAAAACAGGTGTTTGGTTTGGTTTGGGGGACGGGGACGCCCTCAAAAATGTGATAGATTCTACATCGACGGTTGTGCACTTTCCAAACAAATTCAAATAGGGAAATGGATGGATGGATGGATGGATGGATGGATGGATGAATATGCAAGTAGATCCGTGTGTAAAATTGTGACACGCATGTGTATACAAACAGAATATCCACATAGGTATACAAACATTTTGGAATATACAAACTTATGATTTGAAGGCACATATCATAGACATATGAACCCGTAGATGCATAAAGATAAACATACATAAAGGCCAAATAATATATATATATGTGTGTGTGTATTTTGCCGTCCATGGAACCCTGCGTGTCCGTTGCAACAAAACCAAGGACCGAGATTTCCTTGAAGTCTTTGCAGGGCAGTGCGCAGTTTCACATGCTCTTCGAGACGTTTATTGATTTAAGATGGCAACATTTTTTCCTACCCTTTGGGAAAGATTAGCTCTAGAAAACGGAATCCACACCAAGCCATCCCGAATTGGTCTGTGGGCCCCAGCTGTGCCAAGGAAGGCCTGCGCGGAGTATCAGTGGAGGTGGATCTGAACCCTCGTGTGTTTGACCTGACCACGCCTTCGGGTCTTGTGTTTCTTAGCTAGGGCCCAGTTTTCTCCCATTTTTTTCTGTGAAGATAAGCCCCGACTTCACCATATGGGGTTACCAATAAATCCTTTTTACACTGTGTTGGAGCCCATACGGAGGCTCACTGTCAATGAGATCCTAAGATGCAAACCGGGATCACTTGTGCTCTTCGCACCGGTGTGCAAATCGTTTTCACGAATGTTCTTGGCTCAGTTTTTGCCACGAAGAAAAATGCGAATGTTTTGGTATGAACAATAAGTTGCCCCCATTCATGTCATAGTTGCAGGGGTCCATGTTGCTCCAGGTGTAAACATACGAGTGGTCGCACCAGCTTCAAACCATATGGCAACCAACAATTTATTTTCGTTGAGACTGGAAATCTCTTTGCGGGCCGTGTTGCAGCAATGATCTTACTATGTTCATGGCTTGGACTGCGATGGGTATTAGAACAACCAAGCGGGTCATCAATGGAGAGTCTGCCGGTTTTCCAAGACATTTGGGCTGTGATCCGTGCACCTCGGATCCATTTATTTTTTATTAGGTTTGAAACACTGTTCTTGATGGTAGTTTTAATAGATGCACAATGCATAGATAGATTTGTTTTGATATATATATATATACATATTATTATGTATTTTCAAAATATATATGTGGTATTTTATACTTATCTACTTATATCTGAACCATATCCCAACAACATTTCCGTTTCCAAATCTGATTTGCGACCCTGTGGTGGAGACCTTGGCAATGACTACTGTAGGTCTGGTGCTGTCGATTTTGGATGGGCAAATTCGGAGGAAAATATCCTAAACCACATGTGGTCTATAGCAATGACTATGATCTCGTCATCCACATCCAGGAAGTTGCTGGCTACATGAGTCGAGAGGAAATGTTGAAATGTCCCGAGCGCACATGTCGGACTTATACCGATAAACAAGGGGTGAAGCGATCTGTGGGATTAAAGCGTGAAATGAAGGATTCCCAGCTCCTAGGTTTGTGTTTATTAACAGTTTTGAGTTGGGCTCCCTTTGAACCTGTGTTTATATCAATGCTTTGACTTCTTCAAATTATATGGCTTTGGTAAAATGTATGGTTCACAGCTTAGGCATTACCCAGAGCAGTTCGGCAAGTTCCTGGCTCGCTATGTGGTAGAGCATCCCTTCGCCCCTAAGTTTCCAAAAGAAACCTTTTTGGGTTCCTTCAAAGATTTTTGGGTTCCTTCAAGCGCGTGCTTTGGGTGGTTAAAGATATAAGTTTTGTTTTTCATGCATATGTGTGCAATTAGGTTCAACCACCTGGTCCGATATTCCCCAGCACTTTCGACGACAAGATGACTGACCTAGAGCTCTTCCGCAAACACTGCCTTCCCTTTAAAGTGGATTGGGAGGAGGAACCGGGTTTGGAAAAAATGGCACCTTTTAACGTTTTTTCTTTAGCATCCCAATGTTTCCAAATGGCTCCAGTATGGTGGTTTAGTTTAAAACCAACTCTCTGTCACCCAATTGGTTTCGCACCTCCAGGCGCGTCTCATGGATGCAGTGTCCTACCTTGCCCAGAGCAAGCACATGAATGTGCCACACGGGTGGGAATCTTGAATGTGTTGAAATGTTCTTCTTTTTGGGTATATGTTTCTTTGCTTTGACCCTTAAGACACAATTGGGTATATATTTGATCAAGCTTGGAACCTACTAGCTTTCTGCATTGTTATTTCGATCAACATCACTGATATATATAACAGTGTTTTTTTTGGTGCATTATGACTGTAGACATTGATTATATAAACCATTTTTGCTGCTAGCCAGAACCAAAGAATTCAATCGCAATTATGAGCCCTTACAAGGGTTTGTATTGTTCACTCACCTCCCAAGCCCAGGACAGCTTGCTCGATGAACTCAATTTGCGGAGTAGCCGGTAAATGCTGGCTACTTTCTTTTCGATATATGTGTGGTTTGATCCACGCTCCAATTCATGAATTCCAACTTGGAAGACATTCTTGGGGTCGACCACTCTGTGGCTTAGACAAAAAGCTGTTCGTGAAAAATAAAATGGTTTTCGTGATTCATGAAAATTTATAGATCATTCAGCACATAGCCCATGAAAACAAAAGATTCACGGAAATCACGAAACACGAAAATCACGAAAACCATGCCCGAAAGGTGCGCGTGAAAATGCGTGAAAAGGCCGTGAAAAAACCGCTCATGACCGTGAAAACAGCGTGAAAAACGTGAAAATAAAAAATTGATTTTCGCACCACGAAAATCACGAAAATCAAGAAAATCATGAAAACACACACTATTTTTGAAGGAAAAAACAAGAATTGAAGGATTTCTACATCAGCAGCCAAGGTTTTGGAAACTTCCGCTGGTGGGTGTGCTTTTTTGGAACCTTTCATTTGTTGGATTGAATTGGGACATTATGCTTTACTAAATGTTTCTTCATAGCCATTTCGAAGCGATTTTCCGTTGTTGAGTTTCACCCGACATGGGGAAAGTTGGTGCTGCAGCTAAGAAGGCTGGACCCAGCGTTGAAGCCCTCCAACAGCTTGCTAGAGCCTTGTGTGAGAAGAAAGAAGCTGAGAAGAAATGCGAAGGTTCTTCATCGGTGCCAGCTGAGAAGAATGACGTACCCGAGCTGCCTGACAATTCTGAGCCGGCTGCACCTGCAGCACCTCACTCCAAGAGGCGTCGAGTCTCGGGGAAAAGTGCTCCCGTTGAAGAGTGCCCAGAGCCAAAGACCAAACCCAAGAAGGAGCGAAAGCCGAAGGAACGAAAGCCCTCCATTTCGAAGAAGGTCATCGAAGAAGCGGAGAACTTTGATCCCAGCAACCTCCCCTTCCAATTGAAATGGTCCAATTTCGAGCTGCTGAAGCGTCACTATTCCTTGCAAGATCATGAAGCAACTTCGATCTTACTTGCGATGGTGGGGCCGAGTGAAGAGGGGAAGCGCTACTGGGACAAGTTCAGAATTCCCAAGAGCTTGTTTGACTACCCACCACCTGACTTCTCTGTTGAGGCTGAAGAGTCGGAAGAGGATGCCCCAAGGGCTCGAGCTGAGGAGCCTGTCAACAAGAAGGAGCAGGAGCACGTCAACAAGAAGGATCCCCTCAACCCGAAGCAAGCGAAGGAGCCCGTCAAGCCGAAGGAGCTTGCGAAGGAGCCCGTCAACCCAAAGGAGCCTGCGAAGGAGCCCATCAACCCAAAGCAGCCCATCAGCAAGAAGGATCAGGTTAAGGAACCCATCAGCAAGAAGAACCAGGTCAACAAGGAGTTCCTCCACAAGAAGGAGCTTGTCACCTCGAAGGAACCCGTCAAGGAGCCCGTGAAGGAGCCCGTCAAGAACCCCATCAACCAGAAGGAACCCACCAACCCGAAGCACGAGAAGATTGGTTCTGTTCCCAAGTCCGGAGGATCATCTGAGAAGCGGAGCAAGGATTTGCCTTGTGAGCCTGAAGGTGCACCTGTCAAGAGGCGCCGGATTCGCAAGGTTCACCCAGACACGCAGCCTGGATCTGACTATGAGTCTGAGTATGCCTTTGAGGACCCTGAGGAGGAAGCCATTGAAATTGATGGTGAAGAGATGGACGACCCCGCATGTGACACAGATCCTGACGATGATGACGATGATGAGGAAGACATCTTGTCCACCAGCAAGACTGGCAGTGATGCTCCCGGCCCAGACAGCCCACCCCTTGAAGTTCAGAAGGTTGACTCCGAGTTGGTTCAGCCGCCCGAGGTGATCCGAGCAGAGCCCGTGAAGCAGCCCCTGGACATCCCAGCTTTGGATGCACGCTATGCCCTGGAGGAGAAGTTGAGAAATGCAGCTACACCTGCCAAGGCTGTATCTTAGCAACATTAATCTTACATGTTTGTTTGTTAGATCGTGTGTGCACACTTACGCACACTTAAAAGATTTTTTGGGGCTCTTGAAACCTAGATGCAAACATATATGCACAGACGCAACCACGCGCACAAAAAACATGTAACATTCACAGCTTTCAGAACCATATATCATCACATCGTACCCGTCCAAGCCGATCTAAACCAACTAAACCCAGATCGTGCATGCCAGCGAATCTAGAGACCAACGAACGTTCTTTTGTATGTCTCTGGGCCTTTCGCCTTGCTCCCCTGACAGCTGAGGCATCCATGGATGATGATACGACACCCAAGAGATTCAGGTTTCTAGAATGAATTACCATTGGACCTTTTGCTGGTTCTTTTTGTAAAAAATGGGTATGGCGAAACCTCCAATGATTTTCCATTTCCATCCAGCTCACCAATAGGTCTCTGAGATCTTGCCCTACACTGATTCTGGGACAACAAGAAGTGTCAGAACAAGCTTCGCATCTCCCTGGAGCTCCAGACCAAAAGGATGATATTTCAGAGTTTTTGAGTGATTATTACGATTCAAAGCGTTTTTGATTTTACTTCCCCACAATGTTTTTTCCAATTTCTGTTTTTTGTTGTTAGACACTGTTTTGCTTAAAACAGAACGCAAACTGAAAACAAATGGAACTAGATTCTGAGGTTGGGCCCATCGGCTTCAGCTGTTCAGCCTGCAGATGTGTCTGCTGACAAGATGACCCAGCTTTTGAAGCTGCTCACTGGTCTTCAGGAGATGGTGAAGGATCCGTCCGTCCAGGGTATGATGGGGGAGCTATCGTCGCAGTTTCCGATTTTGGGGAGTGGAGGTGGGCATGAGGTTGATGCTGCACGTGCTGGCGCTCCATCATCATCAAAGCCAGGTGCTGCGGCTGTGAAGCCTGCTCCTGAAAAATCCAGTTCTCGCAAGCCAACGCCAGAGATTTGTGCGAAAGATCGCAATGTTCACGTTGACAACACAGTGGACAAGACCAAGCCTGGGAAGGATGCGCCGGAGGTGAAGACGGAGGAGCTGGAGGACGAAGATCACCGTTCCGATGCTGGAGATTGTGGGGAAGAGAAGGAGGTCAACAGTTCAACGCATCGAAAAGAACACGCCCGACTCAGCCGACGTATGGCCAGCATTGATGCTGCCCAGTACCCGGAGATGGTTCGCCTTTGGAATGGTAGCAGGAAGGACTGTGGGGGTTCCAACTGTGTTTTAACAACCTTTTTTCCCCCATTGACATTTTTCTCTTACCTTTGACGCCATGTTGCAATTAAGGGCTATCACCTTCAACATCGCTGCAGGAAAAATGCGAGCTTTTGCGATCCTGGCTGTCCTCGGGAGAGAACCTGGCGGCTACGGAAACCTCCCTTGTCCTGTCCAAGAAGCAAGAGACCTCTGTCGAAAAGAATAAGGAGCTCCTCACTATTCGGCAGATGGTTGGAAAAGGCTTCAGCCAGAGCTTCATCCTGATTCATGGTATTTGTTTGCGTTCTTTTTGATACCACCTTTTAGCTTAATTATGTGCGGTCTTTATGCATCAAATCACTGCCCAAGGGCCAAGATTGATGCCATTGTGCGAAGGGGCGATGGCATCCCAGATGAGGATGCACCCTTGGACCCTGAATCAGTTAGATTTTGGGCGTTTACCACTGGGCACTACAAAGAGCTTGAAAAGGTCAGCCTGAGTGGCACGGCAAAGACGAATGTCAAGCCAACAGTGGATGGGGTCACATCGCTTTTGGATGGTCAGTCCATGCCCAGTGCTTGTGCTGCATCGCCGGCAACAGGGAGCGGAACTTTGTCTTTGACATCATTGGTCGATGTCATGAAGGACTCGGTGAACACCGCTGGTGCCACCACTCCCGGTCAAGGACGTGCCAAGTCCAAGGCGAAGGCCAAGGCGAAAGCCAGAGCAGTGGAACCCACGACCGTGAAGGAGAAAAAAGAAGCCGCCCGTGCCTTTCATGGGTCTGGTGTATTTTTTTGCTTTTGTTTTTGTCCTGATTGGGGCGTTGCTTTTTCCCCAATGGGTACTTTTCAAAAAGTTTCCCCACCACAACCTTTGTCATATCCCAGGGAAGGAGCTCAAGAAGGAGATGAGCAACTGCTCGGTGCTCTTTGACCTTCCCAAGAACCATGACCTACGTCTCAAACTTTCCGACATGAAGGGGGAGCTTGAACATCATTTTGACAAGCTACCTGCCTATCAGTCATGAAAGAGTTTCAAGTTTCAAGTTAAAATAAGAGTGGTTACAAAATGACGTGGTGCTAAAACCAAACTGTTACTTGGTGTGATCCACATTGTTTACTTCGTGTGGTCCCCACTTTTTACTTCGTGTGATCCCCACTTTTTATACTTTGTGTGATCCTCACTTTCTACTTCGTGTGATCCTTACTCTTTACTTCGTGTGATCCCCTCTCACTGACATACAAAACATCCACTTAGAAAGCAACCCAATCAAAATTTGGCGCTACAAACTTATCATCTTTCATTGTCTTTCCCAACATCCCGGCTCAGGATCAGCTCTTGCAGTGACGAGGACATCGATGATTTCTACACCGAAGCAGCTGAGTTGGTGGGGAAATTGTTGAAAAATAGGTTCTGTGTGAATTCAGATCATGGGGTGAGCCCCCGAAATTTCAGTAATGGGATATCCTACGGTTACCTTGGAATACTCCACCGAAATTGATGGGCTACATTCCAGTCATTTCTGAGAAAACTTTTAAATGGATGGGTTATCTTCGGCAACAATTGAAAACGTACAAGCTGGACAAGTTACCTCACCGTTACTTTTCAACAAACCACCCAAATCAAATGGACGGGTCATCCTGGGTTACCCCAATGAATTAACTTAATGTGTTATTGTCCGGTTATGTCTGACTTTTCCAAGAACATTGATGGGTAATATTTTTGGGGTTATGTTTGATCAAGCCAAGAAGAACTGATGGGCTATCTTCCGGTTATGTTGGAATAGACCACTAACTTGATATATAGGTCATCTTCTGGTTATGCCTGCATAAACCACCAAAATGATGGGCTATCTTCCGGTGATGTTGGAATAAGCGACTAATTTTTCGCGTTATTTTCCCCCTGGCAGGTCGACGCGTGCCGCATGCTGAGGGCCCAAGCCCGAGCAGTGTCCAATGAGATCAATAAGAAGTCCCAGGATGTTTCGGCCTCGAAGAGCGGCTGATTTACTCTTTGATCAACAGATCAAATTTTGAGTTTGGGCCGTAGGGTCGCTGGCAGGGCTATAAGCCATGGGATGAACTCGTGGGGAGTTTGAGAAACACATGTGCTGCTTAGGAGGGCACAAAACCAAAAAAAATATGCGTATCGATATACATATATATATGTAAATAAAGATATATATGTAAAGAAAGATATATACACATTTATATGCCTATATATTCACATGTACATGTATGTTTTAGCTTCCGTAGGTATAGGTACAACCTTGTATCTACAAATATGATAACTATGTTTACATCAAATAGGTCCAACAATAAAATTTCATGGTGTTTGTTTACGGTGGTGCCCCTGCAGCATGTGAGGCGCTGCCCCTAGTCCGGCTGACCGCCACAAGTTTGACTTAAAGATGTGGAGCAGATCGAAAGCCATCGCTGGAAAGACAAAAAATGTTAGGCTATATGTTCAGCAAACTGACAGCCAGTTCAAGAATAGGTTTTTCATTCCAAATTGGTATATGTTCGCAACCCCACGCAGGTGCAAATAGATCCGATCATCAACTACGAGAGCGATTGGACCAAGTGTTTCTTTGAAAAAAATGGGCGGTGGATCCACTGATTTGTTTTTTGCAAATCCCAACTTTATCTGAGGCTAGCTGAATTTATTGGTTCTGGTCGGACTACGGTGAGACATTCCCGAACACTGGCCGAAACGTATGACTCAGACCTGGTGAGGCTCCTTGCCAAGTTGTTGAGAACAGAAACCGGCGAACAGAATTCAAATAAAATTGTCGGTATTGCATTGTGCCCCCATTAGGTATTTAAAAATTGGCTTTTACCAGTGCGACCTGTTTCCCTGAGTGCCATCCCATTTGCGCACATGTGTGCCTGTGTGCATGGGGGTGCATCTAAGTAATCAGCGAGAACGAGGGCTACATGAACGGGCTACGCGCTCGGGCACATCCCTTGGGTGCAAAATGACTTGGATTACATTGCCTATGAGTCACCCAGAGACTGGAATGATGGAGATGGTGCAATGGCCATTTTTATTGCCGCACGATATGGTTTCATGGATGGAATATAATTACTTGTTTTTTTTGGGTTGTTTCAGGATTTCCTGTTTTAATGGAGCCCCTCCCATTGTTATGCTTGTTGCTTGACTTGACAGCCTGCCTTGCCGGCAAAGGTATCTGCTGTGATGAAAGAAGGGTTTGCGACAGCTTTGGTGGATGACTTTGGGAGCCTGCCCGACTATTGGAATGAATTTTTGAAGGATTTCCCTGATCACCCAGTTCGAACACGAGCAAATCTGTCTAGCTGCATCCCCTGCACACTGTACTGCCACTTGGTTGGTTATCGCTTAACCCTACCATACCACATGTTTTTATCGGTTTTGTATGGCTATGATTGGTTAGAAAATCGATTTCGAGTTTCAGGTGATGAGATCAACTCTTTGGGTGATTCGTGGATGTTTCTGGTCTGGACAAGTGATGTGTCGCCTTTCCTTACCAATTCTATGAGTTCGAGATTTCCTATAGCTGTCATCCCTGCATCGCGATATACTGTTGGTGCAAATGGCATCAACCTGACCCTCCAAGCTGCTGCTACTGCAATCAAAAATTCGTTCAACCAGCTGTCAACGCGTGGGGTCAAGGTTCGCGATTCGACTTCTTTGCAGAGTGCAACCGTTACTAGATGACGTTTGTCTAATTTTCCTTCTTTGTTCTCTGCATTTACCGGCTGTGTGTTGTGAGCGTGTGTTTGTCCCGTATGCGCGCGTACCGCGTTTTTTTTGCGCGTGCATTTGCATATATGCGTGCATGCGCGTTATTAGACTTACCTTCCGTGCGAAGCGCACAATCTTAGGTAGCAAATCTCTGGTTCTACGTGTGTGGATACCGCGGAGATTGGAAGGCCATGATGCAAGTCTTCCAGCTCAACAGGTATGCCAGCTCGAACGAGGCATGGTTTGGTTTCTACAACCGTGCTCAAAATGTGCTCGCCGGGGGTCGCCAAAAAACAACAATTCCAAAGAAGTTGTTCTAACATGGGTCCCCAAGTATATATTATATAACCAATCACCCTGCCAGATCTGCTGGCTTTGCTTGGCTTCGAAAGGAAATGATGATGATATGGAAAATGCCTTTACCGATGTCTCTGACAACGCCCCATTTTGGGATACCTATTTGCAAACTCTTCCATGGGCGGCAAGCCCACCATACGCTGACCTAATTGGCTTTTCGGTCGACCAGCTGATGCCAGATCTTTTGCATGTGCTGAATTTAGGCGTCGCTAGAGACCTATGCGGGAGTATACTACACGTGTTGATCAAGGGCAACCACATTTTCAATGGCGCCACCATCAAGGAAAGGCTTCAGACGGCAACTGTATCACTGAAGGCTTTTGCTCGTTCACGGGCACCCCCATTGCGGATGAAAAAGTTGACACAGAAGAAGTTAAATTGGGGTAGCAACAAGTATGCTGAGCTCAGAAGTGGATCCGGATATGACAACTATGTCTGTTGTCTCTGGCTGGAAGAGATTCTGACACCTCATAGCGCGATGTTTCCTGACTATTGCACAATGCTGTGGTCATTGAACCAGTCTATGCAGATTCTTTATGGTGCACCCTGGTTTCCCTCAGAAGAGCAACGTTCCCAAGTGAAATCGCTGGGTACGATGTTTCTGAGGCTTTACTTGAAACATGCAGCTCAGGCAGTTGCTGCCTCTCAGTTTACCTTTCGTGTGCGACCTAAATTCCACCTATTACATCATGTTTTCTGGTCCCGAAGACGCTGCAATGCAGCGAAATATTCTACTTGGATGGACGAAGATTTTTTGCGAAAAAATTCTAAGACTTTACAACTTACCAACGCAGCTAATGCTCAACGCCGCGTGCTAGAGCGATGGCTGCTGGCCATGCCTGAAAGCTTCAGGAAAAGTATGGCTCAATGATTGTGTGTTGCTGTGCGCACTGAAGAAAAGCGATGGGGAAAAAACTGAGAGGCCCGGCTGGGTCCCATTCCATGCGCCGCAATCTCGTCACCCAAGAGCTGTTGCTGCTCTTCACATGTGATTTGGATGCCCTTTGGAAATTGGTCTTCATGGGTGCAGAGGTGGAACACTCTAAGAAACAATTTGGGAATTATAGAGTTATCACTCTTAGCCCGGACATATGCACATATCACATTAAGATAAACATAAAATAAATAAATATAAATATACGTGTATATATATATATATTTATTTATTTACATTTATATATTTATAGACATACATGAAGGAGAAACTTCCGAGTTACAGACACACGAACCTGACGTCAGTCCAGAGCTTGTGCTAGTTTGTGGACAGCACGTTGGTCAATCTCTGTGACATTGAATTGCAAGCTTGCTTTGAAGCTTTGCGATATCGAATTTCTGTCTTGCTACCACACCACTGTGTTTGCAGGAATTCTGCGGCTATCCCAGGGAGTGGGCATGCATCTGCGACAACATTGGTAGCGGAGCTCCACGTGTGAAAGCGGCCTCTGGAACCCACTCTCATACGTGAAAATGCACGTGAAAATTGTGGTTTTCCCATCCCGACCAAGGGCCTCTGGAACCCACTCTCATACGTGAAAATGCACGTGAAAATTGTGGTTTTCACACCCCGACCAAGCTGAACAAGCATTTGGCCGTGAAAACACTCTATGATCGTTTCGCGAAATTTTCGTGTACGTGAGCAGCCCGGTCCCAACAAACATGGACGAATGGCCCTCTAGGAAGTTTAAGGGTCGCACTGTTTTCCAAGGAAACAACGGCAAGGACGAGGCGGCTGATGTTGCCTTGTTCGCGGAGCTCGGAAGTTCACCGGCCAACATGGAGGCAGGGAAAGCATTGGATGCTTATGGCTCCATGCCGGGGAACCGGACATCACAAGGTGATGGTAAGCAAGCTTACACCCAAGCGTTGATGCAAGGAATTTTAACTTGGATCAGATTACCAAGAAATCGTTGGCCGAAGGAATGGATTGGTGTGTACAAAGATCCGGTTGTTCTTCTTATTTTGGCATTGTATGGTCACCCTGATTCGGGGGGTCTATGGCAACGTCATTGTGAGAAAGCACTTTATGCAGTCGGATTTCACCCACTCTACCCTGAATGTTGGCCTTCAATGTTTTGGCATCCGAAATTGAAGTTGTTGCTTGGTGTATATGTTGATGACTTCAAGATGTCAGGACCTTCCAAAAACATTGACGAAGGGTGGAAGTTGATTTCTTCTCAAATCGACATGGATACTCCTGAAGATGCCGGCAGATATCTTGGATGCGAACATGTGTTCAAACAAAATGTCAAACTTGATGTAAGTGCTCATCCATTTGCTCATGTCTTCGATGCTAGCATCCCGGATCCTTCTAGTAAGCCAGCCAGTCCGGCCCGCCGAACAAAGGACTACTGGGAGCACATGCCAGAGCTTGGAGTTTGTGTTCATCACCACCTGCAACCTCGCAAGAAGTTCCAGGACAAGCCGAAGGACGATACATCCTTCCGGGCGGGAACGCACCGGCTAACCGTGTGTGAACCTTGTCAAACTCATGATGAACCCAAAGAATATGTTCATGATATGGAATCTCAAAACCCAACTGGACTTCCATTTTGGTGGACGGGATCAACCTACTTCGTGGACAAGTCAATCAAAGAACCCTCTAAAGTTTTGGCGGCAGCTAAGAAGATAAGAGACAAATCGGGAGCAAAGAAAGCGGCTAGGGCACAAGGATTTACTTTTCTTGATGAACTTGAGCAAAACAAGTCCAAATGCATGACAAAGAATGTCAACACGGTCGAATATGACATGCGACAATTCTTACAACAATGTCTTGACCGCTATGTTGAACTAGCAGGACCAAATGTGAAATTCAAGAAAGTTTCAACCCCTTTCCCAGATGACAAAATTGCACGTCCAATCATGGACGAAGCAGAAGCTCGGGGGGAACTCCAGCCCATTGCATCACGTGTGTTGATGAAGGTGTTGTTCGCAGCACGAATGGCTAGGTTTGATCTTCTCCGTGCTACTCAGGGATTAGCAAGTAGGGTTACAAAATGGTCACCCGATTGCGACAAAAGTCTTCATCGATTAATGTGTTACATACACACAACCCTTGATCGTACAATGGTTGGTTTCGTTGGGGATCCACCTGAGGCTTGCAAAACATGGTTATTTGCAGATTCAGATCATGCTGGGGAACATGACAACAGATCTACAAGTGGTTGCCTCCTTGCTTTGGTAGGACCAAACACGTTTTATCCACTCACAGCTTTTTCGAAGAAGCAGACTTCAACGGCTATGTCATCGACAGAGGCTGAAGTCACGGCGGCGAACCTTGCTTTACGTGCTGTTGGTTTACCTTCCTCCTGCCTGTGGTCAGTCATACGTCACGCGGGGGGAGATAGCACTCAACAAAAGCCGTCCCGCAGAGTGGAAACTCGTGCCAAAAATCCCAAAGATGATTATTGGGAGCACAGTCCATTCACCAACCAAGTTACCAGAGTTCATGTCAAACCCCGAAATAAACTGTATAACCCTATTGATTCGGATTGTCCAGTGAACCTTCAGGGATTGGCAAGACAAAGGTACACCGTTATGAAAACTAAATCTGGTGATGTTGAATTTGATTTGACATGGGACTGGACGACTCCTGACGCTGACATGGTCTACGACTTTGAATGGACTGGGAAAACCATCTTTCGGATTCCTGGACCAAACGAAGTTGACTTTGGGATTGAGTCACGGGAAATCAGATCAGCTTTAACTGATTTTAAGTATATTGGATCTGAAAAGCGGGGGGATGAAAGTGTGTACATGGCAGGACCCGGTAGTCTTGAGGTCATTTTCCTTGAGGACAACCAAGCAACCATTCGAATCCTTGAGAGTGGTAGGTCACCGTCATTTAGGCACACGGACAAAACACAAAGATTGAATTTGTCATGGTTGTCTGAACAATTCAAACGAAAACATTTCAGACTTGTCTATGTTGGTTCATCGCTCCAAGCGGCAGATATTCTCACCAAGCCTTTTACCAACTCCGAGAAGTGGGAATCAGCTCTGCGATTGATGGGTATTTCATCACAGCCCCTTTCACGGAAGGAGCCACAGAAGATGAAAGCCTGCGCAGGGGAACCTGCACCTTCAACAATGTCGGGATCTCAGCAACGCGCAGGGGAACCTGCTTGCCCTACAGTGGCATCTCATAGCAGGGTACTTATCGAATTTTGTTGTGGACCTGATTCGAAGCTTGGTGATCGTTCAAGGAAGCATTCAAAAGATTGTTATGTCATCAGATGCACAGAAGAGAGAGATGTTACATCTAGATCGAACAGAATGGACATTCGAAACGAAGTTATTCGAGCAATTGAGAGTTCAACTGCACAACCTTGTCCAGTTTTGATTTGGATCAGCATTCCTTGCACTGGCGGCACAACTTGGTCATATGTGAACTTGCAACATGAATCAGCCAAACTCAAAGTTGAATATCATCGACATGTTTTTGAGAAGATATGGTCATCAATGGTCGATTTTCTCAATCTTATTCGTCATTTAATTCCAAAGATTGCGATTGAATGGCCTGCTCATTGTATCTATTGGAAGTTTGACCGAGTTGAGAAATTTTGTGGGAAACATCAACTCATTAGAGTCACATTTGATGGATGCATGGTTGGTATTGTCAACAAAGAAGGTGAACCCATTAAGAAACCTTGGGCTATTCAAACTGATTGTGATTCAATTGTCACTGCTTTTGATGGATTGTCATGTGATGGTAGTCATAACCATGTTCAAGGCAGAGGTCATGACTTGAAGGAAACTGAATCATATTCTTTTCAGATGACGGACATGATCCATCGAGCTTTCATTGCAGCGACCAGCTCAAAACACAACCTGACGACTTCTACCGCACTCTGCGCTGTTTCGCTTTCTACATCATCATCTACAATGGCTTACTTCCGTCGCTTTCCACAAGCTGAGGTCGAAGAGGCAGACTACTCTGCTGCGGCAGAGGCTGCTGGAATTCGACCCGGGGAACCGGAGTCCACTGCTGAAGATGCGACTTTGGGGCCCAATGGAAAGGCGTGGTATGCGTTGACTGGGAGCATTTTTGGCTCTGTCACGCAGTGTCGTGTGGTGAATGAAGCCGATGTCATTTCGGATTTGACGTCCATCATGGGGAACACTGACCATTCGCTGTTGGCCAAAGGTTACCTCCGTGACGTCAGCCCAGAAGACGCGAAGCTCCTCGACGGCGTTTCCAGCTTCTCACTGAGAGGAATGGTATGCCCAGGGGAACCTGAGGCCAACTTCATCTTTGCCGGAGATTCTTCGATGGCACTTGTGGACATGGTCGACGGGTACGCTTCTACGCGCAGGAACATCGGCGAGTACATCAAGGAGAAGCCGGACCTCCTCCCACCGGGCCGCAAGACGGTCTGGCACGATCTCAAATGGGGTCGTGGGCTGCCTGACATCATCAAGGGCGTCGAGCACTCTCTTGAATGTTTGCAGCGGAGGGGAACCTCTCGCCCATCTGTTATTGTCATCTCTTACGCTGGCAACGACATTTTTGGGAACTACGGCTTCCTCCACTGTGATTGGCTTGACAGGGAGATGGCATGTTACTCACAGAAGCGCCGTGACGCAGCAAACGACCTCATGGAGGAGAGGGTCAATACCCATTTCTCCGCCTTGAACGATCTCGTGAAGCTGACGACGCGTGCCGACGTTGGGAACATCGTCCTTATCATGCCCTGGTACGGCAGAGGGTACGGTTTGCACCCCGACTATGACCGTCAAATGATTCGCGAAGCTGAGGCTTTGAGGAAACGTGGACTCTGCGTCCTCGATGCCACGTCGCTTATCAAGTGTACTACACGATACGACGGCCAGCACATGGAGAATTCGGAGCATAACCGCCTCCAGTGCATTAGGTTCTATTCCGAAGCAGGTGCTCTTGGTTATCATCTCTTTCGACTTCGGTCGTGCAAGCCATTGATTGAGATGGCTGAGATGAAGAAGCGCCGCGAGGAATCGCTGGCCAACCCCCTTCCTGAGAACAACCCTGAATGGGAAGAGATGGAAGAAGTGTTGGTCTCCATGGACGTGGACGGTTGGGAAATCTATGTGAAGGAGACCCGACCCAAAGGGCAACGACTTCCCAATGAAGTTGACCCCGAACGTGCACAAATCCCACAGGCTCCTACGGTGCAGGATCATGCCACTGTGGCCTCATCGAACTGGCAGCTTTTGGAGTCCGTGGACGCTGCACTGCCGGGGGAACCCGAGCACTTTGAACCACATGAGATCAAAGAGCCGGAGATGGATGGTGAGCTCATTGACGCCATCCTCAAGCCCTTCTTGGATCGGTTGCCTGGTGTTTCCGACGAGCGCGACATTGACGAGCCGGACGCTGACGAGGAGATTGTCTTCAGGGACCCCATTGTCGGCGGCTCAGCCTCAATGTTCAGCCAGCGGAAGCTGCGCTCCCATCTGATGAACAAGATCCATGCTGTGGACTTCAAATTGGATGGTTCTGGCGTAGTTAACATCTTGGACACCGACGTCACACGTGACCCTGCCAAGCTTGAACTTCGGCGGGAATCCATGCAGCAGACAGAGGAAGGTGCTATCATCATTCGTCGTTTTGATTTGACGGATGAGGAGAAGCATCGTCAAATGGAACGGGAGATCTTCGAGGAGCCCAAGACCGCCGAGGAGAAACTTCGCGCGGGTGACCCTGCTGCCACTGTCCAGATCATGTCGAAGGCCAAGTCGAAGGCGGCTTCCTCATCCGAAGCGGCATCATCTTCGAGCGGCATCGCACAGGTGATCGGGGACACTGTCAGCCAGTTCATCAAGCCAAAGATGAGGGATCAGGCCACCATGATTCAGCCCAAGCCTGCTCCCCGGCTTCCAAAGGTCTCAACGGCGACGGGAACGTCTCCCATGGCGTCCCCAAAGCCAAGTCCGCCGCCAACTCCGAAGAGTGCAATTGGATCCCCCAAGCCGGAGCCACCTGCACTCCCAGCGGAAGCTGCGGACCATCCTATGCCCAAAGCTTTGCCTTTCAAGGCACCGCCTGCGACGTTGACAACAACCTCACCAAGGGCACCTCCGCAGAAGTCATCGGCGCCTGCCGCTGCCTCCACATCGGAGCCTGCCCCGAAAGTTGCCAAGAAGGAGCCGCCTATGGCCAGTGCTCCTCCCCCGGGAACGGGTGGACCTCAGCCTCCGGCTGATCCACCTTTGCGACCATCTGGGTATCCCAAGTGGTACTTTTTCTCCCCGGGAACGGGCGAGCGCAGGGAGTTCACCATCAGGTGCACTGAACTGCCTGGCCTTCGAGATCTTGGACATCTTAGCCACGACGACTTCAAGTTCTCCAAGCGGGTCACTGGGCTGCTGCGCGGCTATGACCACAAGTTCCTCGAGGCGCACCATCGCCACATTCCTCCTGAATTTGATGAGGAGCTGTACTTGAACTTTGAGTCCATGTACAACTACCTGAGGAAGAGGCATCGCGCCCAGCTTTCGCGACAGGATCTCTACCTGATCCTTCGAACCCAGGACAGGTTCATGTGTCGCATCGAAGCTGGAATTGTCGGGGAACTGACAACCATGGACATGCCGTATCGCATCACCCATGTGAAGGCCTGCCAAGGCCATGACCAGTCCCTCATCGAGAAGGTGGGAACGGCTCCATTGGTCAAGCAAATCATCTCGCTTGACTACCAGTTCACGGTCGAGGACTTGAAGAAGGGATTCTACCCAAGGGTTCCTATTTATCCTCACCTGGCGGAAGCCGAGGTCCCCGAAGAGTTCAGGGTTATTTACCATTACACTTCATGGGACTCCCTCCAGCAGATCATTTGCACGGGAATTTTTCCAGGGGCCACTTCGTGCAAGGGTCATGTGTATATGACCCGCCATGCGCCTTGGGAAATCGAAGGCGTGGATCCTGGTGTCAGGACGAACCGACCGCTGTGCATCGCGATCGACACCGATTGTGCTCTGCACTATGGTCTTCGCCTGGTGGAAACCTTGGCCGGTGCAATCATCTCTGAGGACTGGGTGCCCAATCATTGCCTCATCTACGCATTCGATTGCGAGAAGTCGCAGTACCTTTGGGCGAACCATGGCTACAACGGGGTGAAGAAGTACCTTCGGCAGAAGGCCTCCGAGAACGCTCTCACCTGGGAAGAGAACGAGGCTCGGAAGGGCACTCCCAACTTCGATGAACTTGAAAGGTACGAGATTTCGGACCTGGAGGTGTTGAAGAACATGTTCGTGAATGAGTACGACCAGTGGAAGGATGTCATCACTCTGCGACGTCCGCTCATTTACAAGGAAGTTCCGACACCGTTTCCTGTCGTCGATGAGTTGCTGCCAAAGACCAAGCAACGGCCGCTCAACTTCACCAATCTCCTCTGCGTGGCGCGCAAGCCCACGGTGACTGCAGCTGGCTTCGACATCGCCCCTGACAACGCGCGGGAACGCCGTTCTGATCGCTTCGATCAGGAGGCCTTTGACCCATCCGCGGAGGGGAACCTCACGCGCTGGCGGTATGCATCAATGCTGGCAATGCCGGAATTGACATGCCCCCGGTGCAGGAAGATCTTTCCTGAGGGGATGTTGGTGTGCCTCGCATGCGGCTTGTCGCTGGCGACAATGTCCGACATGCGTCGTGCATGTCAGGTCTTCCGCCTGGAAGAATTGGCCGAGAAGCTCGGGTTCGAGCTTACTTTGGACCTTCTGGGCGACGACGACGTGGCCGGCACCACCCAAGGTGCCAAGCAGATCAGATCTGCTGCTGCTGTCCTCAAGAATCACGCCCGCTCATACATGAAGCAGGCGAGAAAAGCGGGCCTGACTTTGTTGCAGCGTCTGGGAACGGACGCCCACTACGCCTTTAATTGCGCAGTCCAAGACCTTACACCTCGGTGTATGCATTGGATTACCGTTCTTGGCAATGTGGTGCTTCCCAGCATCAAACGCACCCGCGAGGAGATCCGAACTGGAAAGATTCGGCAGTATAAAGCGCGTATGTGCCTGGTCGCATACGAGGAGGAACAGATGAAGACGATCATTGTGGATGATCATGTACTCATCTGGTACAAGAACCGCTTTTATCGTGCCAACCAGTTTGCGGCCGCCTATGCCTTGATCCCTGTGGCCGAGCGTTTTGAGGTCTTGAGCGTCGCCAACACGACGTTCCAATCCCTTGCGTTGTCCAAGCAGGATGTGTATGCCGACATTCTCAGCTATGTCGACGACATCTTGTGCCCCCTCACGGAGGCAAAGGACACGGAAGGCGGAAGCCAACCCCTACCTGCAACAAGGCAGCAGAACCCAGATGTCACCAGGTCCTCGCGTCCTGGGTACGGTTCTCATCAGGGGCCCACTCATGGCTACAGTCAGCAGGAATGGAATGACTACTACAATCAGTGGACTGACCAGGAGTGGGAAGATTGGCGCCGTCGAAACCAAGGCCACCAATACAGGGATCGACGTTGGTCGGGCTATCGCTGAGGCACCGCGGAGGGGAACCTCTCGCCTGGTGGATTTATCTTCATCTGAGGCGGGGTAGTTTCTCTCAATGTGAGGTGTCGCACAGCGGAAGCTGTTGCCTTTTCGGATTTAATTCGGTTAGGCGACTAGCTTCATTTTGCACAGGTGGGTGAGCGATTCCACCATCATTTCGAACACAAGTGTGCTAAGTCGGAATTTTTGCCAACTCATTCAAATTCACAAAAGTTTTCATTAGCGCTTTGAATGCAAATTATTTGAAGCAGGCATTTGGCACTCATCTTATTCTTGCCATGATTCCTTCTTGCATAGCACACGGCTGGTAGTTGCATGTACCGCAGAGCGGAAGCTCTTGCCTTGCGAAGATAAGGCAGCTTTGAAGCATTTCTGAAAGCTTCCCTGCGGGTTCACGTCAAAACCGAATTCAGCATTTTGCCATAATTCACATCATTTTGCTTTGGCAAGCTCCCGGGCGTCCACAAGAACTTTTGATGCCGCGTGGAAACGCAGGCCTATGTAACGGGCCAAGTCCTTTTTCCACTGTGCATGTTCGACCGCAAGCCCGGTAGAGCCCAAAACTTGATATTGCTGCATTCGACCGAATTGATGTTCACTGCATCCGTTGGCCTTAATACTTGAAGTTGTGCCGAACGATATGCATTGTCAGCTCTTGCTCTTGTTTGCAAACTGTTTGCACGCCTGAGGTGAAGATGGAAGTGCTACGAAAGGTCAGGCCGTGCTGCGGAGGGTTTGGTCTTTGGGTTTTGTTGTTTTGTTACTAATGGCATCCCTTAACTCCGTAGTGCATCCCTTTAATTTGCAGCTTCACTTCCTGTGCGGTAATTACACTGCACGGGGGGTGTTGATGCACAGTAGTACCACATGTATATACCCTTTTCACCTCATATACGGTTGCGTGCGTGGCTCAAGAAATGCTGCGCAGGGTTAACTGGGATTTGTGGTTACTCTAGGCTTTTATCCCGTTTCTACAATATATATATATATATTATGATACGCAGCAGATATTTTTCCTCGAAACCTGGTTTGGGATAGAATATCATCATGATATGTTGTTGTATGATATTGTATGTTCATTTTGGGGTCCCGTGTGTGGAGGATTGTGATCATTAGGATGGGCTTTTGTGTGATGTCCATAGCAAATTCAATAGCAAATCATTGACCACATGTCAGTCAACATTTAGCAGGGTATGAACGGACATACCGAAGTGCTGTAGTTCGTGCTTGGCTTACTTGACAACATGCTTTGGGGGCACACATGTTTGAAATGTCGAATAAACAACGTGACATAAATCAGGGGTCCTTACATCGAGGCACCCCATTTAAATCCATCTCTTTTGGCTTAAATGCATGTTCATCCCAAGTATTACGGATCAAATCCATGTAATGTGGTCAACCCAATAATAAACCATCCCAAAAAATAGGTGGTGCAAAGCTTCCAAAATTGGAGGTTGAATCTTGGTTTTACCACACAATCATCGTGCATCATTAGTCATTGCTCCCATATTTTGTTGGCTAAACCCGCAAAATCCCCATAGCACTCCCTATTGTTTGATATGTTTATTAAATTTATTGGATTTCCCACATTGCATCCACCAAAAAAAACTTGGAGGTGGTTTACTTGCTGTTTACCAAGTTGGTTACTGTACCTGATTGTATCCCATGATCATCAATGATTATCCCATTTGTATCCATTTTTAATGTCAAATTAGGATGATTAAACCACTAGGGATTAAATCAACCCACGGGGAAAATCTTTGGGCAATACTAAACTGGGTTGGTCCCGCCTGATTAATATACCGGGGGGTGTAACCCCCCAATTAATCAACCCCAACAGAGAAAATCACATGCTTTGAACACCACTCCTTTCAAGTCTCACACAGAGCGACTTGACTCCAAGAGACCCCCATAGGGCTCTATTGGCTCAACACAAACTACAATCATACGAGTTGGGTAATTGAGTACTTTGTTGCATTGGCACCAGCCTTTTTGTGACTTTGAAGTCGCGGCCTTGTGACTTTGCAGTCGCAGACTTGCGACTTTGCAATCACAGGCTCAGTCTTGCAGTCTTGGTTCAAACCAAATTCTTGGCTAACTTTAAAAAATGATCCCCCCAATGGTCAATGTCTTCATTAAAATCCATTTAAAACCTATCACTGTGAGGAGCTTCCAAATGGTACCCCTCATGAGCCCATGTCCCCCCCAAATAATAGGCAGGGTTTCCCTTAATTTATCACCCCCCCTTGGATCCTTTAGATTTCTTTTTGGCTTAAAAGGAAAATCCGTTGAAAGTAGGTTGGTATCAATTGAAATCCTCACTAATCTTTAGATTTCTTTTAGGTTTAAACGGAAAATCAGTTGAAAGTACATTGATATCATTGATATCACTTGAATTCCTTTCTAATCTTTAGATGTCTTTTTGGTCCAAAAGGAAAATTAATTTAAAGTAGATTGATATCAATTAGAAGTTGACCTCTTATGACTTCAACTTAGGAGGTCGATGATTTAGGGCAAAACCCCTAGCAGAACCTTCTCCCTAGGGGGGGAGGTTTATAAATCCGTCGTTGGAACATCAGGAGATGATGCGCCCGGTGGGGTCCCCTGGCTATGCAGCTCCAGAAGTGATTGCGGTGATGCCGCAACGCTACAATGAGAAGGTGCCGCGCGTGCCGCAGTTTGGAGAGATCTGGGAATCTGAAATCATATCGAGAATAATTATATGGACCAATTATAATGGGATAATATATGGATCATATCTGATCATATATGATCATATATTGAATATATATATATAATTATATACAATTATATACACAAAAATATATGGTCGCATTTTGGACACTTCCAATGTGGCATTTTATGGCAATCTTTAAGAGGGAAAATGATGATAAACCATGATAAACCCATAGAGGATAGCGATTTCCACACGCCCTGCCACCACAACCCTGAACAAGTACTCGAAACGCGACCGCGTTCTACCGGCCATGGTAAACTACCACTACTAAGATCTACTAAGTATTGACCTCATGAATAGCAGTCTCTTGGGATAATTTCATAGACAGAGCAAGCCAATAGAGAAATTCATGATGTTGTAGATTCATCACTTGCAATTCACATGTCATATTGGAGCATGTCCCAGGTGGACGTTTTCGCGACCGGCGTGTTGGCCTACTTCATGCTGTATCGAGCCCTCCCCTTCTGGAGCGACAACCATGAGGACATCCTCAACAAGACGAGAGCCTGTGAGGTGCGTAATTTTTGGGTAGATGGCCCATTTTAACTATTTCGTTGTTTATGACCTTATTCACCTGTACCCTTTGGCAATCAAACGCTTCAATGGATAGTCCGGTATAAATTGATGTTTAAAATGATTTTTATCTGTAAAATCTATAAATTATAGGCTATTGGTGGATTTTCAATTGCCACGTTTGACGAACGGGTGCGCCATCGGAACCTACCGATCCCAATGTCACAGATCCTGTGGACCCCAACTAACCCCGGTTTTCCGGAGACCCAAGATGCATCAAGATGCTGGAATGATCATAAAAAATATATCATGTTTGTATCCCACAGGAAATTGAATATATATTTTTATATAGCCCTAATAGGGAACCATGCAGAACCATGATGATCCAAGACACCCAGGTCTTCGAAAAAACCATGGGCTGGAAACTCCCCCACGGCCAGCGATTTGGTGATCTATGGTGATCTCCAATTTGGCGATGGGGATGGCCCACGAACTATCCCCAATGATCATCCATTTACATATAGCTAACTAACAACATCACCCATATTATACCATAAAACCCAGAAAACCAGAACACTAAGTCCATGGACAAGTCCTACAGTGAACTAACCATGGCCCATCTGGGTGTACTTCTTCCAGGTCAAGTATCCTGAAGAAGAGCGCAGTGTGAGAGAAGGTCTTATGGCCTTTATGGCAACCTCGTGTCTTGGCCGCGGTCCAACCCATGTTGTTTTATCGATGAAATTTGGGGGGCCATGGGCACCTTATTTTGGGACACATCCAAATCATGAGAAAAAAGTGGGGTGATTGAAGTTTGGAACCAAGAAAAGTCAGAGACTTGAACCAGCAAAAAGCAGCGGAAACGAACAAAGTAACATTGAGGGGGTTGAGCATCAACAATGTCGTTTGTTCAGCGTCAAAACGGGGTATAGTTACCCTTCAGCAACTTCCTATTGCTGGGTTAGATTACCAGAGGCAAATTGTAGTGTCTAGCTGTGGTTATCAAACATTGTCAAACATGCACGCCTGCAGCATCACGTTGCAAGATGTTCAGACTGATGACATGTCACTGTTGCTGCCAGGAACACTGTGTAGACAAGACTAGACATATGGCAACGTTCCTTTATTTCAGCAAGCACATTCCCGCGGCTGCAATCAGCATCAGACACTGTTCCGCGACCCACTGCAACCCACTGAGGTTGGAACGAGAAGCCGAGGACTGACATCGAGCCTGAAAGCATAGCCTATCTCGAATGGTCCGTGGCTGATGAAACTGTAGATGACATTTTTGGGCTTAAAAGTGGAAGAAGTGATCCGGCATGATCCCACTACTGAAGTGGTTAGGGCCTATAGGGAAAGCGAGGTGCTTTCCATCTATTGTTTCCGCCATAGCGGCCAGAGTCCAGGTCAGCCTGCAGTAGGTTAGCGGAGCAATTACCGTTTACAGTTCGAAAACAGATGAAAAGAGACTCACCACCTCCAAAGCATGAAGTTTTTTCGGGGTATCTAAGCACAAAAATGTCTGAATGTCTGAACATCTAACAAGATCTTGCAGTTTGGGTTTGGCCCGGTTCGGCTCGCGGCTTCGCCGCAGGACCGTCCCTCATCGCTGCAAGCTTTCCTGAAGCTCCAGGATTCCTCGCCCGAAGAGATTCTGAAGGGAAAGGCTGCTGGTTCGCCGGGTGCAGGATACTTTCATGGGGGTCCCCAAAACTGTGGTTTCAATAAATAGTCTCATTTATTTTGATGATGTGAGTTTCTCCCATTTCAGCAAACCCCCATATAGACAGAGAGAGAGAGAGTGTGTGTGGATGAATGGGATGGGATGGAATGGCAGGGCATGGCATGGGATGGGACCGGATGGGATGGAATGGAATAAGTGAATAATTGAATGAAGGAATAGAGGATAATAAAGGAATGAAGGAATGAAGGAAAGATATACAGGAATTAAATGAATGACATGAAATGAAATGGAATGAATGAAATGAAACGGAACCGAATTAAATGGTCTGAAATGATGAAACAAAATGAAATGGGATGACATGGAATGGAAGAAAATAAAATAAAATGAACGAAAGGAATGAAATACATGAAATGAAATGAAAGAAAAGAATGAATGGGTGGATGGGTGGATGGGGCGATGGGGCGATGGGGCGGATGGATGGATACGTAGGTAGATCATGGTAGATCGATACCTATTGACAGTGTAGATATATATATAATTATACATATATATATATTATGTATATATATATGTGTGTGTGTGTGTTTGTATGTGCACTGTGCATATTTACTATATAAGGCAAGTGATTCAGTATATTATATGGCTACTGATCTCCTAGTTATATGACATTTTTTAGATAGGTATATATAACGTATTTGAGTGTTTACATGTATTTCCAATATGGAAGTCCATCGCGATGGAGGCTGTGATGGGTTTTGTCCGGTATAGGTGGTAGCAATGGGATGAGGTGATATATATCACAGCAAAATTGGTTGTAGGATGGTAGATAACCAGCACGAGCTTTACCACAAGGTCATCAGCCTGGAAACCCAGAGGTGAAAAGATCATCGGAGACACATCCCACACGGAACGATTGGGAAGACTCTTGGGGTGACTGAAGACCCCAAACATTACTGATTTTGCGTGCTGTTTTTTTGTAACCTCCCGTGCTCAAACATGACTAAACGTACATGGTACATAGATGTACAATAGTTAATAGATAGAGAAAGCTATCTACAAAATATGTTTATGTTTGACAGAATCATTTGATCCTGAAACTATCTACATAGAGAGATACATAATTTGATCTTGAAACTGTCTACACAGAGAGATACATAATTTGATCTTGAAACTATCTACACAGAGAGATACATAATTTGATCTTGGAACTATCTACATAGAGAGATACATGATTTGATGGTCAACGCGTCATCTGCGCACATTGAAAGCGAGTCATTTGCGCACATTGCAAACGAGTCATCTGCGCACAGAGAAACCGCGTCATCCGCGCACAAAGAGCGGTCATCCGCGCACATTGAGGCTGGGAACCAGCCATTTCGGGTTTGGTTGTGCGGGGTGGGGGGGGTGGGGTGGGATGATAACGTTCATGTTCCTATGCACACACAGGCACAGCAACCTCATCATCTTTCTTCCCGTAGAGCAGAGACAGGCACAGCTCTTTCATGATCAGTTACCGGTGGGGTGGGGGAGTTAATAAGGTTCATGTTCCTATGCATACAGACGCACAGCAACCTCATCATCTTTCTTGCTGTAGAGCACTTACACGCACTGCTCTTTCATGATCAGTTACCCGTGGGGTGGGGGGGGTGGGGGGGTGGCGTGGGGTGGGTGGGGTGGGATGATAGCGTCATTTGCTGTACGTTCTCATGCACTTGCACACATACGGCATGCTACGCTGCTGTACGTTCTCATGCACTTGCACACATACGGCATGCTACGTTGTGTGAGACAACTTGGGTGAAGTTGAGAGAGAAAGAAGCAACTCAGGAAGAGAAGGAGGAGAAGGCAAGGAATACAAACCTAAAAACAAAAGCCCCACACAGAGATGTGAGGAAAAAAACACAACTTGATGAGTTGTGTGATGATGTTTAAAAAAAAATAGAAGAATCATGTTACAGAGATACAAACGTGCACAGACGACCAACCGTCTGACGTGCACAAACGACCCACTTTTGACGTGCACAGACGATCCCCCAACCTGATTTGATCTTGAAACTATCTACATAGAGAGATACATAATTTGATCTTGAAACTATCTACATAGAGAGATGCATAATTTGATCTTGAAACTATCTACATAGAGAGATACATAATTTGATCTTGAAACTATCTACATGGAGGGATATATAATTTGATCTTGAAACTATCTACATAGAGAGATACATAATTTGATCTTGAAACTATCTACATAGAGAGATGCATAATTTGATCTTGAAACTATCTACATAGAGAGATACATGATTTGATCTTGAAACTATCTACATAGAGAGATACATAATTTGATCTTGAAACTATCTACATAGAGAGATACATAATTTGATCTTGAAACTATCTACATAGAGAGATACATAAATTGATCTTGAAACTATCTACATAGAGAGATACACAATTTGATCTTGAAACTACCTACATAGAGAGATACATAATTTGATCTTGAAACTATCTACATCGAGAGATACATAATCTGATCTTGAAACTATCTACATAGAGGGATACATAATTTGATCTTGAAACTATCTACATAGAGAGATACATAATTTGATCTTGAAACTATCTACATAGAGAGAAACATAATTTGATCTTGGAACTATCTGCATAGAGAGATACATAATTTGATCTTGAAACTATCTACATAGAGGGATACATAATTTGATCTTGAAACTATCTACATAGAGAGATACATAATGTGATCTTGAAACTATCTACATACAGAGATAAATAGTTTGATCTTGAAACTATCTACATAGAGAGATGCATAATCTTGAAACTATCCACATAGAGAGATACATGATTTGATTTTGAAACTATCTGCATAGAGAGATACACAATTTGATCTTGAAACTATCTACATAGAGAGATGCATAATCTTGAAACTATCCACATAGAGAGATACATGATTTGATCTTGAAACTATCTACATAGAGAGATACACAATTTGATCTTGAAACTATCTACATCGAGAGATACATAATCTGATCTTGAAACTATCTACATCGAGAGATGCATAATCTGATCTTGAAACTATCTACATAGAGAGATACATAATTTGATCTTGAAACTATCTACATAGAGAGATACATAATTTGATCTTGAAACTATCTACACAGAGAGATACATAATTTGATCTTGAAACTATCTACATAGAGAGATACATAATTTGATCTTGAAACTATCTACATCGAGAGATACATAATTTGATCTTGAAACTATCTACATAGAGAGATACATAATTTGATCTTGAAACTATCTACATAGAGAGATACATAATTTGATCTTGAAACTATCTACGTAGAGAGATGCATAATTTGATCTTGAAACTATCTACATAGAGAGATACATAATTTGATCTTGAAACTATCTACATAGAGAGATACATAATTTGATCTTGAAACTATCTACATAGCGAGATGCATAATTTGATCTTGAAACTATCTACATAGCGAGATGCATAATTTGATCTTGAAACTATCTACATAGAGAGATACACAATTTGATCTTGAAACTATCTACATTGAGAGATGCACAATTTGATCTTGAAACTATCTACATAGAGAGATACATAATTTGATCTTGAAACTATCTACATAGAGAGATCCATAATCTGATCTTGAAACTATCTACATAGAGAGATACATAATTTGATCTTGAAACTATCTACATAGAGGGATACATAATTTGATCTTGAAACTATCTACATAGAGAGATGCATAATTTGATCTTGAAACTATCTACATAGAGAGATACATAATTTGATCTTGAAACTATCTACATAGAGAGATACATAATTTGATTTTGAAACTATCTACATAGAGAGATACATAATTTGATCTTGAAACTATCTACATAGAGAGAGAGAGATAATTTGATCTTGAAACTATCTACATAGAGAGATACATAATTTGATCTTGAAACTATCTACATAGAGAGATACATGATCTTGAAACTATCTACATAGAGAGATACATAATTTGATCTTGAAACTATCTACATAGAGAGATTCATAATTTGATCTTGAAACTATCTACATCGAGAGATACATAGTCTGATCTTCAAACTATCTACATAGAGGGATACATAATCGGACCTTGAAACTATCTACATAGAGAGATACATAATTTGATCTTGAAACTATCTACATCGAGAGATACATAATCTGATCTTGAAACTATCTACATCGAGAGATACATAATCTGATCTTGAAACTATCTACATAGAGGGATACATAATCTGACCTTGAAACTATCTACATAGAGAGATACATAATTTGATCTTGAAACTATCTACATTGAGAGATGCATAGTCTGATCTTCAAACTATCTACATAGAGGGATACATAATCGGACCTTGAAACTATCTACATCGAGAGATACATAATTTGATCTTGAAACTATCTACATCGAGAGATACATAATCTGATCTTGAAACTATCTACATCGAGAGATACATAATCTGATCTTGAAACTATCTACATAGAGGGATACATAATCTGACCTTGAAACTATCTACATAGAGAGATACATAATTTGATCTTGAAACTATCTACATTGAGAGATGCATAATTTGATCTTGAAACTATCTACATAGAGGGATACATAATCTGACCTTGAAACTATCTACATTGAGAGATGCATAATTTGATCTTGAAACTATCTACATAGAGGGATACATCATCTGACCTTGAAACTATCTACATCGAGAGATGCATAATTTGATCTTGAAACTATCTACATAGAGAGATACATAATTTGATCTTGAAACTATCTACATTGAGAGATGCATACTTTGATCTTGAAACTATCTACATTGTCAGATGCATAATTTGATCTTGAAACTATCTACATAGAGAGATACATAATTTGATCTTGAAACTATCTACACCGAGAGATACATAATCTGACCTTGAAACTATCTACATTGAGAGATGCATAATTTGATCTTGAAACTATCTAGATTGAGAGATGCATAATTTGATCTTGAAACTATCTACATAGAGGGATACATAATCTGACCTTGAAACTATCTATATTGAGAGATGCATAATTTGATCTCGAAACTAGCTACATCGAGAGATACATAATCTGACCTTGAAACTATCTAGATTGAGAGATGCATAATTTGATCTTGAAACTATCTACATAGAGGGATACATAATCTGACCTTGAAACTATCTATATGGAGAGATGCATAATTTGATCTTGAAACTATCTACATAGAGGGATACATAATCTGACCCTGAAACTATCTACATCGAGAGATGCCTAATCTGACCTTGAAACTATCTACATAGAGGGATACATAATTTGATCTTGAAACTATCTACATAGAGAGATACATAATTTGATCTTGAAACTATCTACATCGAGAGATACATAATCTGACCTTGAAACTATCTACATTGAGAGATGCATAATTTGATCTTGAAACTATCTACATAGAGGGATACATAATCTGACCTTGAAACTATCTACATCGAGAGATGCATAATTTGATCTTGAAACTATCTACATAGAGAGATACATAATTTGATCTTGAAACTATCTACATTGAGAGATGCATACTTTGATCTTGAAACTATCTACATTGTCAGATGCATAATTTGATCTTGAAACTATCTACATAGAGGGATACATAATCTGACCTTGAAACTATCTACATCGAGAGATGCATAATTTGATCCTGAAACTATCTACATAGAGAGATACATAATTTGATCTTGAAACTATCTACATAGAGAGATTCATAATTTGATCTTGAAACTATCTACATCGAGAGATACATAGTCTGATCTTCAAACTATCTACATAGAGGGATACATAATCTGACCTTGAAACTATCTACATCGAGAGATACATAATTTGATCTTGAAACTATCTACATAGCGAGATGCATAATTTGATCTTGAAACTATCTACATAGCGAGATGCATAATTTGATCTTGAAACTATCTACATAGAGAGATACACAATTTGATCTTGAAACTATCTACATTGAGAGATGCACAATTTGATCTTGAAACTATCTACATAGAGAGATTCATAATTTGATCTTGAAACTATCTACATAGAGAGATGCATAATTTGATCTTGGAACTATCTACATAGAGAGATACATAATTTGATCTTGAAACTATCTACATAGAGGGATACATAATTTGATCTTGAAACTATCTACATAGAGAGATGCATAATTTGATCTTGAAACTATCTACATTGAGAGATGCATAGTCTGATCTTCAAACTATCTACATAGAGGGATACATAATCGGACCTTGAAACTATCTACATCGAGAGATACATAATTTGATCTTGAAACTATCTACATCGAGAGATACATAATCTGATCTTGAAACTATCTACATCGAGAGATACATAATCTGATCTTGAAACTATCTACATAGAGGGATACATAATCTGACCTTGAAACTATCTACATAGAGAGATACATAATTTGATCTTGAAACTATCTACATAGAGAGATGCATAATTTGATCTTGAAACTATCTACATCGAGAGATACATAGTCTGATCTTCAAACTATCTACATAGAGGGATACATAATCGGACCTTGAAACTATCTACATAGAGAGATACATAATTTGATCTTGAAACTATCTACATCGAGAGATACATAATCTGATCTTGAAACTATCTACATCGAGAGATACATAATCTGATCTTGAAACTATCTACATAGAGGGATACATAATCTGACCTTGAAACTATCTACATAGAGAGATACATAATTTGATCTTGAAACTATCTACATTGAGAGATGCATAGTCTGATCTTCAAACTATCTACATAGAGGGATACATAATCGGACCTTGAAACTATCTACATCGAGAGATACATAATTTGATCTTGAAACTATCTACATCGAGAGATACATAATCTGATCTTGAAACTATCTACATCGAGAGATACATAATCTGATCTTGAAACTATCTACATAGAGGGATACATAATCTGACCTTGAAACTATCTACATTGAGAGATACATAATTTGATCTTGAAACTATCTACATAGAGAGATGCATAATTTGATCTTGAAACTATCTACATAGAGGGATACATAATCTGACCTTGAAACTATCTACATTGAGAGATGCATAATTTGATCTTGAAACTATCTACATAGAGGGATACATCATCTGACCTTGAAACTATCTACATCGAGAGATACATAATTTGATCTTGAAACTATCTACATAGAGAGATACATAATTTGATCTTGAAACTATCTACATAGAGAGATACATAATTTGATCTTGAAACTATCTACACCGAGAGAGACATAATCTGACCTTGAAACTATCTACATTGATGCATAATTTGATCTTGAAACTATCTACATTGAGGGATACATCATCTGACCTTGAAACTATCTACATAGAGAGATACATAATTTGATCTTGAAACTATCTACATAGAGAGATACATAATTTGATCTCGAAACTAGCTACATCGAGAGATACATAATCGGACCTTGAAACTATCTAGATTGAGAGATGCATAATTTGATCTTGAAACTATCTACATAGAGGGATACATAATCTGACCTTGAAACTATCTATATTGAGAGATGCATAATTTGATCTTGAAACTATCTACATAGAGGGATACATAATCTGACCCTGAAACTATCTACATCGAGAGATGCCTAATCTGACCTTGAAACTATCTACATAGAGGGATACATAATTTGATCTTGAAACTATCTACATAGAGAGATACATAATTTGATCTTGAAACTATCTACATCGAGAGATACATAATCTGACCTTGAAACTATCTACATTGAGAGATGCATAATTTGATCTTGAAACTATCTCATAGAGGGATACATAATCTGACCTTGAAACTATCTACATCGAGAGATGCATAATTTGATCTTGAAACTATCTACATAGAGAGATACATAATTTGATCTTGAAACTATCTACATTGAGAGATGCATACTTTGATCTTGAAACTATCTACATTGTCAGATGCATAATTTGATCTTGAAACTATCTACATAGAGGGATACATAATTTGATCTTGAAACTATCTACATAGAGAGATGCATAATTTGATCTTGAAACTATCTACATAGAGAGATACATAATTTGATCTTGAAACTATCTACATAGAGGGATACATACTTTGATCTTGAAACTATCTACATTGTCAGATGCATAATTTGATCTTGAAACTATCTACATAGAGGGATACATAATCTGACCTTGAAACTATCTACATCGAGAGATACATACTTTGATCTTGAAACTATCTACATTGTCAGATGCATAATTTGATCTTGAAACTATCTACATAGAGGGATACATAATCTGACCTTGAAACTATCTACATCGAGAGATACATAATCTGACCTTGAAACTATCTACATTGAGAGATGCATAATTTCATCTTGAAACTATCTACATAGAGGGATACATAATCTGACCTTGAAACTATCTACATCGAGGGATACATAATCTGACCTTGAAACTAGCTACATCGAGAGATACATAATCTGACCTTGAAACTATCTACATTGAGAGATGCATAATTTGATCTTGAAACTATCTACATAGAGGGATACATAATCTGACCTTGAAACTATCTACATCGAGAGATGCATAATCTGATCTTGAAACTATCTACATAGAGGGATACATAATCTGACCTTGAAACTATCTACATCGAGAGATACATAATCTGACCTTGAAACTATCTACATTGAGAGATGCATAATTTGATCTTGAAACTATCTACATAGAGGGATACATAATCTGACCTTGAAACTATCTACATTGAGAGATGCATAATTTGATCTTGAAACTATCCACATAGAGGGATACATAATCTGACCTTGAAACTATCTACATTGAGAGATGCATAATTTGATCTTGAAACTATCTACATAGAGGGATACATAATCTGACTTTGAAACTATCTACATTGAGAGATGCATAATTTGATACATAAATGATACATACTCGTGGCAGGTTCCCACCTTTCCACTTTCCGAGCCCTCAGGGTGGGAGAGCCTATCGCATCGCCCTCACGGGCTTAGTGAAACTGGGCCACTCGGCAGCGGACCTTGGGATGCTAGGGGGGTAAAGGTTTGGGATGTAGAAAAGCCATAGGGGAAACCCGGGAAACCCTTTGGAAAATGATCTACCAAGTGTGGCTGAACACCACATCGATGTTAATTTACTTGCGACAATTTTTTCAAGTCAGTCATAGCACGGATTTGTTGAGTATGATCACCCTAAACTATACCAGCGGACACTCTGGTAAATTATGATCATGCATCATGATTGTGATCCCTCCCCCCTAATATCAACCACAAAAGAACGATCGAAACCATGAATTCGTAGTGCATTCGTTCGTTGGCTTCTTGATATGATATCAACTCCCAATCCCCAATCATATGGCATCCCTTACCTGGGGTCGGCCAGGTCACCTACCTGATGGAGGCTTGGATGCTACATGTTTTGTTGATATTTTAGATGCTCATGAAAATCAGGATAGAGTTGAAAAATATCTACATCAGTCTACATCATGTTCAGCACATCCACATCACACCTTTAGAACGTAGGCATTCTTGGCATGCCAAGAGTTGAAACATGTTCAAACTAGAACTTCTCAAGATGCAACAGATTGCAACAGTGTGACCCAAAAAAAAGGCTTGCAGCATGATTCATGAGTTTGATCCACCAATGCTGCCAACAAAATTCTAGTGACTAATTGAGGTGTTGAAAGACCCTGCAACCTCTTTTTTTTCCATCCCAAAATTTGTTTCTGGTAAAGGAAAAGCGGGATGATTTAATATGTGCATATAAATAAATAAATAAATAAATACATATATATATATTATCTGTTATATAAACATATATATATTATATTGTATATATAGATATATTATATATATATATATTATATTATGTTATATTATATTATATTATATTATAATATAATATATATATTATATGTATATTATATGTATATTATATATATATATATTATTTATTATATATATATATATATGTGTGTGTGTGCTTGTGTGCGTGTGTGTGTGTGTGCGCGTGTGTGTGTGTGTGGGTGTGTGTGCGCGGGTGTGTGTGTGTGTAACATCTAAATAGATGTAAAACTTCTTTCTTTTTCTTCCTTCTGTCCTCTCCCTTTTTAAATCTAGTGAAAGGGTTTTAAATCTAGTGCAGGGGGCCACGGCTCCATTCATCAGTCCGTGGCCAACGAAGCTACTGGTGTTTGGAGAGGATATGCAGTCTGATCAACTGCACGTACCTGCTTTTTCCGACATAGCAAGGGGCCAAGCTCAGAACCCCAAACACTATGGTTTTATTTCTTCACGGTTGCCACAATCTGCATTTTTGCCGAAACCATGTCGCCGATGCTTCTTTGACTATTTTGGGAATCCATCGCCGAAACATTATTTTTTGGAATTTCAACATGCTGGTCAAACGTTGTGGATTCTGGTTTGAACTCTATTTGACAACATTGGATGCTCTACATCGTCTTCGTGAAGTACCTCAAGGGGCTCTACTGTAAATCTAACGATCTAGGCTGGTTTGCATGTTTCAGGATTCAGTTCCTGCCGGATCATGTAATGATCCTTTCTAATCTAGTGTGATTCCTATGGTGACTCCGACATGGTGCCATAGGGCCCATTGAGGCAACCCCAGTTGGGGTCAATGTCGACTGACTTGAATTCCGAATTCACACATTTTAATTTAGTAATTCGTTTAAGTAAAGTGCAACAGCTGGCCTTGCAATTATGCACCATTTTACGATGTCCCGCCGATCCTGCTGTCCCTTGAAAACCCTGGTGAAAAGTTGTCTTCTCTGAGTGAAGCCAATCGGAACAACCAGAAACTCCTTTTTTGTCACTGCTGCTTTTATACTTTTATTGCTGTTGGTTTATATGTCAATGACTCCTGTGATTTATACTGACGTGGCAAGGGGCTAAGCCAAGAACCCCAACAGAAGGCAACAGGCACATGCTTTCCAGGTGTGGTTTTTTTCTTTTGATGGTTGTCTGGTGAGGTTAAACATTTTGTGCGCCTAATTCGTTGGAACTTGAAAGCCGTTTTATGCCCTTGTGGCTGACTTGAACAAGGGCCTGGATTGGCACAACGCACGACTTCTAGGTTTTAGGAGCTGAATCCTGTTGTTTTACTATTGTTTTGGTTTTCCTGTCTGTCATCAACTAGTCCCCCATTTGGTCCCTAATTTCCCCGCGTGCCTCTCCGTAATGTGTCGTGGGGTTTAGGTGTGTGCGCTGTTTTGGTTAGGTCCGTTTCGCCGTGTAGGTTGGTTCCGGAGGTCCGTCTGTTCCCCTCCCCCCCCTGCGCTGTTTTTGGCCGTTTGCCCTTCGTGTGTCCGCTTTTTTCTTCCTCTTGCCTTTCAGGGTTGACCCGGCTCTGGCCGGGTGTGTGTGTGTGTAACATCTAAATAGATGTAAAACTTCTTTCTTTTTCTTCCTTCTGTCCTCTCCCTTTTTAAATCTAGTGAAAGGGTTTTAAATCTAGTGCAGGGGGCCACGGCTCCATTCATCAGTCCGTGGCCAACGAAGCTACTGGTGTTTGGAGAGGATATGCAGTCTGATCAACTGCACGTACCTGCTTTTTCCGACATAGCAAGGGGCCAAGCTCAGAACCCCAAACACTATGGTTTTATTTCTTCACGGTTGCCACAATCTGTATTTTCGCCGAAACCATGTCGCCGATGCTTCTTTGACTATTTTGGGAATCCATCGCCGAAACATTATTTTTTGGAATTTCAACATGCTGGTCAAACGTTGTGGATTCTGGTTTGAACTCTATTTGACAACATTGGATGCTCTACATCGTCTTCGTGAAGTACCTCAAGGGGCTCTACTGTAAATCTAACGATCTAGGCTGGTTTGCATGTTTCAGGATTCAGTTCCTGCCGGATCATATAATGATCCTTTCTAATCTAGTGTGTGTGCGTGTGCGCGTGTGCGCGTGTGCGCATGCGCGCGTGTGCACGTGTGCGCGTGTTTTCGTTTGCGTGCGCGTGTGCGCGCGCGCGTGTGTGTGTGTGTGCGTGTGTGTGTGTGTGTGTGCGTGCGTGCGTGCGCGTGCACGCATGCACGTGCATGCGTGCATGCATGCGCGCGTGGGTGTGTAGATAGATATATATATATATATATATATATGTGTGTGTGTGATTATGTGTGTGTGTATTTAAATATATATATATATATATGTGCACATGTTTGGAAGAAAACCCATGGAAAGCTCAACATCTTTGGGTGGTAAAGAGCCCAAACAGTCCAAATCGTTTCGTGTAGATTTTGCCCAACGAACGAACGATCCCAGCGGTCCAGGCAGCCAAGACTTTGAAGAATTCTCTGAAGAGAGCCCCCTTGCAGCAGACATTGGGCCTGTCTGAAAATGAGGAGGAAAAGGGCACAAATAGCCTTCGGGTCTTTTGACTAGTAAGACAATCCTTTTGGACATGTCCAAAGATCCACTAGGTTGATAATGAGTTAGGATGAGTTAGGTATAATCCACTCGTTAAAATTTGGATAAAATTAGATGATTAACTACTGATGATGAACTATTTCTGAATATACCACCATTTTGATGATTAATTAGTGATTTTTTGAGGTAGTGTCAAGCAAACCGCAAACCCTGATATGGATGGATATATGTCCACGCTTGTCGGATCTTTATTGGTCCGTGCGCAGTCAGTCCTATTTTTGAGTGCCTTTTTTTCGCCCGCGGATCCGGCTTGAGACAATGGATGGACGCTGAGAACAGCTGGGTTTTAGACCTGGACTACCAAGTTTTTCAGATTTTCGGGGCGACTTTGGCTCACTCAATTTGTCCAATTTGTGGGGAAGTATGTTGCTAACTTGTAAGCCAAAAAATTGGGCGCGTGAATCATGATAAATATGAGTGTATTGCTTATAATATATGCAAGCATCAAACCCTGAAGAGTGATGCAGCCCATGTGTTAGTGCAGCACACAACTGAATCATGTGGCTTGCGCAGTGCCTACAGCAAGCTGTAGCCAGTGGTGAACATTGTTTGGAAAGGGCTTGATTGTTGCAGTGTTTTGGTTGCGCTTTGGGTTTCTTTTTCGTTATTTATTTATTTGCTGTTTGCAAATGCCGCGAAGACGGCAGGTGGTGGGGGAGTTCACTCCTCTACCCAAAGAGGGTCAGGGGTTCCTTTGTGCTTAGCAGAAGCACCGCTCGAGTTTGCAGCAGCTGACGCTTTGGCCGATGAAAACTCAGCAGGTATTGGTGGCTGGTGGTGGCCGTCTGGTTGTGCAGCGACGCCGTCATCTGCTCGTTGGTTTAGCATTCAATTTGAACGTGCCGATCTTCCCACTTGGTTTTGTTCTTCAGAGTCATCATCTTGGCAAGCTTGCATATCCGCATTCGAAGCACTGGTCCAATTGGTGTTGCTCTGCTTGCGCTGCCAATTTTGTCACCGACACGGATCCCATGTGCTAAAACTGACCCAATTATGTGACAACCTCGGTGTGACGTACTCCACTTTCAAGATGCTGTCAATGAAGCAGCCGTTGTGTTTTGTGCATTTTGTGCTTCAAGCATTAGGTTTCCACTGCTGCCGACTGCCGCCTAGGTGTCGCTTCGTCGTGCAGCCACATTGCTGGATGTCGCAATGAGTGGGCTGATTCCCTAAGCCATAATATAATCCCATCACATTTTAGTCCCTGCCTTAAATGCCAGAGCGAGCCTTGCTAGAGGCACCGTGGAAAGCCGAACGGCCGTAAGTGTGCTCACTTGTCCTTCTTGACTTGCTACCCTTGTGTCTCAACCCTGTAGTTGTGCGCCTGCTTGCATGTTGAGCCCCAATGATCTGCAACACCCTTTGGTTGGGGATGTGGTGCTGCCCAGTTGGTAATTGGTTGGCCAGATCCAGTTGCCAACTGGGTAGCTATGTGTTACAGATCATTGGAGAAAAAAGTATGCTTGCCTGTGTGATGCTAGTGGCTGCATGCATGTATGAAGGGTTTCATAAATTCATACCTTGCTGAAACAGCTTTAAACACAATTAAACGTTCAAAAAGATATCTGCAAGTGGTTTCTCAAACAGATCTCTTGCCGTTTGTTCGCATTGACGTGCCCCAACCTCTGGGTTGTTCCAGCATTGCCATGCTGGCGCCATACGATTTTGCGCAGCCGATTGTTGTTCCATATGCCCCTTAAATATATATATATATACAAATCTAATCGATCTATCGATCTATCGATCTATCTATCTCTCTCTCTATCTCTATCTATCTCTATCTATCTCTATCTATCTCTATCTATCTCTATCTATCTCTATCTATCTCTATCTATCTCTATCTACCTCTGTCTATCTCTATCTATCTCTATCTATCTCTATGTATCTCTATCTATCTCTATCTATCTCTATCTATCTCTATCTATCTCTATCTATCTCTCTATCTATCTATCTATCTATCTCTCTCTCTCTCTATCTATCTATCTATCTATCTATCTCTATCTCTATCTCTATCTCTCTACCTTTATCTCTATCTCTATCTCTATCTCTATCTCTATCTCTATCTGTCTATCTATCTATCTCTCTCTCTCTCTCTATCTCTATCTATCTCTATCTATCTCTATCTATCTCAATCTATCTATAATTATCTATCTCTATCTATCTATCTATCTATCTATCTATCTATCTATCTCTATATCTATCTATCTCCATCTATCTATCTCTATCTCTCTATCTATCTACCTACCTACCTATCTATCTATCTATCTATCTATCTCTCTCTCTCTCTATCTCTTTCTATCTCTATCTATCTCTATCTATTTCTATCTATCTCTATCTCTAGCTATCTCTATCTCTATCTATGTCTATCTATCTCTATCTATCTATCTATAATTATCTATCTATCTCTGTCTACCTATCTCTATCTATCTCTATCTATCTGTCGATCTATCTCTTTCTATCTCTATTTATCTATCTATCTCTATCTTTCTATCTCTATCTATCTATCTATCTACCTATCTATCTATCTATCTCTATCGATCTATCTCAATCTGTCTATCTCCATCTATCTATCTCTATCTCTCTGTCTATCTACCTATCTATCTATCTCTCTCTATCTCTATCTATCTCTGTCTATCTCTGTCTATCTCTGTCTATCTATCTATCTATCTATCTATCTATCTATCTATCTCTATCTATCTCTCTATCTATCTCTATCTCTATCTCCTATCTCTCTACCTCTATCTCTATCTCTATCTCTATCTCTATCTCTATCTTTCTGTCTATCTATCTATCTATCTATCTATCTATCTATCTATCTCTCTATCTCTCTTATCTATCTCTTTCTATTTGTCTATCTATCTATATCATTCTATATCTATTTATCTATCGAATTACAACTATCTAATTACATCTATCTCTATCTATCTCTATCTGTCTCGGTCTATCTATCTCAATCTATCTCTATCCATCTCTCTATCTATGTCTATCTATCTCTATCTGTCTATCTATCGATCTATCTATCTATCTCTCTCTCTCTATCTATCTCTATCTCTGTCTATCTATCTCAATCTATCTCTATCTATCTCTTTCTATCTCTATCTCTCTCTATCTATCTCTCTATCTATCTATCTATCTATCTATCTACCTATCTGTCCATCTATCTATCTATCTATCTATCTATCTCTCTATCTCTCTATCTCTCTCTATCTCTCTCTATCTATCTCTATCTATCTCTCTCTATCTATATCTATCTATCTAAATACAATTATCTAATTACATCGATCTCTTTCTATCTCTATCTATCTCTATCTGTCTCGATCTATCTCTCTCTCTCTCTATCTATCTTTCTTTCTAGCTTTCTATCTATCTATCTGTCTATCTAATTACATCTTTCTAATTATATCCATCTATAACTGTATCTTGCTAATTATACCATTATATCTATCCAATCAAATCTCTATCTAAATCTATATCTATATAGTCTATATATATATATACAAATATATCATCTATATGCATACAGACGTGTCTACTGTATCTACCGGTATACACTCTCGATATCCCTTTCTTGCCCACCGCAAGCTATGCCTTGCTGTTTTGTGGCGCTTCGTCGGGGCGATCCGGGCGCAGCTCCCTAGGTGCTGATATGTCAGAGGATACCACGAAGGCTTCGCCTTCAGTGACTGCAAGGTCGGGGAGTTTCCACTGGATGTTTCAGCCATGAAGAATGATAGCAACATGGGGATTTTTCATGATTTTTGAATGGGGATTCTGAGCAAAATTGGGGTTTCTCAGGGATGCTTTGGTCCACGAGAACCGGGGAAGATGGGATTTGAAGGTCAAAAATGCGAAGATAAGCAATATGTTAGGTGATGTCAGGCTGAAATGTGGCAATTAAATTTGCGCAAGAAGGATGATGACATCATGACACCCGATTCGAATTTCCTAGGGGTGGGTTCGTACTCGTTCTTATGCCTATGTATATAATTTGTTTCAAATCACAGGGATACCCTCTGGTAATGAAAGGTGCATAGCTGGGAAATCCCCCAACTACTTGGAAGTTTGTAGCATGTTATGCATTTTATAGATGGGAAAGTCATTGAACTATTACTGGGGATGTTCAGCAAACAATATTTGATGACCCGAGAGTATGTTTTGAGTGGCTGACCACCAACCAGACAAGCAGCTGCAGCCAGCTTGCACATCGTTTCACTGTCAGATTGAGCCATATTGCAGTGCGTCAGCAATGGAGTCATCCCACAGAAAATTGTTGGTTAGTCATGGTTATGTATAATGTATAATTATATTGCATATGTAATATGTATACTGTATATAATATTAAGAATTTACGCCTTGGTGGGTAAACTCCTGATGTTTAGGTTCAAGAGGAACATCACACGGGATGGGAATGACCCCGAAAGATGGGAAGAACTCACCGGGGGAGATCCCAACTGAACCCGCAGATCAACAAAACATGCCTCGATTTACCCCGAAAAAATCTTGGGTACATCAGTTGTGGGTAGTTGTTCATAGTTTTTGGTTGCTTTTTGATTGTCCGGAATTCACCATTTTGGGTTTTGAGCCAGATTGGATATGCCCCAAAAATGCGATTTAGATTGAAAAATGATAGATGATGAATATTGAATTGGGCTTTAATCTTTTGGAATTCGCCATTGTCAGATACAACGTGGTGGCCCCTACCAAGTCTTTAAGGTGCATATTATAAGTAGGTTAACCAGGATTTTCGGTAGATATGTCGATACACAATAACACCCAAAAAAGATAGAACAAGGAAAGACAAAATGTTCAAATTACATAATTTTAAGATGGTATCTACTGAGAACCGGGTTTTTATACCATAAAAACATGAAAACATGTCAAATTCGATATATTAGATTTGTCGAATCCAAAGATTCACTGGGAATCCAAAGAGGCCCTGAGAATGCCATGGCGAACTCCCAACGCCACGAGGAGTTCGACCGTCTCTGTACCCGCTGTTCTCCAGAGCTTGCATCAATCCGCTGTCAGGCCGTGAAGAGGGAAATCCCTTTGGATTTCATGATTTCATGGTAAAATGTGGGATTGGGTGACTCATTTTTGTTAGCAAAGTAGACACGGAAATTGATATGAGAAGTACAGCATCATACAGCTGGAATAGTGATAAGATCAGGTCCCAGAGATTTGAAGTTTAGAATCTTCAGGAATCCAAGATTAAAAACATTCGCGTGACCCCCATGTATGGTTGACTAAAGGGGTGCTGTACTGTCGTGTTCTTTCAATACACTTCTCAAACTCGGAGGGGACAATCCACTGATGCCGCTTTGGGGTCAAAGACGCATGGTTTGGCCAGCCTTACCGGGTTCGGTCCTGCTTCTCCTTCGGTTTTCCCTTCAAAATCAATCCGTTGATTGTTGAAATCATCTGACTTGACGCAGGCGGATCAGTTCTCTTCGGCTCCCTCGCGTTACTTGGATTTAGGATGATTTGTAGGTAGCAGCTAGTAGGTAATACCTGGATACCCGGTTAAAAAAGTTGGCAAAATGACATCCACAACAACTGGAGTGCCAAGATTTAAGGACTCAGTGGATAGCAGGGAAAAACCATGAAAAACCAGGACCGGCCTGCAAATGGTCACCAAGCAGGGTTCACACTTAAAAACTGGATGGGCCCAGATGCACGAGGCTTTATCCGACCAACATGGGTATTTAGCAGAATGCCACGCGAGAGAGAGAGAGAGAGAGAAAAAAAAAGATAGAGAGAAAGCGCGAAAAGAGAAAGAGAAGGAGAGATATGAACGAACTGCTTGGTTTTGATATCGCGAATAATTTAACAATTGACACTTTGACACTTAGCAATCTAACTGATTCGGGGGCACAACAATTGGCGTATATGTTGTAATTGATGGCATTTGGGGACCCATCCCTATCGTTTTAAAGGCACTTCTCCAACCTTCGGTGCTTCGTTGCCCAGGTACGCCCCACCATTTCCAAGGCTCGGCTTGGTTGCTGATCTTGTTGTAATGTAATTTACAGTGACAGGTCACATCATCAAGTCACATTCTTGGTTCTACTGGGTTAGCATCTGTTTGTGGAAGTTTATAGGCATGCATAGGCTGCATAGTCTATTTCGAAGTCATTGACTAGTTCCCTTTGATGTGCTTCATTTGTAGCTACAGTATGCGCGGCCGTTTCCAAAATCTCTACTTTCCCAAGCGTTTGTTACCTTTAGATCCTTATTTGGAAAGAAATTCACTTTCTTTGACGGTGGAACCCGGGTTTGTAGGTCCGGATGCCAAACATTTCCCATCCGCCCAGCTAACATGGACCATACCATTCATAGGGGGTTGGAAGACAATTCTTTTCTATAAAATTGGTAATTCCAAGGTCGAACTGTTAGTTGAGGACTCATTATATAGAATCCCATTACATACCCATCAAAAATTCTGGTGATACCCAATTGCAGTTTTTATTGGTTAACTACCGGCGTTACCTTTGATAATCAAACATGGCAATGGGAAACCCCCTATAAAATTGGCATGTCATGGGAAATTCTTATCCAGAAAATGTTTTTCCCATGAAGAGTAGGGAGTTACTGTAACTTTTCCTTGAAACACCAATCCATTGATTACGCAACTGCTAATCAAACACGGCTGGAAAACATTGGCAAATCAGCCAGAGTTCCATGACTTGCCGAAAAATGTCGATATTTTTCAACCTCCATTGATGTGGGATTGTCATGGATTGTCCATACATTTCCTCTCCATTGGTCCATATTTATCCATATTTCCTATTGATCCTTTTGGAGGATATGGAAACCAGTCATGGAGGGTTCGATGACAAGGTCCTTGCTGGGCTTTCACCAAGCCGCATGGCTTTGCCGACGGCGTGTCTCAGCCGCAGTTGCCGCAACGAAACCCATATGCATATGACTTTGATCCATAAAAATGCATGGATTTAGCCCACAACGACCGGACACAAATATCGAAATTGAGGACACAACACCCCGGTAATGAAAAAGGTGACTGACGATGGAAAACCTCGCCATAAGGAACAACATCCGGCAGTGAGGCATAGGTCGAATTTGAACACCTCAAAAAAATAACTCAAAATATTCCAGGACTTGCATGGTTCCCACAATGCCTGGCGGGTAGTATCTCCCAGTCCCAGTGTTGGACAGTTGACATTTGCATACATTTGCCGGTTTTTGTATGGTTTAGTTGCTTCCTTAGCGAACTCCCAAAGTTGCTTTTGATTTGTTCAATGAATTAACTCAACCCCAATTTTTCCAGGTATTTGAATGGTTTAATTCAGGTAACATCGCACGAAAGCTTCTTGGAAATACAATTCTGCCGTCTCTCGGGTGGTATTAAATATTCTTGTGAGTCGGAAAATCCAATAATGTCGTCACCATCCTGAATTGGGATGAATAATTTGACAATGATGGACGATGATTTTTTCGTGTTTAATTCATTTTCATCCATTATTCATCTGTTCATGATCAACTGTCACGATTAATCAGTGTTTAGCTACGATAAATGGAAGTTTCATGGCTTAATCCAGCTTTTCCTCGCGGGGAGGAATCGCTTAATGCCTCCAATTGCAGCAGATGGCGGCAGCCAGGTGCGGTGTTGGGCTCCAGCCGTGATGGGGATGGTTTGAATGGTTTGCGGTGGCTGCACATGTCATATTAGCATAAATGGGACTAGATGCTCTCACTATATATTGAATTATATGGATCATAGTTACCCCGTGGTTCCCCAACAGCGTAAGCTTGGGGTCTTCAGCCATAGTAAATAAAGGTTCCGGAGCAGGTCGGAGCAGCCAGATCCGCACGGCGCAAGGTTGGGAACCGGGTTCCGGGGAAGGGTTTCCTTTTCCAAGAGAATCCCTCGGAGCAGCCAAATCCGCACAGTGCAAGATTGGGAATCGGGTTCCCAGGAAGAGATTCCCAAGCAAGGTTTCCAAGCAAGGTTCCCAGGAGCAGGTTCCCAAGTAAGGTTTCCAAGAGGCTCCCAAGAACAGGTTCAGCAAGGGTTCCCAGCAAGAGGTTCCCAAGCAAGGTTCCCAGGAACAGGTTCCCAAGCAAGGTTCCCAGGAAGAGGTTCCCAGCAAGGTTCTCAGGCAAGGTTACCAGGAACAGATTCCCAAGCAAGGGTTCCCAGGAAGAGGTTACCAAGAGGAATGTTTTCAGGAAGGGGTTCCCAGGCAAGGTTCCCAAGAGGTTCCAAGCAAGGTTCCCAGGAACAGGTTCCCAAGCAAGGGTTCCCAGGCAAGGGTTCCCAGCAAGAGGTTCCCAAGCACGGTTCGCAGGAACAGGTTCCCAAGCAAGGTTCCCAAGAGGTTCCCCCAAGCAAGGTTCCCAGGAAGAGGTTTCCAAGCAAGGTTTCCAAGCAAGATTCCCAAGTAAGGTTCCCAAGAGGTTCCCAGGCAATGTTCCCAGGAACATGTTCCCAAGCAAGGTTCGAGAGGTTCCCAAGCAAGGGTTCCCGTTCCCAGGAACATCTTCCCAAGCAAGGTTCCCAGGAACAGGTTCCCAAGCAAGGTTCCCAAGCAAGGTTCCCAGGAACAGATTCCCAAGTAAGGTAGGGTCCCAAGAGGTTCCCAAGAGGTTCCCAAGAGGTTCGCAGGCAAGGTTCCCAGGAACAGGTTCCCAAGCAAGGGTTCCCAGCAAGAGGTTCCCAAGCAGGGTTCCCAGGAACAGGTTCCCAAACACGGTTCCCAAGCAAGATTCCCAGGAAGAGGTTCGCAGCAAGGTTCCCAGGAAGACGTTCCCAATTAAGGTTCCCAAGAGGTTCCCAGGAAAAGGTTCCCAAGCAAGGGTTCCCAAGCAAAGGTTCCAAGAACAGGTTTCCTTGCAGGGTAGCAAGGTTTCCACGAACAGGTCCCCAAGCAAGCTTCCCAAGAACAGGTTTGCAAGCAAGCTTCGCAAGAACCTTTTCCCGAGCAAGGGTTCCAAGAACAGGTTCCCAAGAACAGGTTCGGGTTCCAAGAACAAATTCTCTAGGAAGGTTCCGAGCAGTCGGTTGCCAGCACGGTTCCCACGAACACGTTCCCAAGCATGGTTTCAAAGCAAGGTTCCTTAGCAAGGCTTTCAATCACAGTTTCGCCAGCAAGGTTTCGAATAATAGGTTGACAGGCAAGGTCGTCAAGAAAGGTTCCAAAGCAATGTTGCAAGAAAGGTTCAACGAACAGGTTCCCAAGCAAAGTTCCCAAGAACAGGTTGCTCATGTTCTCAGGAACAGCTTTCCAAGAACAACTTGCAAAGCAAAATTTCGAAAAACAGCTGCAAGCAAGGTTGGAAGCAAGAACAGAATCCCAAGCAAGGTTCCGAAGGACAGGTTCCTAAACAAGGTTCCCGAGCAAAGTTACGAAAAACTGGTTCCCAAGCAAGGTACCAATGAACAGGTTTGAAGCTAGCAGGCAAAGTTTCCAAGAACAGGTTCCCAAGAGAAAGTTCCCAAGAACAGGTTATCAGGCAATGCTCCGAAGAGCCGGTTCCTAAGAATAGGCACCCAAGAACAGGTTCCCAAGCAAGGCTCCCAAGAACAGGTTCCCAAGCAAGGTTCCGATAAACAAGTGTCAAGCAACGTGTCCAAGAACAGTTGCCCAGGCAAGGTTCCAAGAACATTGAACAACAGAATGCTGCAAAGTTTGAAGGCTTGTTCTAAGAACAGAACGGAGAGATTGAAGAACTAGTTTTGCTTCAAAAAATGATACGGCACTCGCACATGGATAAAAACATATAAAAACACCAGACGACAGCGTGGCCTGAAAGAAAGCAGGAGGGAGGATACACAAGAAAAATGATGAGGATGGTGATAATGATGACGACAATGATGATGGCGATGACGATGACGAGGATGAATGCCGATGGAGATGATGATGAATGATAGCTGCCTGATAGCTGACGCGAGTCAAATGTCATATATCCACGATTTCATGCCTTTTTTGTCCCCACAAAGGGTGTGCCCCAGGGCTGGCACCTGAGCGACAGTCAGAATCAAAAGACATGTTGTTTTTACACAGCGGAAAAAAAATACGCAGAGAAGATTTTACACACAGAAGCCTTTGCACAGAGAGGGATTTACACAGAGCAGATTTTACACAGACGCTTTTGCACACAGACGCTTTTACATACAGAAACTTTTACTTTTTACACAGAAAAGCCTTTTCTAAAGAAGCCTTACCACATGAAGCCTTTACACAGAGCAGCTTTACACACAGACGCTTTTTCACAAAGAAGTTTTTACACCCAGGAACTTTAATGCGTAGATGCCCAAGCTTTTACACACAGGAACTTTTGCACACACACACGCACGCCTTACAAAAAGAAGCTTTTAGACACAGAAACGTTTACAGCCTTTTCACAAGAAAGCTTTTACACAGAAGCTTTTGCACAGAGATGCCTTTACACACAGAGGCTTTTGCACGCAGAAGCTTTTAGTCAGAGAAGCCTTTAAACAGAGCAGCTTTGTCACGGACAAGCGCTTGCGGGAAGAAACGTTGCGCACAAACGGTTTTTCCCAACCTGCCAGGTGAGGGTTGTTAGATTTTATGTCAGTTGCCTGCTCCTCCTCTCCTCTCCTCATCTCCTCTCCTCCTCCTCGTCGTCCTCCTCCTCCTCGTCTCCTCTCCTCTCCTCCTCTCCTCTCCTCCTCCTCCTGCTCAACCGCGACCCTCGACGCACAGTGTTCTCTGTCGGACCTCAACCACGACCATCCACGCCCAGTGTTCCCTGCCGGACCTCAACCACGACCATCCCCGCCCAGTGTTCCCTGCCGGACCTCAACCACGACCATCCACGCCCAGTGTTCCCTGCCGGACCTCAACCGCGAGTATCCACGCCAAGTGTTCCCTGCCGGACCTCATGTAGGAAGATATGGGACAAAGAATGTGCAGAAGAAAGTTAGAAAGAATGTCAGACAAGTATGTTATATATTACTTGCAAACTCGCGCGTGTGTGGTAGAGTGACCGGGGCAATGCCACTTCTTACTTTGCAGGAAAATATGCCAGATAGAATGCCAGAAGGTATGCCAGATAGAATGTCAGATAGAATGCCAGAAGGTATGCCAGATAAAGTGCCAGAATGTTTGCCAGATTGAATGCCAGAAGATTTGCCAGATAGAATGCCAGATAGGATGTCAGAAGATATGCCAGAAGATATGCCAGATGGAATTCCAGACAGAATGCCAGAAGATATGCCAGAACATATGCCAGAAAATATGCCAGGTAGATTGCCAGAAGATATGCCAGATAGAATGCCAGAAGATATGTCAGATAGAATGCCAGAAGATTTGCCAGTAACAAATCGATAAATGTCATGGTGGGGATCACACGAAGTAAAGTAATTCCATACAGCACCTTTCACATGGAGAAGCCTTTGCGCGGACCAGCTTTTACACTCAGGTTTGTTTTCACAGCTTTTACACACCGAAGCTTTGACGCAGAGGCCTTTCCACAGAGAAGCTTTTACACACAGAAGCCTTTGCACACACACACAGATGCCTGTACACAGAGCAGCTTTGACACACAGACGCTTTTACACAGAGAAGCCGTTACACAGAGCAACTTTTACACAGAGGAGCTTTTGCACACAGACGCCTTTACACAAAGAAGCTTTTCTATACAAACGCTTTTACACATAGAGGCCTTTACACACAGAAGCTTTTACGCGCAGAGGTTTTCACACGGAAGCTTTACACAGAGAAGCATCTAAACAGAGCATCTTTTATACACAGAAGCATTTACACACACAAAAGCTTTACACACACGCCTTTGCACACAGAGCTTTTACACACAGACGCTTTTACGCATAGAAGCTTGTTCACAGAGCAGGGTTTACACAGAGCAGCTTTTACACACCGAAGCTTTTACACAGAGAGAGGCCTTTGCACAGAGCAGCTTATACAATCTTATGCGCACAGAAACTTTAAACACGCAAATGCCCAAGCTTTTACACAGACAGGTCTTCACACATAGGGGCCTTTACACAAAAGTTCTTCACACAGATGCGGCAGATGCTTCGACACACAGAAGCTTTTGAACACAGATGCCTTTCCACACAGAAGCATTTACCCAGAGGTGCTTTGACATATACACTCCTATACACACAGAAGCTTTTAGGCACAGATTGTTTTTCAGAGAATCACAGAAGCTTTGACACAGAGAAGCCTTTACACAGAGAATCTTTTACACACAGAAGCTTTTACACACACAAGCTTTTCCATAGAAGCTTTTACACAGAGAAGCTTTTACGCACAGGAGCTTTTACACACAGACGCCTTTACACACAGAAGCTTGTACTCGCGGAGGCTTTTGCGCACAGAAGCTTTTACACAGAGAAGCCTTTACACACAGACGCTTTCCCACAGAAAAACCGATTCCACAGAGCAGCTTTTACACACTTCAAAACATCGCAATTTTACGTAAGTTTTTGACGTTCGGCCATCATATCGCGCGAAAGGGTTGCGCCCGGCGTTGGAAAATCGCAATTTTTGACGTTGGGCAATCATTTTGCCTGAAAGGGTCGCGCCTGACCTTGTAAAAGTCGCAATGTTATTCAAATTTATTTCGCGCGAAACGGTTAAGCCTGACGTTTCAAAATCGGTAAGGTCGTAATTTTACACCAATTCTTGAACGTTTGCATCTGGCGTTAAAAAATCGCAGTTTTCCCACAGTTATTGCCGTTTGACTTTCATGCCACGCTTGCATCTGAACCTTCAAAATCACAATTTTACACAAGTTTTTGACGGTTGATCCTCATTTCGTGCGGGGTGCGCTGGGCCTCACCAAATTTGCATTTTGCCACATGTTTGGATGTCCGACCTGCGCAATCTCTGCAGAGGGTTGCCCGTGCCCAAAAGAAGTTCACATTCCACCACATGCTTGGGCGTCCGAAACGCACGATCTCCGCAGACGGTTGCTGCGGGCAAAGAAGTTTCGCATTTCACCACACCATATGTTTGCCAATCCGACACGCGCGATCTCCGCAGAGGGTTGCCCAAGGACAAACAAGACCCGCATTTCGCCACACGTTTGGGTGCCCGACACGCCACAGAGGGTAACGTTTCGCAAGCTACCGGCTGGCTGTCCCTGCCGCCGGAGAGAAATAGAAGAACTGGAGAAGTCTGATTTTGCAAGAGTTCAGATACAATTTATCACCTGGAAGTTGCCTGAACTCCTGTGTAGCAACTCCTGTGTAACAATTTCTGTGCAAATGACCTAACAGGAGTCTTGTAGGAGTTCAAGTAGAAGTCAAGTCAACTCCTGTGTAAATGACATGTTTCAAGATTTGTAGGAGTTCCCTAGAAGTTAGTGATGTGAGGTTTCCAAACTGTAGGTGATGTAGAGGATGTAGTGATATAGTTAATGATGTCGATCATGTATGCGTTGTACATGATGTATGTCATGTAGATGAGGTTGATGGAAAAAGTTTGTGTAGGCACTGTAGGTGGTGTATATAGGTGAGATGGATAGATGATGATGATGATGATGGTGATGATGATGGTGGTGGTGATGATGATGATGAGATGATGATGATGATGACGATGATGATGATGACGATGATGATGGTGGTGGTGGTGGTGATGGTGATGATGATAATGACAACTATGATGATGTAGAGAAGATGGTGCAGAAGATGTAGGTGATGTGGGTGATGTAGAGGATGTAGTGATGTAGGTGATGATGATGGAGGTAATGTAGGTGTTGTAGATGAAGCATGTCATATAGATGAGGTTGATGGACAAATGTGTAGGTGGCGTAGTTAATGTAGGTGAGACAGATGTAGGTGATGATGATGATGATGACGATGATGATGATGATGGTGTAGTAGTAGATGTAGATGTAGATCTAGAGAAGATGGTGTAGAAGATGGTATAGAAGATGTAGGTGATGTAAAGGACATAAGAGATGTGGATGATGTATGTTAGGTAGATGAAGTGAAAAGTGAGGCGGACAGCAGTTCTTTGCGAAAAATCCTTCGCACGAGCTTTGGGCATATTGGCCCTTCAGCTGCCAAAGTATTGCAAACGCTTTTGGAAAAGCGGTTTTTCATAAAGTGTTTCTGCTGTGATTGCACCTTGCACGCCCAGGGCTGGGCAATAAACATCTTCACTCATTGCGTGTTTGGTAACTGTTTTTGTTTCTGGCTGTTGGGGATACTCTTTAGGGGCTCATTAGAATCCATGTGTATGTTACACATTTTATGATAGATAGATATACACACACACACACGCACACACATATACATTTATATGATATATAGTTATAAATATATATGCGTATTATATACATATATAGAGTATTTTACATATACAAATAAACAAAGATCTATGTGTGTGTGTGTGTGATATGTACATGTGGTTCTTTGTTCACTATGTTCTACGTTGATCTCCTGTCTCCCGCGCGAAGGTCCACGAGTTAACCACAGCTTCTTTGCCTGTGGATGGTCCGTTAGAGGAGCGATGGCTGATGTTCAACAGCCCTGTTATCCTCTGGAAAAAATACAAAAAACTATGGAAAATCACCATCCCGGTCCCTATTGGGTAAATCAACTTTTTCTATGGCCATTTTCAATAGCTATGTAACAAATTACCAGAGGGTATCCATTGTTATCCTTTGATCATCGATTAAAACATGAAAAGAAAAAACAAAAGATTGCAAATGACTGTAAAATCTAAGCGTACCAGCATATTCAAGAGGAACAACATGTATATCATGTACAATTGAACGTAGAAAGGGAGGGATTTTAGAGCCACGACTTTCCCTGCAATGTGTCACATGGGGATTTGCATGTGCATCAGAAGAAGCTGGGTATGTTTGACTATCTGACTATCTTGTATGTAAATGTACACTTTATAATTGAAGGAAGTTTAGAAGTCAAACGTCCGACAACATGAACAGATGGAAAAGCAAAGGTGGGAAGAGCCAGAGAAGTGAAAGGAAGAAGAAAAAATATCAGAGAAGAGAAAGAGAGAAGAGAAAGGAATAAGAAAGAAGATCAGACATGACAAGAGAAAGAGTCAGAATCAGTCAGAAGAAAGTAGATGCACGTGTGCGAAAATTGAAAGGGTAGAAAAGTCGCAAAACACTGTGTTTTTGTTCCAATGTTTTGGGGCTCCGGCGTGGTGAGATGAGAGATGAAAAATTGCACGCCGTTGTGACGCGCAGCAGATTTTAAAGTGAAAATGCCAAAAACACCTCATTGTCGGAGCACTTTTGGAAGTTGAGATGTAGGAAAAGAGCACGCGACTCACTGGCGCGAAGCGCATTGCCAAGTCAAAACCACATGATGGGACCACTTTTGGAAGTTGAGATGTTCAAAAAGTGCACCGCGTTGTGGTGCGGAGCATATTTCCAAGTAAAATGTGCAAAACATTTCAGGTCCGGAGCACTTTTGGAAGTTGAGAAGTTGAAAAGGTGCAAGCCGTTGTGGCGCGAAGCACATTTCGAAGTGCAAATGCGCAAAGCAAACTATTGCCGAAACACGTTTGGAAGTTGAGTTGAGCTGCTCAAAAAGTGCACGCGACTCCTGGCGTGAAGCACATTTCGAAGTCAAAATGTTCAAAGCACACCACGGTCGGACCACTTGTGGCAGTTGCGATATCGAAAAAGTGCACGGCGTTTGTTCGGACCACTTTTGGCAGTTGCGACATCGAAAAAGTGCACGGCGTTGTGGCGCGAAGCGCATTTCGAAGTCAAAATGGTAAAAGTACACCACGTTCGGACCACTTTTGAAAGTTGCGACGTCGAAAAAGTGCACGGCATTTCTCTCGAAGCACATCTCGAAGCACATCTCGAACCACACCAGGGCCGGACCATTTTTGAAAGGTAAGTTGCGATGTCGATCGATGGATAGATAGATAAGTTTCGATTCGATTCGGTTAGACCAGATTAGATTAGATTAGAAAGATAGATTAGATAGATTCGAAAGATTCGATAGGATGGATAAGATCGATAGATAGATATTTACATAGTTTGATAGATAGATAGACTTAGATAGATAGACAGACAGACAGACAGATAGATAGACAGACAGATAGATAGATAGATATATAGATAGACGAGAAGATTAAATAGATAGATAGATAGATAGACAGACAGACAGACTAGACTAGATTCGATTGGGTTGGGTTGGATTGGATTGGATTAGATAGAAGATTAGAAAGAAGATGAGATAGAAGACTAGATAGAAGATTAGATAGAAGATTAGATAGATTGATCAGGTTAGGTTGACAGATAAGATCAGGTAGATAGATAAGATTAGATAGATAGATAAGATTAGATAGATAGATAAAATTAGATAGATAGATAGTGTTAGATTAGATAAAGAGATATGATTAGATAGATTAGGTTTGACAGGCAGGATAAGAAAGGTATATAGGTAGATAGGTAGATAACGTAGATCAGGTAGATAAGGTAGATAAAATAGATAAGACAAGATAGGTAAGATAGATAAGATAGATAAGATAGATAGGATAGATAGGATAGATAGGTAGATAGATAGATGGATTAGACCGATTTGATAAATTAGATAGATTAGACGGGCTAGATTGTGTAGATAGATAGATAGATAGATAGATAGATTGTCAGATAGGCCGGTAGATAGATATTTACATAGTTTGGTAGATAGATGGAAAGATGGGTAGAGGGATAGGGGGATGGACGGATAGACGGATAGGTGGGTAGAAGGATAGATGGATAGATGGATAGATGGATTGATGGATGGAGAGATAGAGAGAGAGATAGATAGATAGATAGATAGATAGACAGATAGATAGATAGATAGATAGATGGAAGTGGTAGGTAATTATATAGATAGTTCGGATAGAAGGACGGATAAGAAAGATAAGATAGGATAAGGTAGGATAAGGCAGGATAAGGTAGGATAGGATTTTGCAGATAGGATAGGATGGGATAGGACAGTAAGATAAGTGCTAGAACTACAACAACTACAGCTACAACTACAAGGACAACTACACTAGACCAAAATACAACTATAACTACACTACACTACATCACGCTACATCACGCTACATCCAGCAGTGTGGGTGAGGTGACCACCGCAACCATTGCAACCACTCCAAAAAACACAGCTCCAATCACCTGTCGGTCCATCACTGGATTCACTCTCCCATCCATGCATCACAACAACTCACCTCTCCTATAGTTTCCTGTTTTTGAAACTTCCGCCACCGCCTTGTGCGGTACTACTGGTATATATGTATATGATACGGTATATGTATCACAGTGGAATATAATTGCGGATCCCAGATATAAATGTGTAAGCTAAGCACGTTTATGAACTACTTATGGTTTCTGGAACGCAGATCCCAGTTGAAATTGATGCTGGAGGTTGGCGAAGACAAGCGGATTCAGTACAAATAGGAGTACAACCTTTGGAATTCTCTTGCGCTGCCATGGGAATCCAAAGATCAAACCGAGAAGAGCAGTAGAACATGCACTGGGAATACACGATGGGAGCCGATAAGAAGAAGAGTCAGTGTGGGGCAAAGAGGAGTTACATTGCACCAGGAATGACGAGAATAGAAGGAAAACATAGGAAGAGAAGTGGTAACGTTATCGATATAGAGGTCATTGGTTTTTATTTCATGCCTGATTTTTTTTGGTTTCCTCATACACAATGGCATGTTACATGTCCCAATTTTCGCAAAAGGATGCAAATCCGACCGATAGTGATATAGTGGACACAATTCAAATTCATATTCTCGGTCTAAGCGGTGGCCCAAACATCGATTAGACATGTTTCCCCAATCATGAACTTGAAAAATGAATCTGTTCATATCCAAATCATCTACAATCCGGTAATCAAACATGGCAATGGAGAATCCGATTGTTCCATTAAAAATTCTTTGAATTTATAGAAGGGTCGCTAGCCACGTTTGATGACACCGGAGGATACCAATCAACAAAACCACTTTCTAGTCATGACAATGGCGTGCCCCCCGCTGACAGGACAAAGGAAAACTGGGAGTTTCTGCCGTGGCTAGCAGTGACTTGTTTTTGACCATTCCCCTTTGGTGATTGAACGGTTGGCTTTGGAAAACCCCCATGTTCAATAGGATTTGATAGGTAAATCATCGAAGTAAATAGGTTGTTTCCATAACTGTGTTAAATAACCAGATGGTAAGCATGGCGTGTGAAGCAACAAACAACGCACAGTTTGCGAATTAAAATGGTGGATGTTGCCATTTGCTGCCAGCCTCAAAATCAATGGATGTGAATGGAAATTTGGAACCATCCCACTCGGTAGAAGGAAATAGCAACTATATACAGTTGGGAAGTCCCCCAATTGTGGCTAATTATACCATTTAGAATGTGTTTTTGGGGAATCGTACTGACCAAGCCGTTACTGAGATGATACTCAAAAGCGGTCAATGTCCAAGTTCAAAATGGCTTACAACCCCCGGAACTTGATTTGGCCTAGCAATTTCGGCCTGAATGGCATTCTATACCAAAATTGGGTCAGAATTCGGTCCCCCAAGACGTGGAAATTCAAGGAAATCCAGCCGATTCATTTTGGTGAAGATGCCCATGATCGCATGCCTATATGATTCTTGTGTAGATGGCGCAATCGGAAAAAGGAACACAGCATATGTGTTAGTCAAGTCCTTACCCGTGTTTTCTGCTCAAATCCCATTTTTTGTTCTTTCAATTTCAACTGTCGAGATGTTGGGTAATGTTGGACGCTGGTTAGTGTAGGGCCCCCCCCCTCAAGCAATTTTAGTCTACTTATTAACTCGGCAATTTTTGGGGGACCAGGTCTGGGGAATTGAGGAGAACAACTTGAGTAAGGATTTCACTTGAAATCAATTTACGTTCAATTGATTTTCCTTTTTAAACCTCAAAGAAATCTATTGATAAGAATGATTTCAATTGACATCAATTTACTTTCAATTCATCTGAATCTGTAAAAGCACCTCACATAAAACACACATGTATACTAGCATGTTACTACAGCATTGCGGCTCAGACGGAAAAGGTGCTGCTGAGTCGTTAGCTTAACGGTTGTTTCCCCATTGTTTAGGTTTATCAGTCCATTTGGGTGTAATAGGAATTACCCCAGCTGAAACCTGAAAATACAGGTTATCAGCCGTAGTCTCTAAAGCCATGGACAAGACTCATGATGCAACAGGTGGCGGTGCCCTCGTACCCTCTACTGGAACTGTAGCTGCATCAACTGGTTCTCAGCAGAGCTTGCCGGCTGGGACAAACCCCACGCCCATGTCAGTGGATGAAGGTTTCTTCACACAGCCCGTGCAAGCCTATTTCCAGTTCGTGCAAAACAATCTTACCTACATCAACGAAGGTAACATTGATGCTTTCAGGCAAGAGGCAGAGGAGAGGCACACACATCTCATGGAACAAAAGGTCCAGCAACTGTACCAAGAGTTTGAGGGAATTTGCCTTAGCGAAATCGCCCATCAACGTGCAGAAGCTGATCGCAGACATGAACACCTAGTGTCAGAGTATTCAATGTCCCAAACGGCAACTGAGCATGAGGTAGCAAAACTGAGACAGGAACTTAGCGATGCAAACGCAAAGCTGAAGAATGCTGCAAATGCAGTTGCACTGGAAGCTGAACAAAGAGCCAACCAAAAGGTAGCCCATGTTACAGCCCAGTATGAACAAAGGTTTTCTGAACTCAGAGGTAGCCTCGAGGCAGACTGTAAACGAATCGTGGACGAAACAGTGGAGTATGCAAAGAATGGCATGGAAGGTTTCAAGAAGGAGGAACAAGCTGTAATCCAGGAGATTAGAGAGGAATGCAGTAGGCAGGAAAACCAAGCTGCTGAACTCAACTTCCAATTGCAGGGACAAGTGGAGGATTTGATGGAGAAGCTCAACAAGTACAGCGCCCCGGAAATCAATGTCGACAGAGCCGTTGAAGTTGATGATTCACAAGGCGGGAACAATGTCGATTTGTACATGACCCCAAAATCAGCGGTCGGTACCAAGGCTGGAGCAGAACCCATGCCAAACACTGGTATGAGTAGCTTAGCCATGGACGCCAAGGAAAGGTTGAGCAACTTGTTCTCAACAACCCCTGCCGGATCAGCAGCCCCTCCAAAACTGCCACCATTGCCAGTTCAAAGACAAAATGATGATGATGCAAACCAAGAACATAGTGTGCCCAGTCCTACAGTAATAGCAAGCGACCCTGGCAAGAAAGCGGCTGAGGCAGGCTTAGGTCTTTCAGGTCAACAATTGCTAGATCTCATCACTAGACTGACTTCAAAGGATTCAGATGGTGAAAAGCCCCGAACAAAAGAGGCAGAGACTATCAAACTGAACGACATGCCTGCCCCAGAAGCATATCGTCACTGGCGTAATCATGTCAGGGACGAAGTCAAGTCGTGCTCCGACAAACCCGATGAGGCTTGGCTTTGGCTCAATGAAGTCTTTGACAACAAAACTCCTAGGGAAAAGTTGGAGGAAAAGCTGCAGGAACCTGGGAAGTTTATCACACTTGACACCAAATTGTCGGCAGCGTTAACTCGCTCGGCCAAAGGTGATTTAGCAACGAAGATCCATAACTTCAAAGATGAGAAGTCAAAGAAAGGGATCCAAGTCAGAGGTAGGAGAGTCCTTTTGATGTTTGAAGATTACTTCAGGACGTCTGAGGAAGCTGGCAGTCTCTACCGCGTCGAGGACCTACTTGGAGTCGTTCGCACTGGAGAATCTGTGGAGGACCTTAGAAGGTTTCTGAACCGATGGGACGCCACAATTGCCGGCATGGAAACCCCGCCAGATGACTTGGTTCTCAGAGACATCTTACTCAGACAAATCCGAAAATGTCAATTGATGAAGTATGACATCGAAGCATTTGACAGAGCTCCTGAAAAGTCAGAACAAAAATCTTATGCATTCTTGTTGAGGAACATTCGTGATCTTTTGGATAGAGAAAGACTCCATTCAAACAGAAACAGAATCGTTGAAAAGAACAAGCAGACCGAAAAGCCTCAGCCCGCTGCACCCGCTCAGGGGGGCAAAGATCGCGGCAAAGGAAAGGGTGATCGAGGTCGATCCCGTGGTCGTAGCCAGAGTGGAAAAGGGGATAAGATATGTTACAAGTTCAGGGATGGCAAGTGCGAAAAGGGTAAAGACTGTCCCTACAAGCATGTCAAGGATTCCTCAACTGGCACTCCCAAAAAGAAGGGTAAGGGCAAAGGCGGTAGCAGAAGTGGTTCCCCCAACAGAAAGTCAAAGGAAGAGATGGCCAAGATCCCATGCACTTACTTCCAACAGGGCAAATGTCGTCGTGGTGGCAAGTGTTTTTATAAACATGAAGTTGCAGCTGCACCCACAAAGGATCCAAAACGCACCAATAGCCCTGCACCAAAGAAGAAGGCCAGTGCAAAAGCTGCGCCATGCATTACTCAAAGGTATGCATGCATAGCAAAGGGAAAAGGGTTGCCGAAAGCTACAAAGGCCATGAAAGAACAATGCCATAGAGCTGTTGTGTTTTCATCAAAAGTGGAATACATCAAAGTCCCGGCAACAGGTGAACAGAGAAAGGTAGTGCACAGACCCCGAATCTATGAGAAGACGTTCCCTGATTCAGAGTCAGTGCCAAAACCCGACAAACTCATCGCTCACCGTGCTCAGGTTTCGGCCCGACAGTTGCAGGAACTTGTGAAGCTCTTCAACAGTGAGACGCAGCCCAAATGCCGATTCCGATGCAATGACCCAGAAGGGGGAGTGTCATGCAACCACTGCAGAGCAATGATCGGTCCCAAGAATAAAGTCAGTAACACTGTTGCTACACCGGCATCAAAAGATGGATGTGTTTGGTTGGTTGACACGGGCAGTGAACAGGATTTGATTAGTGAGGGTATGCTGAAGACTGCAAAGGCGACAAACCGCCGTGTCAGCGACACTCCGATCAGCCTTGCTACAGCAAACGGTTCGACACGAGCGGATGAGGTGGCCGACGTAAAGGTCGATGCCCTACATCAGCCGTTTTCACCATACATTCTTGAGGAAACTCCTGCTGTTCTTTCGGTTGGGGTCAGGTGTATGGAACAGGGTTACAGTTTCGTGTGGCCAGCTGATGGTAGGCCTTACTTCATTCGTCCGGACATGGGAGTCATCGAGCTTAATGTAGACGGCCGGTGCCGGTTATTGATAGCTCTTGTCGTGTTTTGAACAGTGGACAGTTCAAGAAAGATTGTGATCTGTTACGTCTTTTTGCAATGGTTGCTGCAAAAGCAGAAGGTGCCGATGAAGAAGGCGTGGATGAGGGAGTAGCTCATGATAGCGAAACCGAGTACGTCAGGTCTAGAAAGGCATCTGACCTTGAGCAAGAGGCATGCAGCAAATCTCACCAGTTTTGCCATTACCCCAAGAATCCATTTTGCAAAATCTGTCAGAAGGCGCGCATGATGGCGCCACCCGCCAAGAAGAAAGGGGGACAGAAAAGGTTGGAAACCAAAAGTTTTGGGGATCACATTGTCGCTGACCATACTGTAATCAAATCCAATGTGGAAGAAGGCGTCAAAGGTGAAACAGTGGCATTGGTGATGAAGGACATTCACACTCAGTTCAGGCACGTCTATCCAAGTCAGACCAAATCGAGTGAGTCATGTGTTAATGCTTTCAACCACTTCTTATCTCACAAGGATGAAGTTGGGGCAGTTTACACTGACAATTCACGAGAACTTATTGCTACGATTTCAGAGTTGGGGTACAGACATCAAACATCAACAGAGTACGTGGACAGTTCAAAGTCGTTTGTGGAGAGGGAGATCAGGCACATGCTTGAAGGCACACGCACAAACCTCGTGCAGTCAGGTCTTCCATTGCAGTATTGGCCAATGGCTATGCAGCATTTCTCCATGGCAGTGAATGCCACGCCACAGCTCAACGGTGATGATGCCCCATGGAAACTCAGATTCGAAGAAGATTTTCCAGGTCAGTTGATTCCTTTCGGTGCAAAGATACTGTTTTGGAACAATCCAAAAAGGGTTGACAACACATCTGGAAAGACAT